TGAGCTAGAGAAAACTATGTATATGTGTCAATTAGAGGGATTTATTGTTCAAGGTAAAAAAGATCATGTTTGTTTGTTGAATAAATCATTATATGGTTTGAGACAGTCTCCAAGATAATGGTACAAACGTTTTGACACCTTTATAGTAGATCATAGTTACTCTAGAAGTAAATATGATAGTTGTGTGTATCACATGCAGTTGTCAGATGGTTTTTTTATATATTTATTGTTTTATGTGGATGACATGCTTATTGCTGCTAAGAGCATGTTAGAAATTGACAGGTTGAAGAAATAGTTGAGTTCATAATTTGAGATAAAAGAGTTGGGTGCTGTAAAGAAAATTTTGGGTATGGAGATTTATAGGGATAGAAGAGCAGGTATGTTATATTTATCTCAAAAGAAATATATTGAGCAGTTTTGGATGCAGAATTCGAAGCCCATGAGTGCTCCATTTGCCGCTCACTTTAGGCTTTCAACAGCTTTATCACCACAGAGTAAGAATGAGGAGCAGTTTGTGTCTCGTGTTCCTTATTCTAGTGCATTTGGAAGCATCATGTATGCTATGGTTTGCACTCGTCCATATATTTCACAGGCAGTTAGTGTGGTTAGCCGTTACATGACTAATCCTAGAAAGGTTCATTGGCAGGCTGTGAAATGAATACTTCGTTATTTGAGAGGCACTACAGATGTTGGCTTAGTATTTGGTAAAAAAGATGACATCGATTCTACAGTTGTTGATTTTGTTGATTTACATTATGCGGGTGATCTAGATAAGAGGAGATCTCCGACAAGTTATATTTTTACTTTATTTGGGTACACTGTAAGTTGGAGGGCGATCCTACGGTCTACAGTTGCTTTGTCTACCATAAAGACAGAATACATGACAGTATCAGAGGTAATTAAAGAAGCAATTTGGTTAAGAGGTTTGGTCTATGATTTGGGCTTGGAAGAGGAGGTAACTACTGTGTTTTGTGATAGTCAAAGTGTAATACAGTTAACCAAAAATCAGATGTATCATGAAAGGACCAAACACATTGATGTTAGGTATCACTTCCTCATTCGTGAGGTTATGGCTCATGGTATTGTCACAGTGAAAAAGATTGCTATAGCGAATAACCAAAGCAGATATGTTTACTAAGCCGGTACTAGTGCTTAAGTTCAAGCATTGCTTGGACTTGATTGATGTTTGCACTATTTGAGTAGCATCCTTCGGGGTTTTTGACGAAAGCAGCGGTCAAGTTCACTTTGGTTGGATGGATTAATGGAATACAAGTCAATGTGAAGATTTGTTGTGATGACTTGTATTCCAAGTCAATTTTTTTTTATTTGGAATCTAATTGAAGACATGAGTTTTTATTGGAGGTCGTGGTAGACAAGTTTGGCTTTAATTAGGATTATGTTGATTTCATTATTTTAATGGAGTTTAGTACAACATGGACTTTTGTTATTTAAACTCCAAGCCTTCAAGGATTCTTTTGTTTTGTCCAACACGTGAGAACTCCTCACAATGAAGACATTGTGAAGGAATCAAATTCCTTACTCTAGAAGCTTAAAAAGATTCGGTGTGGTCTTCGACAGGAGTGAATTTAAGACATGTCTTCATCAATTCAAGTTTGACGGCGTCAAGTTCTTCGAGTAACAAAGATTTATTTGCTCCATTTTTTTAGTCCAATAATTGTTGTAATATTGTAATAAAGCGGGTGAATGTTCTATTGTCTTTGTTTTGAGAACTTTGTAATCTCTAACCTTTAATAGTGAAATCTTGCCGCTGTATTTCGTTCGTGAATATAGCCTTGCTTGTTGAGTTGAACCACGTAAATCTTTGTATTCTATTTTTCTATTTCGTTGCGTTATTATTTTACTTGTGGTTTTAGTTCATAACATTTGTTAAAATATAGCTCTGATACTAGATGTAGGATCTCAAAATAATATTAAACACTCAAAATAATCTCACACCATTCAAAAGCTTAATCAAAGAAAAAATATGACAAAGCAAGCCGAAGCCCAAAAAAAAACCTTCTGCCATAGATAATTAGTTCTGCCATAGATCATTGGTTACATATATTAGAAGACTTAAAGAGATCAAAACCTATTAAAAAACTAATAATATCAAACCTATTGTAACTTTAATTAAACTACTCAAAACTAACTAAAATACTTTACGAGTCAAAACTCTTAAACACATTAAAACTATAATTAAAAACTAATACCAAATAAATAAAAAATAAAACACTTGAAAAGTTTGGGTCAAACTCCAACAGCCTCCCTTAAACCAAACTCTTCAATCTTGATCATCCCCAAGATCGAGTTTATCACCCTTAATTCTGATTCACCAATATTTTTGAGCACTATGTGCAAACATGTTTGCCAGAGTCGCCACAATTCTCTCTGTCTTTCAAGAGCCTGCGTCTTGGGCAACATCATATGTGCATCTATGTCCTCGTCTTACCTGCTCTTGAGAGGTCTCAACGGTCAATGTTTCACCATTCAAAAGTAAAAGCATAGTGACTCATAACCCATGAGACATCAAATCATCACTATTGAGTTTATGTCAGCCCAATAACTTCCAAACCATTGGAATACTGCGACTTTAACTCTGAGAGCCAAAAAAAATTGAAGAAACATCTTCAACAAAGCACGTGTGGTAATTATTGAAATCCAAACAATCAGGAAGCAACATAGTTTTTTGTTTGATTTCATATCAACTTAATTTTTATTTTTTTTTTGTGAATCTAAATATGAATTGTACATACGTGGCAAGAGAGTATTATTCAACATGAACACCAACTTGATCATTGAATCACTAATAACATGGTTTGATTGTTGCACCAGGATCATTAATCTAGTTTTGATTGTTCTACTAGAATCATCAATCTAACTTTGATACCACTTGTTGAAATATACCTCTGATACTAGATGTATGATTTCAAAACAATATTAAACACTCAAAATTATCTCACACCACACAAAATTTTAATCAAAGAAAAAATATGACAAACCAAGCCGAAGCAAAAAAGAAAACCTTTTGTCATAGACAATTAGTTCAGCCATAGATTAGTGGTTACATATATAAGAAGACTTAAAAGAGATCGAAACCTATTAAAAAACTAGTAACATCAAATCTATTATACCTTTAATTAAATTATTCAAAATTAACTAAAATACTTTATGGGTCAAAAGTCTTAAACCTGTTAAAACTCTAATTAAAAATTAATACAAAATAAATAAGAAATAAAACACTTGAAGAATTTGGGTCAAACTTCAACAAATTTTATTTGAATATATTTTTTGGGTCAATCACTATTAAAGAAAAAGAAGATGACGAGATATGATCTTAAGGTCAAAGAACAAAGGTGATGACCGTTAAATCAATCACTAATCTCTTATTTGAATTGATGATGTATAAAATAACAATATGTTAAATATTCGTAAAATGTTTTTTCGTAAAAAAAAGTAGGGTCAAAGGATTGTAGGTTGACAAAGTTGATTGAGACTAATAAAAAATAATAATATTTGAACCAAAAAAAATAAAGACTAGCAAATAATAATATACTAGAGCCAATGTAAGAGCATCTTCGACTGCAAAGAACAAAAATAACTAAAATTTGGCTAATCATAGTAAATAATCATACTCTAACATATGTTCTTCGGATACTCTAAAATAGATTTTTGTTACAGTGATATTCTAAAGAGAGTATCATTGTAGCAACTTATAAATATATGTTATATTATTTTCTCTCTCTTCCTCTTCTTCTTCTATTCTTTCTCTTTATCTTTTTTATTATTTAAAAAATAAATAATATAAAAAAATGAGAAATAATATTTAAAAGGAGTAGTTAAAAATATAGAGAATCTGTTGGAGTGTGTATTAAAAAAATGAGTAATTAAAAAAAAAAAGTTAGAGCCTCTTTGGTTTGAGTTTCAAAAAATAGTATCCAAAAATAATTTTTGATAAGAGTTTTAAGAAAGTGGTTTTGATATTTTTTGAGATAAAAAATTTGTTTGGTTAGATAATTTCAAAAATAATTTTATAATACAGAAAATAGTAAAACCTGTTTGGACAGTCTAAATATATATTTGAACAGTAATTCAAACATTAATAAAAAAATATAAAAAATTTATTTTTAAATTGACAATTTCATAATATAATATATAATATAATATATTAATATTTAAAAATTTAAAATTGTTCTACTTATTTTCAAAATTTTCAAAGAAAATTCTAAAAACATGCTTCACTTATTTTCTGTTTCTTTGACTTAAATCTCATTTTTTTCTCAAATTTTAGAGAACAAAATACTAAACAAACAAGTTTTGAATGTTTTTGAAATTTTGGGAACAAAAAATTATTTCCGAAACACAAATCAAACTTGGTCTTTAACTAAAATACAATTTGTTGTCGAGATATTCTGAATTCATGTAAGAATTTAAACGACACCGTCATAGTACTTAAATGAGTCTAAACGATGCCGTCTTTAGCCGCCTGCGTGTTGCCTTAGGTCCCCATTTCCTCGTCATTGCCCTCTAGAATCCGCTCACAGCTTACTTCTCTCTCTCTTCGACAAGAAGGAAAGAAAGAGATGCACCGACTTCTCCACGGACGCCATAGCACCTGTCACCCCCACAAAAAACCCTAGAAAATGCAAATCCATAAATACCCCTCCACCTCAGTAGAAAAACATTCTCTAGAACCCAAACAGCACAGTTCACAATCACCACACCTCAAAAGCAAGACCAAAACCTCTCTCTCTAATTACCGCTCTAAGATTCCATTCTTTTCCTCTCCGGAGCTCTAATCGGTACATTCCTTTCTCTCTATCTGTCTTTCTGGATTAAGCTTTCTTTACTTCGCTTCTTTGCTTTCGAATCATATACAAATGACGCTAATAACGTGGTTAGGGTTAGGCTTTACAGTGATTGGACTGATTGTCCTTGGATTTATGCATGCAAAGCCTTTTGACCTTGGTTAATTGAATATTTCTCTGATTCTGATTATTTCGATGGGGTTTTGTGGGGTTTTCAGCAGTTTGTTGCACTATATGCTTCCCAGAAAGAGACCTGTGGAAGGAGAGGTTGTTGACGGCCACGACAGTAGTTCTGGTGGAGAGAGCTTGCTCAAGAAGCATCAGATCGGTTGTTTGATCTTTTCATCGCGTACCGCCACTGACAAGACCACCACTTCTGACGATAACAAGCAGAGCGGCGAAGTCAAAAGCAACAGCGCAATCGGTAACAGCAGCAACGAACCGTCGCTGACGGATATGGCTTTCGACAATGGGAATCCACATGACATCGATGAGGATCTTCATAGCAGACAGCTCGCTGTGTACGGCCGAGAGACGATGAGGCGACTCTTTGCGTCGAACGTTCTTGTTTCAGGGATGCAAGGCCTCGGGGCTGAAATCGGTATGGATGTTATTTGTCAGTTTACTTCTTTACTGGCTATGGGTTTATATATTTTATTCTATGTCATGCTTGATATTGTCGCTTAATATATGGAATAAGAGACGTGTAATCTAATCATCATGTAGGAGATTATGACAGATCGGATTAGTAAATTTTTCAAAAACCATTAATTTCGGTCAGAATTAGTTTTTGTTGTTCGATGTGTTTTTTTAGCTGTTAATTTTTTTTTGTATCTTAGTTAATCCAATAGAAATATGGTGAATATACGGTGGTTAATCCTGCTACTAGTAGATTAGTGCTTAAATTACTGAGATGGAGCTTTAAGTTGAATATATGCACCTAAACTTCTAATGTTCTTTTGTTTATTCTGCTATGTTTTATATTTAACTATTGATGTTTTGGTTGCTAATTTTAGCTTCATGTTGAATCATAAATTTTGAGTATGTGGTTTTGTAGCTTATTATTAATATTTATGCAGCAAAGAACCTTGTGCTTGCTGGTGTCAAGTCCGTCACCTTGCATGACAAAGGGACTGTGGAGTTGTGGGACTTGTCCAGCAATTTCATTTTTTCAGAGAATGATATTGGTAAGAACAGGGCACTTGCTTCTGTTCAAAAGCTGCAAGAGCTCAACAATGCTGTGGTCATTTCTACCCTGACTACAGAGTTGGCGAAAGAACAACTTTCTAATTACCAGGTAGGTAACATACTATTTCAGTGGTGATGGATATAGTACCTGTTGGCAAACAATTAGGTTTATATTCAAAGTTATTGCAACTAATCGCTTTGTTCATACGTAAATGGTACAGGGAAATGTGACCTGTCCCTTTCGATGTTTACAAACCTTGAGCTTGAGGATGTGTTGTCTGATAACTCCTCCAGTTGTTTAGTAGGAATCTTTTACTTTTTGTTGATTACATCCACAAAACGGGGATAACTCTCCCCTGAAATGAATTTCAAAGCCCATGCTCACCTTCTTTTGTAGAAGAATTAGTTATTACCCGTGTCTGAAAGCACTATACAATGAACAAAAAAATCTTAAATAATTGCTCAAATTCAAAAAGAATGTTTTAAAAATATTCATACAAATTCTTCTTTTAAAAGGGCTCGAAATATATCGTCGAGCATATCCTTCATATTAATGAAATTATCATAACAATATATAAAAACTCACCCAAAACAACACTATACATACAGATACCTCTAAAAAAACAAATACTAACATAACCTAATGAAATTTACAATCTTTAAAGAATAAATAAAATGAACAAAATCTTGCTTATTTAGAAGACTAACGAATTAATTACCTCTACTGCCATTCAATCCAATAACACAACATAATTGTAAACTCATATATCATATTTCCAATCCACCTTATGCCCATATAATAAATATTTCGAGCAAAAAAAATAATAATAATAATACTAACAGAACACAATTAAATTCATAATATTTAAGTGATAAATAAAATCAACCAAATATTATTTATTTATAAAACTCATAAACTTTTCACCACTATCACCATTCAATCCCAAATGACACAATATAATTATAAATTTAGTCACCTAATGTTCAATCCTCCACGTATAAATATAAACAGAAACACACTCACACATTTTTTTTTGGTTACCAACAAACCATCCTAATAAATAATTTCTTTTATTAGAAATACAATAATTCACTTTTTAAGATAAAATAATAATAAATTAATGTTTAATTAAAAAATAGTTAAACATTATGGACACCTCTTGAGTTTTGACAATATTACACGGATACCTCTTGACATGGATTTTTAGACTAATGTGTTATTGGTTTGGTTGATACTACCAAGATGATTTGTCTTCATCATTGACTCCCTTTTATTTTACTAGGGCTAGTCTTCGACCGAATTGCATAGAAAAAATTGAGAATGTATTAAACTCGTTATCACAGTACAATCTTACATAAACACAATGATTTATCAACTATTACAACATTATCATAACCATGCGAATAATTAAACAACTACAATGGTAATCAAACTGCATTTAAAGTTATAGTAGTCTTAAACATGCAAATAAGTAAGTACGGTATAGATATATAAAGAAAATTGAATCTCACACCCTTCATTTTATACCCTCCAAATCTATGTAGTATATACCTTCACAAAATACACACATATATATACTGTGTGTGTACATACTGTAACTGCAGGTAAAGAAAGGCTGCATAGCACAGTGATATACACTCTGTCTCACTGTTGCAAACCTCCAACACTACATAATTATGACATGAACCAAAGCAGAGGGTTAAGTGTCAATTTTAAAAGATACATTCAACAATTGAAAGTGGAATTGATACAGTAATATACTGACAAAGAATAATTAAATGTTGATAAATAGCAAAGATGCATTGACAATCATATTCCTCTTAACACTTTTTTAAACAAACTTTGATGGTGTCGGAGGTAAAAAAATATTCAGTGAGACGTAATTCTTCTCCTGCAAGAGAGATTCTCACTGCTGCTACAATCTCAAAAGGCTCGAATTCCACTAACTCAATCCCTGCAATGATAATTCCAATCCACCAAAATATTGGTCCCTCTTTCTAATAATTATTTCTTTTTTTTGTTTCGTAATTGTTACTACAAAGCAACAATCACAATAGACAACATATAATTCAAGTAAAATACTGATTATATAACATAGGAACAAAGCTATATGTACCATTTATTGTGGCCAATACGAATCTCAACTATAAGAGTAAGGCAATCCATCACAAACCATTGTCAACATCAACAACCAACCCAAAAATCAATCCAAAACCAAAAAGGTATTAAAATTCAGACCTACATAAACCAAACAGGAACATCAACTTCCCAAGAAATATAATGAATTGAAGAAAATACAAAATAAATAGTTTTAATTCTAATCAAATTAATCCCAAGGCTATGAATTTTGGTAAACCATTGCAGCAAACTACCAAGGATTGTTGCAAAGGCGGTGTTTTACCATAGCACTAAATATGCCAACAAATAAAGTTTTGGCACATTACATAACCACAAACAAACACACACACCCTAATGACACACTGAAAAACACTTTTCACACACAGGAAAAAGAGAAAAAGAGAACACACACTCAATGCACACAGAAACACACACAGAACACAAACATGCGCACACAATGCACACACCATAAACACAACGCACACACCATACACAGAGAGAGAGAGAGAACACACATTCAACAAATACAAAAATACACAGAAACAGAAAAAAAACCCACACAGAGGGCATAAACACAGGCACACAACGCACACACCACTGACCACAGAGAGAGAGAGAGCACACATTCAACAAATACAAAAACACACAAAAACAGAAAAACACACACACAAAACATAAACACACAGGACACAAAAACGGGGACACACCACTGTCCAGAGAGAGAGAGAGTGCACATACTCAACGCACACAGGAACAGAAAAACACACATGCACACACTCAACGCATACAAAAACAGAAAAACACAAACACACACACACTCAACGCATCCAAAAACAGAAAAACACAAACACACACAAAAAACACTAAGACATGCAATATGCTGTGCATGCGTTGTGCTGTGTGTTTGTGCAGAAAGTTGGAGTGAGAGAGGGGGGCGAAGGAGAGGGACCTGTATTGTATTTTCGGTGATGGATCTCTCGGCGGTGGTGAGTTGGTCGGATGTGTCCACAGAGAGGAGAGAGATAGAGGCTAATAAAGGAGAAAGAGAAGCACGAGAAGAGAGAAATACGGAGCGTGAGCAAATTAAGCAATTGGAGAGGCTGATTGGGCGTGAGAGATTTAATCGTTGGTTTATGAGAGAGGGAGAGAGGCAAAGTTGGGGAGTGAGAGATCGCTTAATTTAAGGATTGGATTGGGTTGAGAATTTAATTGGAAAGTCTGATTTGAATTGATCGTGCGTGAGGGAGAGAGGGGGAGACAGGCAGAGTTGAGGAGTGAGAGATAGCTTAATTTAAGGATTGAATTGAGTTGGAGAATTTAATTTAGGGCTGTTAATTTTGGTAATTAAAAATTTTGAACGGCAAAAATATTTTAAGAGTTAATGTGGTACGTCAGATTGAAACAATCTGAGACGTCAATAGTTTGAGACAGTTCGAGATGACGTTTTCTATTGGATGGTATTTTTTTTTGGTCATGAAACGATCTGAGCCGTTCTTTATATATATATATATATATATATATATATAGAGAGAGAGAGAGAGAGAGAGAGAGAGTGAGAGTGTTTAAAATGCTTAAGAGATAGGGGAAAGAGAGAGTTATATGAGAGATAGGAGTGTTAAAGTTAAGTCCAATTATGATTGTCGGATCAATAATTCTCAAACAATTTGAGCTGGGAAAAGTTCAAGACAAATTTTTTTAGCTATTTTATTATATAGATTAGGAGATACCACTTGAACGAATATCGGTGAATGTTGGCAATTTGGTACGGACAATGTCTTTTACAACTAAAGTTTCCTACAATGGCTTTAATTGCTTGCAATGAGTGGACAATGGCACCCTTTGTTTGAAATTTATTACTCATGAATCTTTTGGTGCAATTCCAAAGAAAAGCATCTATCGTAGGATGCTTGGTTCCTCTGTTATTATGGACATGGTTTCGTTAGGAGGATCTGTAATTACCATGTTTCCTGATCTACATACTCTGTTGCATTGGTATAAGAAATGTACCATGCTTATAGATGGAGATAAGTAGACTCGAACTGCCAACATCCGCCTCAAGGTAAACCACCACCTCTTGTAATGTTTTAAACCCATTCTATTTAGGGAGGAGGGTGTTTCAACATGTTCAAGGCGCCAAAGACTCCATGTTGCCTTAAATTTGTTGTACTTGCACTTGAATTTCAATGTTGCCTGAACAGAGGCCTTGAGATTTTGTTGCCTAAAAATATAACTGCCTTATCATATGTAAATTGTTGTTAACAGGAGTCAAACTTGATTGGGACAGAATGGTAGCTGCATTAACCGTCTTTTATGTGGTTAATATTTGTATTGTTGCGATGGTGATCATAGACAGTTTTTGTGTCACTAATAGTATCATCATGCTCTATGTAATGGATTTGTGCATGCAATTGGTGATCTTGAGCCTTATATTGACACTCCTCTGCAGGCTGTGGTGTTTACTGATATCAACCTGGAGAATGCGATTGAGTTCAATGATTACTGTCACAGTCATCAACCTTCTATAGCATTCATTAAGGCCGACGTAAGAGGCCTGTTTGGCAGTGTGTTTTGTGATTTTGGCCCCGAGTTTACTGTTTTTGATGTAGACGGCGAGGAACCTCATACGGGTATTATAGCTTCAATTAGTAATGATAGCTCTGCCCTGGTGTCGTGTGTTGATGATGAGAGGCTCGAGTTTCAGGATGGGGATCTTGTTATTTTCTCAGAAATTCGAGGAATGACGGAACTTAATGACGGAAAACCAAGAAAGATAATTAATGCGAGGCCCTACTGTTTCAATCTTGATGAGGACACCACCAATTTTGGTGCATATGAGAGAGGTGGTATTGTCACTCAGGTGAAGCAGCCCAAGGTTTTGCACTTCAAGCCTTTGAGGGAAGCACTTAAAGATCCTGGTGATTTTCTTTTGAGTGATTTCTCCAAGTTTGATCGTCCACCTCTATTGCATTTGGCATTCCAAGCGCTTGATAAGTTCTTATCCGAATTGGGATGTTATCCTGTTGCTGGTTCAGAAGAAGATGCTCAGAAGTTGATATCTATTGCCAGTAACATCAATGAGAGCTTGGGAGATGAGAAACTGGATGATATTAATCCAAAGCTTTTGAGATACTTTGCTTTCGGTGCACGGGCAGTATTGAACCCCATGGCTGCCATGTTTGGTGGTATTGTTGGACAGGAGGTTGTGAAAGCCTGCTCTGGAAAATTCCATCCACTTTTTCAGGTTATTTATTGATTTTCTTAAATTGTCTGCGTCACAGCTCAAAAACTTTCGGTGGCTTGTTACTTGGCCTAGTTATACTTTTTTCCCTTGTGTAGTCCTTGTCAAGGCTTTTTACTTGGTTAATTTTTTAACATTACGTGTATGGGACAAAGTTCAGTTAGAAGCTACTCTTACCGAGTTATCTGTTTCCCTCTTATATGTATTCATTTTTGCGGAGTACTCAGCTCATGGAATGCCCTTCCCTCTCTTATCTGCTGCGCTATTTGATTGCTTTTTATGGTAGTCTGACTCCATTTTTTCTCCCAATGTTTCTACAGTTCTTCTACTTTGACTCGGTCGAGTCGCTTCCCACTGAGCCATTGGAACCCAGTGATTTCAGACCATTGAACAGCCGTTATGATGCACAGATCTCAGTGTTTGGGTCAAAACTCCAGAAAAAACTGGAAGATGCTCAAGTTTTTGTTGTTGGATCTGGTGCACTGGGCTGTGAGTTCTTGAAGAATCTAGCTCTGATGGGAGTTTCATGTGGTAGCAAAGGAAAACTAACACTAACCGATGATGATGTCATTGAGAAGAGTAACCTCAGCAGGCAATTTCTCTTTCGTGATTGGAACATCGGGCAAGCCAAATCTACTGTTGCTGCTTCTGCTGCAGCATCAATAAATCCTCGCCTACACATTGAAGCTTTGCAAAATCGCGTGGGCCCTGAGACTGAGAATGTGTTTGATGACACCTTCTGGGAGAATTTAAATGTTGTTGTTAATGCCTTGGACAATGTCAATGCCAGGCTGTATGTTGATCAAAGATGTTTATATTTCCAGAAGCCACTTCTTGAATCAGGAACCCTTGGTGCCAAGTGTAATACTCAGATGATCATTCCTCACCTGACAGAAAACTATGGAGCTTCAAGAGATCCACCAGAGAAACAAGCGCCCATGTGCACTGTGCATTCCTTCCCACACAATATTGACCACTGTTTGACATGGGCTCGGTCAGAGTTTGAGGGCTTGCTTGAAAAAACACCTGCGGAAGTGAATGCCTACCTTTCCAATGCAAGTGAATATGCATCTGCGATGAGGAATGCTGGTGATGCTCAGGCCAGGGATAATTTGGAACGTGTTCTTGAGTGCCTCGACAAGGAAAGATGCCACACATTCCAAGACTGCATTACGTGGGCGCGCATAAAGTACTTCCTCTGATGTTCAATTTTTTTTTGTTTATTCTTTTGTGTATGACATTAATGGCTTTTTGCTGGTTCTAACGCTTTCTTTTGTCTTTAGGTTTGAAGATTATTTCGCTAATCGTGTGAAACAGTTGATTTTTACTTTTCCTGAAGATGCTGCAACCAGCACTGGGGCACCATTTTGGTCGGCTCCTAAGCGCTGCCCCCATCCACTGCTGTTCTCTGTTGCTGATCCAAGCCATCTCTATTTTATTATGGCAGCATCCATTCTACGTGCTGAGACATTTGGCATCCCTATTCCCGACTGGGTTAAGCATCCTAAGAAATTGGCCGAAGCTGTTGATAAAGTGATAGTTCCTGAATTCCAACCAAAGAAAGATCTAAAAATTGCTACTGATGAGAAGGATACCAGCCTCTCCACCGCTTCGGTAGATGATTCTGCTGTTATCAATGACCTAATTATGAAGCTAGAGCAATGTCGAAAGAATCTGCTACCAGAGTTCAGGATGAAACCAGTTCAGTTTGAGAAGGTTTGTCTCTATATCATCCCTTAGAAACTTGCATATCTTCAGGGCCTGCTGCTTTATTCTCAAGCCATTATGGTTGACAGTCGCACTCATCACTCATCTTAAATTGGTGCTTATAGGCAGTGGCAATGGTATAGTTGGGGAAATCTGGGTTATGAACCAAGTTGAGTGGAGACCCTGCCCCTCTCCTCCCCCCTCCCTCTTTTTTCTTTTCCCATTTATTTGAAAGCCACTTAAGTGTGACAAAGATCTGATATCTTCTAGGAATTTAAGGTTTTACCTGTCATGTGGATTTGCAGGATGATGATACAAATTACCATATGGATCTGATAGCTGCGCTTGCCAACATGAGGGCGAGGAATTACAGTATTCCTGAAGTTGATAAGCTGAAAGCCAAGTTCATTGCTGGAAGGATAATTCCTGCTATTGCAACCTCCACTGCCATGGCCACCGGGCTTGTCTGCCTTGAGCTATATAAGGTTCTGGATGGAGGGCACAAACTGGAGGACTATCGGAACACATTTGCCAACTTAGCACTCCCTCTGTTCTCCATGGCTGAGCCGGTTCCTCCAAAAGTCATTAAGCATCGGGACATGAGCTGGACTGTTTGGGACAGATGGATCCTTAATGACAACCCTACATTGAAGGAACTTCTCCGGTGGCTTTCAGACAAGGGACTGAATGCATACAGCATTTCATTTGGAAGTTGCCTGCTCTACAACAGCATGTTCCCACACCACAAAGCACGTATGGACAAGAAGATGGTGGATTTGGCGAGAGAAGTGGCTAAGGTGGAGCTGCCGCCATACCGTCGCCATTTGGATGTTGTAGTGGCATGTGAGGATGACGAGGATAATGACGTTGATATCCCTCAGATATCAATTTACTTCCGTTAAAAACTTCATCTTCGAATACCCCCGAGTCTGTTCGTTGGAAATTTTAGGGTGAGAGCTCTCTGCTCGCTGTGCCCTGTGATTCTGGTGTTCAGTCAATGAGAAACAGTTCACATATAATCTGTAATATTGAATACTTCAGTTTATTTTCCTGTTTGCTTTGTATAAACTCCATGTTAATATTGCCTGCTCTATTGATCTGTGTGGTTTTATATTTGTGCTGCTGTTTAATTATAGTAGTTCGGAAGAGTGACCTTACCAATCAAACTATAGGGATAAAAAGCACAAAATTAGAGCACGGGATCGATCCTAGCGACCACAGGATTAAGGACGGTGTGGTTGAAATCTAGTAGTAAGTAACTCACACCTTCTTTAAGGGTGGTTTAAAAAAAATGAAAGACAGAGAGTCGTATCGGTTCACCAAGGGCAGGGTGAAAACCTATATTGTCGTGTCAATGCTAAGGGCTCAGTTAGCTTATTAGTGAATTGCAAAACATATCTCGTTTTAAGTGCTACACAGAAACCATATGAGGGTGAATAGCAATATTAAGGTTACGAATACATCGGCAAGGGATATTTTGACCATGAATCCAACTTAAGCCGAACTTTCTGCTGTATACTCCAGCCAATTGAGATGTGAATCAAACACATATCTGGTTACATGGTGAGCAGTTGTAGTAATTTGTATCGCTGCATCCAATATTTTTGTTCAGATAGTGGGATGGAAAATGTATGGGAGAAAGAGAATTTCATTTCCCGTCACCTACTTACTTATTTTATTTAATATTGTATTGAGTATTAAATTGAAGGAAAAAAAAAAAAGAAATTCTCTCTTTTTCTAAGATATAAAAATAATTCAACCTGTGGAAACTCTGAAAAGATGGATGCTGGAGTCTTTGATTTTTCTGAAGGACGGAGAGATATAACAGAAGGTACTAAAAGATTTGTTCCCTACATTGTAACGCAGAAATGCCGCCCACAGCTTTTTCAAAAATAACTTGTACGAAAGAATATACTATCTTCTAATTCAGTAAATTCCGTTCATGCAATTATCGGTAGAGAAATTCAATTGACTATCTCCCAAAGAAAATTCCTCGGCTCACCAGCTTAAGTGCACGTCAAGTCCCAAAAAAGGCAAAGCTTGCATCAATAGCTTGCTCAACTGTCATTCTCTATCGGTCAGTTCTTATCAGCACCTTCATCAAATACAGCAGAGTCCCCGGCCCGGAAATCCAGTTGCTTCTGATGTTTCAAACGGCGACGATTATCAAAGTTTGCCCATCCTTCAAACTGTCAAAAGCAAGCCATGATTATGGGGACCAAATGTAAAGAAAACATGCTCGACCAATTTATGAATGTGGGAGGACACGTAAATACCTGGCGGAGAAGATCCATTGTTATTTCTGTGCCATGTAGGTCCAGGGTCGAGAGCTGCATGCACGTTTTGAACAGGGTAGCAGGAAGAGATTTGAGCCCATTGTTATTCAGATGCAAGGCCTGGACACAATTTAGACACAATAGTAAGCACAGGAGCCACAGAATCACAGATGCAGTTTTCATAACATTTCAACTGACTACCACCAATATGCATTAAGGTCCAACATTGTATGAGAATCTGATGAGATTCTATTAGTCTACCTTCCTCATTGTTCACATGGCGAATGCATGCTACTTTATAATATAGGTGGGTAGTGACTTAGTCATCAGATCATAAGCCTTAGTTAAGCATATTTGATGGAATTCATCAGATTTAGTGCCATCAAAGTATTGAATTCCTATTCCACATCATGTTCAAGTATACGAGTAACATCTTAGTATCCTGTATGCTAATACTTTGCCAGCATAACCTTCTTATATACTTTGGTCCATTTATGTTAGTTGCCCGCTCGAGTAATGTAACCAATATTAGATTTTCTTTTGCTGATTTATCTGAGGCAAGAAAGCAAAAAAGGAAATGTAGATGCTCCTCTCCCTTTCTCTGCAATTAAAATACAAATATGAATGGATCCGGTGTGTTTTCTATGAATATAGTAATTTTCATTGCCTACAAAAAGTTGTGAACTAAACAAATAAGTTCATTTTCCCCCTCTGATATACAAGGGCAAAGCTGATTTATCGATACACTCTAATCATAATAGAGAAGGGCTCACAGGGAATAAAGCTGAGTATGGTAACAGCCAATTGTCATATCCAGAAATCCTACTAATCACCCTCAAGAGGAAAACAAAAAATACCCAAGGATATACGACAATAGCAGAGAAATAGATATGGACCTTCAAATTTTTTAAACTGCCAAATGTCTCTGGCAGCTCTAGCAGAAGATTTGATGAAAGATCAACCTACATCACACCAAAATTTGATCAAAATCACAAAAAAAAAAAAAGACAAAAGAACAAAAGGAAAGGAAAGGAAAGGAAAGGCAGAAACACAACTCGAGAGAGAGGTCCTGGAGTACTACCTCAACAAGGGAAGTACAGCCCCCTATACGTGTTGGAATGGTGCTTATCCTAACAGAGCAAGATATGACAATTAGAGGCTTGACACACACCTAATGAAAATTCATGGATAAAGCCTTTAAAAATTAAACTTTTACGGAATATCCTAATCCCAGGGACAAGGTCCAGAATCTTTATACAGATGGACCTTATGTCATCATACATGGTATTTTCCAGCACCTAACACACTGAACAACCTTGTAACTAAGATTGATCCAATCGAACTTAAATATACATATTTATAGGTGCATCCATGTTGATGGGAAACAAAAAAGAAAGAAAGAAAGAAAAAGAATTTATAGCAAGACACTAAGAAACCAGCAGCTAAGTCATTCATGCCAATTGAAATAAAAGACATGCACAGAGGTGCAAAACAGCTCAGTAGTTATTGTTTGAGAATGTTACCTGTTATTATTGGCTTTCAAAACTTGAAGCTCAGTCAAAAGTCCTATTTCTGTTGGGAGACATGTCAACTTGTTGTTTGCAATATGAAGTTGCCTCAGGTAAGTTAAAGCACCCAGCAGAGAAGGCAAAGTCGTTAAACTGCATTAATCACGAGGCCAATTTAAAAGTGTTGCATTGCAGATTTCCATCATAATTTGTGTAGTATGATAACTTAGCCATCTAACCAGGTTATGTCTCAAACAAGCGGGTGAGCACATTTGCACATAAATACAGAACATCAACATAGGGTCTCCTAAATTCTCAGGAGCATAGAAATCAATATAGAGAAAATTTGATACACTTATCTGCCCTGCAATTTCAATGAAGTACCCCTGGTGTAAGATTTGTTTTTGTAGACTTATAATTTGTTAGAATCATGTGATTGAAACATGCACCGAAAAGAGCCCAACATCGACCGACACTTACCGTGGCACCCAATATCAGTTCATTGATAGGACCAACATAGGAACTGTTGAGAGATTTCTATATTTTACCATGTAAAAATGGGAAACACTATCTCAGCATACAACTAACAAATTTTTTTTCATGCCTTCATCGAGGTCTAAGAAATGAAACATAAAGAGCTTGTTCGGGTTAACGAGTTCTCCAGCTTCTGTTAACTCCCCCTTCCTGCCTGCAACCCCTTTATTCATTATGAATTTTTTAGGCAGGTGTCTAAGCTTGTGTCCAGGGAGAGAGAGAGGAGATTTGTGTTCTGTATTATCATGGTAACGTAATAATCAAACCAAAATCTAATGGTTTCCTTCGGTGTGCTTCCATTTTTACTAATTCATGCTTGCATTAGATTATTTTACTCTGCTCTTCCAAGTGATTGTTTATACAAAGCTCAATTATATGTCGAAAGAAACTGATATTGTCGGCCGGAACACAAACATTGTATGCATGAGAGAGAGAGAGAGAGAGAGAGAGAGAGGTTGAACAAATAATCACAAGTTGCAGATAATTTAATACATATGGATGCACCTTATGCTTTAACTATAAAAAAAGAAGTTCACAGCATAACGTGAGTAGTTCGTGAATGAAAGATACTATGACAAAAGCACGGTAAATATGATGAAGGGACAATCATCTTACTGGTTCTGGCTCAAAGACAGAACATTCAGAGGCTTCAAAGATGCTATTGCTTCCCAACTAATGCATTCATCCCGTATCTCATTTGAATTCAGGAGCAGTTTCTAACAAATCAAGTAAACAAATAAATAGTCATACAATTCCCTACTGGAGAAGCTATATTGAGTAGCTAAAAGCTTCAGTAGAAACAAAAGATTATGTCTACCTGTGCGGAAGTCAAACAGCTAATTGCAGCAGGTACATCTGGTAGTGAGTTGTGGCTGAGATCAAGTACTCTCACAGAAGCTCCGCAGATCCACACTTCCTCAGGTATGGCCTTTCAAGTTGAAATCAATGAGATTTTATGCATGTGCATACATTGCCACATGTGGCACCATAATTGTATCTGGTGTTGATGACATATGACTACAAAAGACTCCTTACAAAATATTTTCAACATTGGAAACATGAAATGCAAGGGATCAGTAATGGAAATTAGAAAGATTGAAAGGCTATCAATAAGTTCCTGACTTTCTCTTTAGTTTTTCTAATTCAATAGGTGAATGAACAAATATTCTGCACAAAATCTTAGTCCCACCAGTTTTTGGTATTTTAAAACACAGTAATGAATAGACCTTGATCTTAAAAAGGAAAGTCACAATAAAATAAAGACCACAATACAATGCAACAATGGCAACACGCACATATCAGTTAAACTAGAATAGATTAATCATTAATCAGAACCTTCAAGTTAAAACAAATAGTAAACATCCACTTTCAATAAGAGACCGACCCACTAAATGGCTACTTCTACTACCAAAGGTACAAAATCATTTCATACAATAGATATTCCCATGATACAAACTTACACATACAACAAAGCTGATTAAAAAATCACCCAAAAAATCCATCACTTTCTGAAAAACAAATTTCTTTTTTTTTTTTTTGGGTACAGAAAAACAAATTTCACGATACCTTCAACTTGCATTCAGACAATGCCACCACCCCAGTAGCCCTCCAACGATCGAGTTGACTCTTTCCAACAGAAACATAGGGTTTTTCCTTGTTTCCTTGATCAGTTTCGGCAGTCCTCCTCAAACTGGATGGTACAGGGGCTTCGTTTCTAATCGGACCATCCTGGTGAAAATATTTACAATGTTCACATGTCAATTCCTATAAATTCTTACTCAAGATTAAATTTTGAAGAAAATAAATGCAAAACAAATGCCATATATGGGGGAAAATTTCATCCACACCACCAGTAAATTGCCCTATATTCATTATTCAATGACAACACCTGCATTATCTAAAACTTTGTTGGACTTACTGCTAGCCTACATGTCCCCTTCATTCACACCCCTTGCCAAGAGTGATCGTTAGTGGCCAATCAAAAAGTGGCCGACATCCTTCCAGATTCTCGTAAAATATCAATTTTACCCTTCTCTCCACACTCTCTTACAGACCAACCACCATCTCCACAAAAACTGCCACACCACCACCACCAAGCCAACCACCTCACACCATCACTACCCATTTTACATGACAAATAACTAGTTCATATGCCAACATATACCACCACATAGATGGATAATTCATAGAAACACCCTGTAAATCGAGTAGAAGTTACATAGCAGTCTGCATCTTTGACCACAAAAATATTGAATTGTGAGATCATCATATGCATTTTGATCGCCTATGGATGATTGTTCATGAGCTAAAATTGGGCTTTCTTCTTCGTCTTCCTTTCTTCCAACACGAGTAAGAAGTTCTATAGCAGATCTCTGTTTCCCAGGATCACCACCATTGGAATCTAGTTGTGAAAGCTGTTCACGGAAAATAGAAAGATTCCAAATCAAATAAGTATTTGTAGTACACTTGAATAACAAGAAAGTGATGGATCATCAAGAAACCTTTGCTGTGAGGGTTCTGATCAACTCTTCTAACTTCAAAATGAAAGCTTTTAGCTCCTCGCAATGATTCTTGGCCCAATCTAGCTCCTGATTGAATGAAAGCAAAGCATCACAATTTCAGTTAATGAATAAAACTAAATAGCGTAATGTAAAACAATCAAAGAAACCAACCTTTCTAAGGTCATCTCTGCGTGGCATTTGTTCGTTCAGGGGTGAGAATTTGACATCTCTTCAAAAGCGAGCGAATGTGTCACTAAAGTAAATAAGAAATTCCTTTCATTCATTATTGAAAATAAGACAGATAGTTAGGAACCATAATTAGGGTAAAAGAATATCACAAACCACCAAGTTCTGAGGGCAATCCACATCAGAGACCACACCACCGCAAAGAAAACTCGTCTAATCATTCCGCGTAGCAACTCCGGCGATGGCTTTTCTTGGTCAGTTATTCCTTTTTTCAAGGGTGTGTATGAATTTTTCCCCATATATATGATCAGATGTTTCATGCATATACATCAATGTGGGTCTGCAAGTGTAATAAATTAGAGCAAATTGAGAGGGAAACGATAAAGAATACTCCTTGGTGAAGACCCTGAGAAGCCATGAGCATGATCTTGGACCCATTTGTGACCTCCGATGACCTCAGTGTGGCCGAATCCACAAGAAGTTTCCCTTTACACAATTAAAGCATCAAGGATCAACAACTTCTTGTTAGGGTTTTGTGACATATATGCATACATTCATCTAAATATATAAAGACACGGAGAGAGAGAGTAATAAGAAACCTCTGAAGATGAGTTTTTGACCTCGAGTGAGGACGTCGGTGAGGGGTTGAACGAGAGATTTGAGGTCTTTGACGGTGGAGTCTGGAGAGAGAGTGACAGGTATGGCTTGTCCTCTGAACTTGATAGTCACCGTGATTGAACTACCAGGATCGCTAACGTCACCTTTCTCTTCCTCCATCTTTCTCTCTCTTGCTTTCCGCTCTGCTATCTTCTTGGTTTTGCTCTGACTTGGAGAAGACGATGAGCAATTTGATATGATCACTTCACCGACGCTCGTCTGGTTGAAATATTTAAAGATGACTAATTGACTATATTGACCTTTCAAAAATTAAAAAGACTATATTGTCCTCCTTTGTTGGGCCGTGTTAAGACCTTGATTGTGGATTGGGTTTTTCTTTGGTCTTGGAGGAGTGGGTTTGGATTACACAGCTAAGAAAAAAAAGCTAGCTAAGTAGAGAGGGCCCAAAGCTTAGAAATAATAAATTGAAATTGCCAATCCTACTATTAGAAAAGTCAATTATTTCTACTTGTAGCTCCAACTTAGTTAGAAAAGTCAAGAAAGATTTACCAAAAAAAAATAATCAAGAGACAACGTAAAATTATAAAGAGTCAAGATACTCGATTTAGGCTCGATAAAGACTACCTAGCTTTACAGTCAAATGTAAACAAACATCTTACAAAGCCAACAAAATGTGACTATTCTTTTTTTTTATTCAATATTTAAGAGTGTTTGACTTAGGTTACACGTCTTTTAACTAACTTTATTCCTAGTTCTGTCAAAAGTAGATCATCCACGTTCGAATTAGGATATTCATAAGGGATATATCCCTCATGACCTGACTCCAAAAATTATCAACATTCGATTTTGTCCTCAGATGGCTGGCAGGTGATATACTACTCTGCTAATTTGAATTCCCAAAAAAAATCCAATTTTGATAAATAAAAAAACAACATCCTAGTAGGATGATAGGCTAGTGGGCTTAAAATCAGAAGCCCAATCCAACTTATAGTGGGTCAAGCCCATTAGATATGGTTTGGGGTATCTGTAAAATTCCAAGGCATCACAAACCAACATCAGAATATTCGGGTCATTTCTTGGTGAAGAATTGCCATGTGGGTTCAGTGCAGACCCACCCCCCACTTTCTTATCCACTACCGAGACACATGGACCTTTTCAGAACCCACCCACTTTTCTCGAATTATTATAAACCTTTAGCTTTTATCAGAGACGTATGCAGTACTACACAAGCCTTTGTCTCCTGTGCAGTAGTCCTTATATTTGGTCCCAAACCAACAAGCACTATTCATAATTTTCTTATGGGATTCGGCTTCTCTGGCCATTAAAATTAGTTTATAGTCTGTCTCATTATCAATGGTAAAATTGCCCCATTATAATTTAGAAGTTATGAGTTTCAAGTTATGAAAACAATTTTTTTATGTGTAGAAGTAAGACTACGTACATCTAATTTTTTTCAAACGCTACAATAACAAGTATTTAATGTACTGAGTGGTGTTTTAAAAGTCGGCCTGGCCTGACTGGTTGATCCGATAAACCAGCAAACCAATGCTCAAACCGGGCCAGTTCTTATAAAAGACCCTTTGTGCTCGAAAACTAGGATAAAACCGTTGAACTAGTCAAAAATCGGTGAACCCGTTTGAATCGGGCGAGTTGATTCAAATTGGACAGGTTAATTAAAATTGTATAAATACAAGAATTTTTACACTTTTTAGGCATTTTGTATATTTGCCCTCTTTTATTTTACCCGAAATCGCTCCAGAGTTCAGACCAGATACGAGAAGGTAGCCGCCACCGGTGATTCCATGCTCTAGTCTAGCCTTCAACACCAGCAGGAAACAAGGACTCCACACTCTAGTAGACTTGGAACCTTGAATTTCAATAGAGGTATTTTTCTCTACTTAATTTTACAAGTTGTATTGAAAAATGAATATATTAAAATTGGATGCATGTTTGATGATTTTTCTCTACTTAACTTTATATGTTTGATGTTATTTTTATAATTATTGTGATTTTTTAGCCTATTTTTTAGTATTTATAATTATTTTTTATTTATTTTATATTTACCTGTTCGACCAGTAATCCATTGACCCGATCCTTTTGCCGAGTTGGTGTCCGAGTCGAATTTTAAAACTACAATACCGAGTACATTTTTTTTTTAAGTCTGTATCATTATCAGTCGGATGAAATTAGTATTTTACATATAAGTCGGACCTAAAAATCTAATATTATATGATCGAACGATGTGGTAATGATATAGTCCTAGAACATTATTATACCAGTAACACTAGATTTCTTCGTTAAGAGTCTATAGAACATAAAATATTTTTATGTTCCAATAGCATTGCTATAGCAATTAATTGGATGGTTAATGGACCACAGATTATCAATCAGAGCGGCAGTCCTATCCTAAGGGTGAGGCTAACGGTGAATTATTGTGTTGACTAGTCTACAAGCACATGACTGTTCACACTTCATGTGAGATCCAGGGTATGGAGAATCGTAGTCAATGTTCATGGTTGGCGATCACTTCTCTCCCTCTGCTTCATCGATTATTATCCATTTGCATTGGTGCAGGAGCAGCTTCAGGGTTTTTTTAGGTTCACATTTCTATTTATATATAATTTTTTTTTGTAGTTATATCACACGATAATACTAACGTAATATAATTATTACGCCTAATATTTACTCGTGGGTGGCCTGTGGGCGTGGGGGTGGTGGGGTGTGTGAGTGAAGCAGCTGCATGTTCTACCTTCGTAGATCTATGCTGTTTTTTTTTGATATACATCGAGAGATCTAGTTTTTTGCTAATGCAGAAGGGATCATTGTGTGAAAGGGATCAGTGTGGATTTATGACATATGAGACTCAGGAAACAAAAGATAAGAAGTTGATTGGATGTAAGTATAATAGTTGATGAATGGATGTAAGTATATTAGTTGATTCAACTATATCTATCAATTATTTTTTTATGTACACAAACTTCAACTAATTCTCTCTTCAATTTGGTTAAACGTATGTTATTCATGTCGGGATTGAAAAATTCATAAGCGATAAATTTGTCATAGTGTGTTACTAAAGAATTGTCAAAATTCGAATTAAAAATTTTTGAATTTATAATTTATCTTTGTTATCACTTGAATTACTCTTATTTTTTCAACCCTTCTTCGTCAAGAGAGAACATGGATTATTTTTTGTGGTTGGGTGTCATCTTTCAAATAGGTTGGTCCCTAGATCATTATACAACTTTCAAGTGTTTATGAAGTAAAACCATTCTTACTATCTGACTACATTAGTCTAGAATTACCAAGATAGTGTCTTGGTAAGATTTTATTCAAACATATGGAATTAATTTGTAAAAACTTCAGATGTTTTGGGTAATAGTCATTTTATATTCCAAATTGTATCGTCAAACCATGTGGGATCTCAAAAATCAAAGGGGAGATTGATCAAGAGTCTCGAATGTTGTCAAAATAATACCATAATCTCTTAAAAATATTATAATGAACGATTTTTTTTTTGCCTATTTATTAATATTTATTATTCAAGAATTGTGAGTAGGAGACATAAGATTGACTAGGTCCATATGAAAAACCTCTCGCAATTTCCTCACCTTATAACTAGGACCTCTCATTCTCCCTCCCCCCCTTTCTTACCCTTAATTAGCCTTTAAGCTTCATTATAGCAAAGGCATAATTAACCACCACCCCTTCAACTAACTTAACCAACCGCCATTCCTCTCCGTCTTTTCTCCTAAAATTTCATCTCATTTCACTCCCCATATTCTCTCTCCTATGAAAAAAAGCTCATAAAAAAGAAAGACAAAAAAAGGAGTCTTGACGCTCTCACCACCCTTCTGTCGCCCCCACCCCGCCAAACTCTCACCTCCTCCGTTCTCAACTCCCGCTTTAACCTACAACTACCCCCAAATCCATAACACCCCCATATTTTACACCTCTCTCGCTCTTTTACTGCTGATAATTTCGTGGATTGCGATTCGTTTTTGGGTCTCTGGTTCGATTCAAGCATCAAAAATCTTGAAAGTCTCTTACCCCCATGTGGTTATCGCGCAGAAAATCGATTCCTCGAACTCCCTCAAATTCCTCAAATTTCTCTTTCTCCTCCTTCAAAGATATCCAAAGCCTCTGCGCCGCCGACTACGTTTCCGACCCACAACACCCTCAACCCAAAAAACCCAGCTCCATTTTCCACCGAGTACGCCTCGCCAACCTAGTGCTTCGCTCCCTATCAACCCAACGCAGACTCGAAAATGCCTCACCGTCGAACGATGCGGTCAAGCCATCTGAGCCGTCGATCTCTCTTCAGGGAGCCGAGAATCGCATAGTGGTGTACTTCACGAGCCTCCGCGTGGTCCGATCGACATTCGAGGACTGCAACACTGTCCGAACGATCCTACGCGGTTTCCGCGTGAAGATCGACGAACGAGATCTCTCAATGGACCCTTCATTCTTGGAGGAGCTGCAGAGGATCCTGGGCCAGCTTGAAAAGACGAAATTGACTCTGCCCAGGGTTTTCATCGGCGGTCGATATATCGGTGGCGCGGATGAGATCAGGCAGCTCCACGAGACCGGCGAGCTGAAGAAATTCGTGGAAGGATTGCCGGCGGCGCAGCCAGGCACTTGCGAGGCATGCGGTGGGTACAGATTTGTCCTCTGCGACGAGTGTAGCGGAAGCCACAAGTGTTACAGCGAGAAAATTGGGTTCAAGAGTTGTACGGCTTGCAATGAGAATGGTCTCATCAGGTGCCCTTCTTGTTCTTCTGGGCCACTCTGAAACTTTTCATATTTAGAAGAAAAAAAATATATATATATATGTGAGAGAGACAGAAAAAGAGAGATTAAAAAAATTGGGAGGTGAAAAGGTTGCACTTCTTTTTCTTTTTCTACAGTTGGGTAATTTCAGTTAAATATTGTAGTTTTTATTGGTGGCTGTATTTGCTAGGACAGGGTAATTTTGATGCAAATGCACAATTTGGGTTAAGAAAGAGAAGGGGTGGGGGGAAGGGTTGGGTTGGATGGAAACCCATTATCCTTTTCTTTGTGAAGTAGTGAAATGTGGGAATGTAGGATCATCTAATGTTCTTTTTAAGGTGGATGTGTTTACAATGGAAGATCTTTCTTTTAAGATGGAAGAGGTGTCTACATGAAAACTTTAGGATATTAGGGTTCTCACTTTTGCTTTTGATATGTTCTTTGTTTTTTGGCAAATTGTTCTTGATATGGTTACATGGTTCAGGAATTAAAAAAAAAAAAGAGAAAAGTCACCTTGGGGATGATGAGATAAATGGAATGTATGGTAATTTTGATCTCCAATGAGCCACATTGTTTTGTTAGAAAAATTCATGGATGAAGATTCTGTTTTCCAAGCTTTGTGGTGTTACCCTGTGTTTGTTATCCTGTCTGATAATTGATATGGAGTGTCCAGCATTAGAGTTTTTGGCTACTATTTTTTTGTGGGTTCTTTATAATTTTCAGGTGGAGTCGTTTTCTAAATCTAAGTACTTGGTTGTGGAATACCCACCTAATTCTTCAAAGATCCGGGCGCTTTTTCATTTTTCGATTAACAGAGCCGTTCCCTTCATAAATACTGACATTTTATGTTGATCCGATAACACACTGGAGTTCTTACAATCATTATTCTACTGTTATTTAGTTTAGCCATCTTTCATTGACACCAAACTTATTTATAGTTGTATGTTAGACTCTAAAGTGGGTGGTCAAAAACCAGGTTCCCAGCAGAATCGCTGGTTTATGTTATGAGGACAAATCCAATTCAGTGGCTGCTTAAGGCTTCGTTTTGTTTTACCTTATTGGGTGATAGTGATTGATTGTGCCTGGACTTTTCCTTTGGAAGACAAACAAAACTATTCTACAGGATGGTGACTATGTGATACACGGCCAAGAGGGCTGAGGAAACTCTACCTACATTATTCATGGAGGTATGGCTGTTCTTAAAGGCGTGGGAAATTGGTAGCATTTAGTTATGATCCGGAGTACAATAAACACTGGAGGCCACAAGGATGTGCAAGCCTTGTCTCCTAAAAATCTCGTGCAGTAAATAGAGGATTGTTTATGTTCCAATACAGTAGAGGAGTCATGATAATTTAGTAGCTTCTGATTTTAATTGGTTTGAGGGAAGTGGCTAAAAGTCCAAATTTGTGGCCTAAAAACATGCTGACTGCTAAATACCCCACTTGTAGCTTATTCCCAAACATCCAAATTCTAATCTTATTGCCAATACCACCTCCCTTCTCCACCATCGGCATGGTTCCCTCGCCGTTGTCAGTCTCCCTTCTTCCATTGATACGATTCCCTCGCCGCTACTGATCTTGTCATGAACATAACCCCTTGTCTCTCTTTCCATCTTGTAAAAATATGGCGTCCTCTCAAATACAATCGAACATCAATACATAATTGGTGTAAAAAGAAAAGAAAAACCCAAAATCTCACCGCATTTGTGATTTAGTAGCAAATCTTATCTTTCGTTTGATAAGAAAAATAAAATGACGAAAAGTTAGAGAAATAGATAAAATATCATATTTAGTAATAAATAAAAATAAGAATGATGAAAAAGTGGATGTATTAGGTTTTTTTTTTTAACTCAAATTAATCTCTCCAAAATTAAGAGAAAAAAATGGATAAAAAATTAATTATGTGTATTAAAATATATGATATTTACCTATATATATCCTTCAATATATGCATTAATTTTATTTATATTTTCTTCATCCTACAAAAAACAAAAAAAATTAATTTTTTTCTATATTTTATTCCTTCTATAAAACACAAAAGAGAAAAAAAAATTCCTCGAAGAAAAAATTAAAAATTATTATCACTGTCACTTTTTTATTCACCCAATCAAACACAATATTAAAGTCTAGTGTAATTAACTAAAGTCTAAAACAATTGAAAATTGTATGCACGCGGCGACGCTGGTCACCCATGCGCGAAATAGAGGACGGGCTTCAGGGGCACAAAGGAATGGGCCAATAGAAAGTCTTCTTTTTTTTTTTTTTTTTTATCAAGGGCCAATAGAACGACTCAAAAAGTGGATTTTGAGCCCTACGAAAATCAATGAGTTATTTAGAAGTCGGTACACCTAATTAGATTTATTTGTAAACAAATATATAAAACAAAATATTTTAGAAATAAATACATAGCCAAGATACAAAAATGTAAATGCCCATTTTGTAAAATTTTTTTGCTAAAAATTTTAACAAAACATTTATTAAGTGCTGAAATTTAGGGTCATTTAATTCAAAATTTTATATCTTTAATACACCTTGATTCATGCGTATTTTTTTTAGAAGTGGTTTTATTTTAAATTATATTTATGCATTAAATATTAACTACTACTAATTTTATAAGAGAATTTTAATATTTCGTTTATTTTAGAATATATCACTTGTTTAAATTTTAAAAATTATTAATATCCGAACTCTATAATAGTGTAACAAAAAAAGTGTAACAAAGACAGTATAACAATCCACTGTAACAAAAACAGTGTTCAATAGTTTTGTACATGTGGTAACAAATTCAAACCGAAGATGAATTGTTTTGAATGAAATTATATGAAAATATATGTTTGACAAAATGTAATAGAACAATATTTTGTGTAAATGACTTGTTATACTGTTCGGATATTAACATAATTTAAAAACAAAACCACTTTCCAAAAAAAAATATGCATAAATCAAGGGAGGACATACAAATATGAGATATTAAAATTTTTTCATAAAATTAGGAGATGTTTAATGAACTACTTTTTAAAGAAAATACACATGGATTAATAGAAGACAAAAATGTCATAAAAAATCAGTAAAATTCAAATAATATATTTAGATATAAATAAGTATCCAAATTAAGGAGTTAATTACCTAATTTTTTTTTTTTATGTATTTTTTTACAGCTGACTCTAATTTATTATACCCTTTCCAACATTTTTTTTTGTGTTTAGTAGGTCCACTTTATCCATCTGAGCCCAACCTTTGGCCATCATTACGTGCACCGAGCCCATTTGTTGCTGTTTTAGTTTCTGTTTCAATTTTAGGTCCTACTTATTTCAATTTTCACTTGATTCTCTGGTCTTAAAAAGGCCAACCTGTTGGGCTTTGGTGCCGCACATGGTCCTACCCCAGCCTCTCTCCATATGGCTGGCTAGACTTGCTCATGGCCCAATAGGCTGTTGGGTTTTCTAGTCAATTCATGGACCCCGAGCTTTTAGCTGAATCTTCTATCTGAGTAATAATACAGATCGTACCTTCAAAGACCATGTCAATATGATAAATATTATTTAGATTTAATTTGATAATTTAATTTATCAATCTAATGCATCGTAGCTATTGATTGGAAGTGACTGTCAATTAATAGTAGGGTACATGGTTACTCTAATGACAAAAAAGTGATTAGATCAACAAATTAAATTCAAATAACATTGTTCCATAAATATCGTAAGTTTCACAATTTCTAATATCTATTTAATATTCAATATTCTTGTCTAATACTAATTCAATTAATTTATTATGTCTTTTAATCAATTGTGTTATTTTTAATTTCATGTTGCTTCGTATTTATGTTAATGGTTTAAATTAATACCTCTAGTCAAATCATATCCTACATAATTTTTTTTGGATTAATTGCATTAGAGGTCTTCAAACTATAAAATTTATCTCAGTTTGATCCTTAATATATCAATTGCATCATTTTACTCCCTAAAATATTAAATATATATATAATAAAGTATAATACAATTTAAATTTCAAAAGATAAATAAAATGACTTTTACTATTCGCGATTGAGATCACTTTAAATTTTATTTTAAAGTTAATTTAACGGTTAATATCAACACTTCAAATTTAATATGAAAAATATGCCCCTAAAGATGTGTTTGAAATGACTTTTTAAAAATATTGTTAGAAATTATGAGAAAAAAAAAAAGAGTTTCGAACGTCCCCACCACACTACCTCTAACACTACCATCCTTATCGCTCCACCACTACCACCACCATTGCCACCACTATCACTATTGCCACCCTACCATACCCACCACCCCACCACCACCACCACCACCCCTTACCACCATCATTATTGCCACCCTATCACATCCACCACCATCATTGTCACCCCATTACCATACTCATCACCCCACCACCATCACCATTTTTATTGCTCCACCATCATCACTACCACTACCACCACCGTCCAACCACCATCATCATTTCCACCGCCCCACCACCACAATCCCCACCATTACCATTGTCGCACCCTACCATCATCACCATCGTTGTCGCACCTTAACACCATCGTTATTGTCCCACTATTACCCTTACCACCTCTACCACCCCCACCTCCACCCCATGACCATCATAACCACCATTGTCACTGCCCCACCCCCACCCCCACCCCACATTCATTACCCCACCATCATGGGCACCCACCACTGATTGTTACTATCGTCGTCCATGGCCACTACCTACCACCATCGTCATTTTATTCTTATATTTATTATTATTACCATCATCATTTCACTACCATAGTTGTCCACTGTCAACACCCACCAGCACTTGTCATCGTTCACCACTACAGCCACCCATCCCCACCATTTTTATCACTGCCGTCCATTTGCCACCACACATCACACTGTCGCCTAGAAGTATCCATCGTCGCCCACCACCATCATCACTACCCACCGCCGCAATCGTAGTCCCACCATCACCACTGTCAACCACCATTACTGTCGTCCCATCATCACCACTGTTGTCACCCACGGCTACTACTATCATCATTGTTACTCAAAACTCATCACCACCATCACCGTCACCATTACCACTCTTGTTTGTTACCACCACCACGGTTATCGCCTTACCCACCACAACCATTACCGTCTCTTATCATCACCACTGTCGCCCCATTACCATTACCATCACTCACTTCCATAAAATCGGTGCTTAAATTTTTTTATCTCTTCTCTGTGTTTGTAATTTGATTTTGGGTGTGAATTCAAATATGTTGACATTTTTTTATTACTCTGTGCCTTTAGGTACAGAGAATAACTAATATTTTTATGTGGTCCCTTTAGTAGACATCATCCAAATTACTAACAATTTTTTATCATAAATTTGTTACATGATACCTACATATAAAAAAAAAAAAAATTTAAATAGCTATTGATCAAAATTTGTGAAACTCATAATCAAAACTATGTAATTTGGATAGCTCTTGACTAAAATTTGGATATAAATTTAGTTAAGAGTTATCAAAATTATTTTTTTTGCCTATATTCAAATTTTACATAACAAGTTTATAATAAAAAATTATTAATAATCTTGATACTGTCTATTAAAGCATGACATAGAAATATATTAAATATTTCAGTGATTAAAGTGATGCAATTAAAATATTATGAATCAAAATAAGATAAATCTCATGCTTTGAGGACTTCCATTATAATTAATTAATTAATTTTTTTTTACAAACTTTAAAAATAACTTCTTGGAGCGCCACCCATGATCTATATGCTTGTCAATGGGGCCATTTTGTGTTTTTAAGGTATTTTGTGTCAAAATTTAGACAATATTATATATATATACACACACACACATACACACATCCGACTTAGTTACAATTATGGTTAGTTATTTTTGTATCATGTATAAATTAGATTGCTTGAGTTCATATCAAGTTATCCACCTCGACTAATCTTCTCACTTGTTCAATCAAAAACAAATCATCTACACAAGAACTATAATATTTATGAGGGACATATCCCTCGTACCTTGACATAAAAAAATTGTAAAAATTCGAACTCAATACACCATTTACTAACATCAAATCATTTTGTTTATAACCAGAATTCATACCGATCGACTAAATTCTTACCCATTAAGAGTTGCTGAGTCGTAACCACGACACCGTGCGTTGCCCACTCAGTATCAACTGTTTTATCAGGTCACAAGGCATTTTCTGTCCACTTAGGAGGTTATAGTGTCGTTTTTAATGGTGACCAGAATTGCCCCACTTCAGGTTGGGAAACTGACTCCACTCAGGGAAAAAAAAAACACCCAGAAAAATTCAGGAGCAAGTATAAGGTGGCCCAGATCCGATTAGTATTGTGCACCTAGTGGTGGTCCTCTCATTGATCCACACACAAAATGACATGGTGGAAGATTTTATGATTACATACCCAACCTAAAATTTGTTTATTTTTATGTGCGGTGCACCATCAATTTTTTGAACCATTTTATACTTCAGAAAAGTGGTCCTTGAAATGGGCTTAGAATCTTCTCTTGTTGTCGACATTGTTTTGATCAATAACACCTATGTTTAAGAGGGGGTGTGGGCGCCTTCTAAATTTATCATCATACCCACTAATGGACCATGAGGGGGGCAAGTGAGCGAGGACTGATCGAAAATCCGAGTTACTTGATTGACCCTCTCGTATTCGATTCATTAGAATTGGAAATGAATAAAATCAATCAAAAATAAAAATCGCACAAGCAAATTAACAGTAGATGAGTCGGATTCCCTTGAGATGATCTATTAAGAAATTCAAACACTTCTTTGTAGAACGAAAGAAATATTTACTTTTGTTTTGAGATGGAAAAATTCAAAATTTAGCCCGATGCGATGAAAATGGTAGAAGACGGCGCTGTAATTTTTATTTTATTTTAAAAAATCTAATGGATATAAACTTATATTGTATGTAAATATTTATATTTCCACATGCTCGACCATCCCATCCATCCCCTCGATCCATCATTGGTTGTTGAATATGAATAAAAAATGCTTGTAAACAATTTCTTTCATCATTGGCAACAGAAAAAATAATATGTATTTTCTGCCGGTACTAATTACTATTGTTCTTTGCCTCACAAGTACGCTTCAAGGAGTAACTTACAATCATACAACTCCCTCAACAATTATATGCAGTTATATGGACCCAGACAATAGCGAACTAATTACTATATAAATAGCTATGTATAACGTGAATAATCTTAAATGAGAAAAAGGAAAAAAAAATACTATTTAAAAAAAAAAATCTTATAGTCACGAATCAAGTAGTATTAGAATAGTAAACTAATGAATAGTAGTTTCCTTAACTTAATGTGTCCTATTGCAGGCCGTACTCCAATTATTCTATTCTATGAATGACTGCGGAAGAGGAGGAGGTTCAGACCCATTCAAACAAATTGCTCTGCCTGATATTTGATTCATTTCATACTCACGATTTAGCCCATGTCAGGCATGATTCAGAGGCTTGATTTGTGATAGATTCAAAGTCAATGAAGCTGCTTTTGGGCATTGAATTTGTTAGGGACAACACAATATGTAGAACAGTACTTATAATAAAAAAAATATTATTTGAATCTAATTTAAAATTTTAATTTAATGTAATTATTGAATTTAAAGTGAGTTTCAAATGAATTTAACGACGGAATTTAATTAGGTTCTTATAAAATTGTTCAAATAGATTGAGCGATTTGTACCATATAAATTATGATTGTTTACTTATGTTTCAATCATATATTTATGATGAGTTTGAATCTTGATAATATTTTGAGTCAGATTATGAGAGATTTATCTCTCATAAATATTTTAATCCTGTCATGGATGACCTTACTTTAAGCAGGCCAGAAAAAAAAAAATCGAAATACGCATAAATTATATTATTAAAATTATAATTTTTCGTAAATTAAGATATTTATGAGCCCAAAAGGCACCAAACAAAATAGAAAATAATCAGCACGTGGCTTTGTTAATAAGAGTTGAACGGCGCCACTATAAGAACCGAACCCGGATGAAATTATCAAACATATGAAGAGATCCGCCGCTGGCGCTGGCAACGGAGCAATGAAATTCAACGTGTTTCCGCTTGGCTGAACTCAGAGAGAGAGAGAGAGAGAGAGAGAGAGCACTTGAATCGATTTATCGGGCATGTTCTCTTCCAAGTTTAACGAAACATTGCCTGTTTGTCGCTGAGCCAAATCAATATGTTTTCGTTCCTTATGTCGGTAAGTTTCAGTTACTATATAAAACTCATAAACTCACCGATTTGACGCGGTTTCTTCTCACCCATTACGAATTAGCTAGCACTTGCAGAGACACCACTAACACAATCTCTCTCTCTCTCTCTCTCTCTATATATATATATATATATATATATATATGCATATATTTTTGATATTTCTGTCCTTCACCTCTGTCAGTGTCTATGGTTGAATTTTTCTTACATTATCGCAACTCGACTGAAACAAGTTTGATTGAACTACATAGATATATTAGTCTTTAGAAGTATTGCTTTGTTGAAATGGGTGTATGGTGGAAATGGAATCCGTTAAAGCTTCGCGTAGCTATGATCTTGGCGGCGCTTCTCGTGTTCCATAACAATCTGAATCTCTGTTGTTCTATCAACAGCGAAGGTACGACGTAAATTTTCATCGGTTTACAAGTTTAAGGCTTTTTTTTAGCTTTTGGGTTTTCTTGCTGAAGAGTATAAAATTGAGTGCAGGGTTGACATTATTGAAGTTTCGAGAGAGAGTGATCAGAGATCCATTTAACGCTCTGTCAAACTGGAACTATGTTGATGGGGACTTGGATCCCTGTTCCTGGTTCGGAGTCGAGTGCTCAGACGGAAAAGTAGTAATCTTGTGCGGATTCTTTTACTAATTTTGCACAAGTGTACATGCATTCGTGTATATACATACATAATTGCATCTCTATATGTGTATGTTCATGAAGTAGTATTGCCTATCACCCTATTTACAGATATATGTTCACATCTGTATTTATATTTTGTTGATTGTTCAGAGTTTATATTTTGAGGACTGAGATTTCCATTTTAGACAAGACTATGCTACTTTGTCAAAAGCAAAATGCAACTCTAAAATCAATTAGAAGTAGGGGACTTGAGATGCATTTTTTCTTTGGTCCCATCGAAGTGTCATTTCTAGTTCTATGCACAATATTTGTAAGGATGCTTTGACATGGTATATGAAATTATTAGCTTCATTTTTTCATCTTAGTTATTTGCTGGAGCTGCCAATGAAGTTTAGAGGAAACTGATCTCATGTATGATGGATACATTAGTCTGAGTAGTGAGTACAATGTTTAATGCTGTAACATGTTCTTGTGATATGAACTTTGGTTGCCCTGGTCATAAGTTACAACGTTACATGACAAGCTGCAATGACTTTGTCTGAATCTTTGGCATCAAAATGGTTGAGCTTTGTTGGAGTTTTGTTTCACTAACTTTTTCATGAGCATTTCTAATTGGCATGTTACTACCTCCAACTGTAGTCATTCATGAAGATGACTTAGGCAAATGATTAAATGGTGCTGCATGATGGTCCTATTACAGTTGTTTAGAACTAACCTAACCATTGATAGAGAATCCTTTAATTTCTTCACATAATTTAATGATTCATTAAATATTGAGGTATTGCGCTTTCTCGATTCCCTTTAATGGATCCTTGAAGCTCATTTAACTGAAAATTGTAGGGATTTGAAAAATCTTTGTCTTGAAGGAACACTGACCCCTGAGCTCGGAAAGCTGGCTTATGTAAAATCTATGTAAGCAGTTACTGATCCAGATATTGGTCCCAAGTAATTTTATTTCTCCTGTGTTTATGCATAGCTTTGATCCTTGACTGCAGTATTTTACGCAACAATTCTTTTTCTGGAAACATTCCTAAAGAAATTGGAGAATTGAAGGAGCTGGAAATATTGGACTTTGGATACAATAACTTCAGCGGGGCATTTCCCTCTGATCTTGGCAATAACCTCTCCCTGTCAATTCTGTGAGTTTATCTTTTCAAGGGTGAGAACAATTGTATTTACTGTATCACCTGAGCTTGTGCTGACTCAGTCTTGTGGTTATTCATTGCAGTCTTCTGGATAACAACAAGTTCCTGGGTAGCATATCTTCTGAACTTTATAATCTGAAAATGCTTTCTGAATTGCAAGTAGGTGAAAACCAGCTATCTGGTGCAGCATTAGGTGCCACTTGTAACAGCAGATCTAGTTCTTGGTAAGGGTGACAGATATCAAGCTCTTTTCTGGGACCTTCAATTATTCTGATTGAAATCACCCCCCTGCATTCCCTCCCTTTTTATGGATTGAGGTTACTGTAATGCAGCTTGTGACAACAATCTTTGAGAACATGGGACCCAAAGTACTGGAATAGGAACACATGAAGGAATGATGATTACAGAATTAATCTCAAAAGCAGAATTTTTTCGAGAGTATCCTAAGTAAATAAATTATTCAATTCTTTCAAAATAACATTACATATCTCTTGGCTTCAATTATGTCAGAAACTAGTTAATACTTATGACAAGCAACAGAGGCTCCTTGGCCAGGCACACACAAAAAGCTTTGTTTTTGTATTTTTTCTCTTTGGGGGTGAGTGTGTTGAGGGGAGGGAAGGAGATTATAGTGAGGAGCCAACACCTTGGCACCACTAAGTCAGCTGACAAATTAAGCTTAGATGGGTGGGTAAAATGAAATAATAAGCTGGCAGTAGATTTTTTTTTTTTGTTGGGTAAGCACTGGCCATAGGTGTTGAAGAGGAGTGGGAAAGTTTTTCGGAAACTAGTAGCAGCAGCAGCTGTGTTTAGTGTGAAGGACTACTGGCAAAATTGCAGGAAATTTCTGTGGAATTATTGGCAATATTCAGGGCTAGTTGATTCAATCTTAATGGATAAACTATGGTTATCATTTGGAGTTTCCTTGTTTTCTTTTCTGCTTAAAAAATGGAGTTTATTTGTTGAGGCCGATAGATGGCAGTATCTTGTATTCAATTATTCTTCATTTGCTCCATGATGACCATTTTCAGGAACACTGTGCAAGCTGGAGATAGAGCTCAGCGGAGTCTGCTGGAGGTGGCTGATGCCCCAAGTCCAACCAAAGCTGAAAGGCATAAACACCATAAAAGGGGTTCTGGATCATCGCCATCATCTGCTTTGTTGTTGTCACCGTCACCGTCACCATCACCGTCATTGTTTTTATCTTCAGTATCACCTTCAGAACCACCATTCTCATCTATTTCGTCCCCTCCATCAACATCTATACCATCTCCAGCAGAGTCTCCATTTTCACTGCCAAATTTTTTGGCTCCTTCACCCTTAGCAGTGCAACCACCAAGTCCAGCTTCTCCACCTCCAGTAGATCCACCAGTTGTTTCTAAGAAACCACCAGATTTGCATCCTGTTTCATCACCAGCCCCTTCTTCAACTCCTAGCCAAAGTGTGACAAAGAGTTCAAAATCAAACCATCATATAGTTTTCATATGGTCTGGAGTAATAGGGGGTTCTGTTTTCATATTTGTTTCTGCCCTTGGAATTTTTTTCTGTAAAAGCAGTAAAATGGTTACCGTCAAACCTTGGGTAACAGGGTTAAGTGGGCAGCTGCAGAAAGCATTTGTTACAGGTATTTCCTCATTCCCATGAAATTACATGCTGTATTTGGAGAAAATTTATGGCTTTAAAGACAAAAGGCGACAACTTTGTAACTGCATAGATGCATACAACACTGATAAGTAGTGAGATTGTACTGACCTTTGAGGATTGGGCGTTGATGAATGACGATAGATTTGAACTCTAGATTTTCGGTAGTCTTCCTGCCTCTTGTAGTCATCTGTTAAAAGGCCATCTTCATCCTCATGCTGTCGATTCTTTTAGATAAATTAGCATGCAACATACCTTGGGCAAAGAGTTCAATCAGCCTGGGTTTGTGAACTGCAGATCTTAAATCTTCCGGTTATTAGTTTGTGGTAAATACCTCAAATGCTGATTTAATTTATGCTTTCCTTTGTGTCAACGTCTTCATAATCGATAGTCTGCATTTTAGGTGTACCAAAGCTCCAGCGATCAGAACTCGAAACAGCTTGTGAAGATTTCAGTAATATAATAGCATCTTTATCAGATGGCACAGTGTACAAAGGGACTCTTTCAAGTGGTGTTGAGATAGCAGTGACAGCAACGGCTGTGAAATCTGCAGAAGACTGGCCAAAAAATTTAGAATCCCAATTCAGAAATAAGGTATGCCAAACATATTATGTCATCAAGTTATACATAAGCTTTCAGTCAGTCCTGCTAATCAGTTGGGGTATCTTATGTCATCTTCAGATAGAAATTTTATCAAAAGTGAACCACAAGAACTTTGTGAATCTTATTGGGCATTGTGAAGAGGAGGAGCCTTTCACAAGAATGATGGTATTTGAGTATGCTCCAAATGGGACTTTGTTTGAACATCTACACAGTGAGTTCCTGGATTGCTTTTACTTTTGTGTACCATGATAGTTGATCATAGTATATGCAAGTGACTGCTGAGGTATGCTTGGGATGTGTATTCCTCTATTCCACATGTCCAAAAGAACAGGGCTAGACATGCTTAGGTCATAACATATTGTGGTTCCTCTTATTGTAAACTTTACGATTAAAACATGGGTAGAATGATTTGACAGTGCTGAAAGTTGAAACTTCAGTCCTTAAACAGTCTATAGCAATGTTAGGGCAAACTTATTTTCACTTAGTGTCATATACATTTACACTAAGTAGCGATTATATTGTTCCATTTACAGCCAATTTTTCAATTTATTTATTTATTGGTAAAAAGATAAAAAGTACAGAAAAAAGATACCATGAAGGACAAGACATCCTACCAAGGATCCATAAACTTCTCATATTTTTTTTTCTGGAAAGTCACTATTTTATGTGCATAAGTCCCAAAAAAAATAAAATTAAAACACTACTACTATGTAATGTGGCTGGAGAACTTGAGTTGTGAATACACCTGCATTAATCTTGTGATGCCCTGACATGGTGTGGCAAAATAAAGCAAGTTGCATTGACTGTGGCAGAGATACGTTGTTCATGTTATGAAGACTTCATTTGCAGTATCTGAAAATCAGATGGTTTGGCTGATGTTGAATTCTGATGTGTTGCAGTCAAAGAAGCAGAGCACCTAGATTGGGGAATGCGACTGCGAATAGCTATGGGCATGGCATACTGCCTCGAGTATATGCACCAGCTCAATCCTCCGATAGCCCACAAAAACCTGCAATCTTCCTCCATATGTCTAACTGAGGACTATGCAGCCAAAATATCGGATTTCAGCTTCTGGAATGAAGTAACTGCAGCAAAGATTGGTTCAGCTACAATGGGACTCTTGGAGACCCAATCAGCGAATCCAGAGAGCAATGTTTACAGCTTTGGGTTAATTTTGTTAGAAATTATTACGGGCAGGCTTCCATATTCAGTGGATAGTGGCTCTGTTGTGGACTGGGCATCAAACTACTTGAGAGGGGAACAGCTCTCAAGAGAAATGGTTGACCCAACTTTGAATTCTTTCCAAGATGAAGAGCTCACTAAACTGCTTGATTTAGTGAAAGTATCTGTCCATCCTGATCCAAAACAGAGACCAACAATGAGAGAGGTCACTGCTATGTTGAAAGAGATCACAGCAATGGGACCTGATGGAGCAACTCCAAAAGTATCACCTCTTTGGTGGGCAGAACTTGAGATTTTGTCATCAGAATCTAGCTAAAAGGCAATGATGGCTTGCAAGTATAGAGTTTTATTCATCTTATATCAATATTAAATTTCGTATCTTTTTTCTCTGATTCTTGTTTTTCTTTTTTTACCTGTTGGGCAGGCTCCAAGTGAGTGGTATAGATACTGCTTTGAAATTTTTTATTTTTTGTTTCTTATGTTGCGTGAAGTGGCTGTATGTAATTTTTAAGCAGAGGAAGTGTAGTTTTATATAACAGAGAGCAGGATGATTCCCATTCTGTCAGATTATATACTTGCTGTGAATAAAATGATGAGTTTCTCAAATGGTTGCCTGTGAAAATTATTCACTTAGTCCTCGGCATTTGAGTCAAATGCCTGGATCTTCAAAGCCCCCTCTTAATTTTTATTTGAGTTTCTCAAACGGTTGCCTGTGGAATTCCCATCAACACTTTCCCTCCTTATATTTCAAGAACCTAAAATTAGCCACATTAAGTTTAAGATTCTGTTCCAGTAACCGTCTTAATAATTTACAATAAAGCTTTTCTTGTTTTAACATTAGCGTTTTTGACCATTTGCCATCGACTTTAACCAAAATTAGGGTGAAATGAAGGTTTAAAAATCATAGGTGGTAAAATATCACTAACTTAGACCATAAGGGGTAAATTTTTTTATCCATGATAATAAAGGAAGGGCTCTTCTGGCTACAAGGTAAGTTGTTACTGTTCAAAATGAAGAATGGGAAAAAGCTCTTCACTAGCAATGCGGAATGAAAAGACATCCACCCCAAGCACACAATCCATTTTCAGCAGAGACCAAACAAACCCCAAAAGCCATTTATAGTCCTAGATGAAAAGAGCTGCAAATGACTAAAGTGTTGTAATACACAAAGGAATGCAATCTCTTTATGATCTTGGTTGTTTACAACTTACAAAAGATATCGTAAGAAGCAAATTCTCATTCTGAATGTAAATTTTGTACCATTATTGGGAAAACAATGGTGCAAAGATACATCATGATAAATCTTAAAATCATAAATTCAAAACCTGAATTTTCATAATGTGCACATTTTTCCTTTTGATTTTGTGTGCTGCAGTTTTATCTGGCAGGCTCTTTGAGCAATCTCTTCACCAAATCTTCCTCGTCATAGATACTGATATTTGTCAATCTTTCCTCCAATGTCTTCATCCATTCTTCATTGCATCTATCATGTTTGCAGTGCTCTTCCGTTCATAGGTTCCCAAGCCCTTCAGTTCTGTAACAACATACATACATATCCTCAATGTTCTCTCTTTTCTGGACACTTTCCTTCATTCTCACGGCCATGACGAGCTTGCATCTCAGTGCTCTTGTGGGCAATTTCAGTATAATATTATCTAGGTGGGAAGTTGAAGCAATTTTTTTTTTCTTTCCTCCAAGACTAACTATAAAATTGCCAACAATATGTTTCTTGTGCGAAGGCAAAGAGACTCAAGTAGGCACATGGGCTTGGCCTAGTGTTCGATTGTACAAATCAATGGTGTCCTTGTGGTTGGGATCCAAGCAGAGTGCTGCCTCACAATCTCGAAGAGCAGAAGTGAAGCCACCCATTGACTCATGGAATGCTGCTCGAAGATTAAGCATCTGCAAGTCGGTCTTAAAAGCTATGGCTTTTGTAAGCTCCTCTACAGCTTCAGTTTCTCTTTGATCATCCATCATTACTGTTGGCATGTAATTTCAAAGTTAGTACAAGCAAAGCAAAACAAGTTATGGTCATTGAAAATAGCAGTAATGAAACCTATCAAAAATTTAATCAGAAGAAACTGTGAAGCATTAGTGATTTCCGACTACATAATAAAGGCCCTTTCTCATCATCCATTCATCATTGATAAGTTTGTCATTGTCCTTGATGGCATACGTAGCTCTTAGATTTTGAAATTTAATTATACTTTGTTGCACTAATTTGTAAATAAACAAATGACTTTAGCACGTAATCTCAATATATAACAAATTGAACCAAAAAATGAGGCCTGCTTCAGAAAAGGAAGTGGGACCCAACCATACTGGACCATAGGGAAATAAAATAGTCCCTATAACCTTCTTTTCTTGTTTCACTAGTATTCAGATGATCTACAGGACATCATAGGTTTCCAATTATTTGCTTCTGTCAAACAAACTTCAAAATAACAGATGTTCCTCCAATAGACAAGTAGGAAAATAATGGTGATTGGTTACCAACAAAAAGCAAATACAGCATTAGCTATCCAAGTGGCAAGGCAGGAGCCTTCCACCCTAGTCGCACCAAATTTGAAACCTGTATATTCGTACCACTCAAGGGAAGTCTGGAAAAAAAGTAAATTTACATACATAGAATATACTGCATGCATAATTTAAGGAATCACACGGAATACAAGTTTATCATTGTAATTACTTTGGATCTAATTTAACTAGTAGACAAGAGGCTGAAATTGAAAGGTGCCAAAAAGTACCTGCTGCCCTATATCTGTATGGGTACGTCCGTAGAGGATCCAACTGTGTTGCCATACTGAGATCCTTATTTGCCATGTCACGGTCACAATATTCAGACCGTTTCTCGTAAGCTGATGCCTTATTTTGTGCCTTTTCTATCAGCTTTGTCATTTCATCATGTGCAGCTTTTCTTTCATTTTTGAGATGATATACGCGTGCCAACCCTTGATGTGCTCTTGTATGCTTTATTTCAAGGGCATTCACATAACAATCTGCTGCAAGCTCCAGTTTACCACAATCCACATAAATACTCCCGAGGTTATTTAGTGCCTGCAGAAAAGGCAAGTATACAAAATGAAGAATCAAATCCAGTTTCATATAACCAAGAAATAAGTAGTTGCCTCCAGAAAATACTTACTTGTCCTTTACGAAGACCATCTGAAGGACATCTAAGTGCTTCCTCCAAAAGTTGGATAACATGAGATGCAGATTCAGGATTCAGAGTCGTATCAGCCAGCACATATGCTTCAAGGAAAAAAGCTTCAAATGACCTCTGGAGAGAAATGGACTCCTCAGCCTTGTTGAGTGCTTCTTTACGATAGCCAGTGTCATACAATATCCATCCTTCATATACAAGCTTTTCGGACTTAGAGCTGGAATGGTTTCGAGCCAATCGCAAACTGTGCATTGCAGCCTTTTGACAGTTTAACCTACAACATTCATAGATGTTAAGGGTTCTTTCCATTATTGGATATTAATATGCCAAATGCTCATAATAACTGCCGTTTAGATTATATATTTCTATATGGACAGGATATACTATTAAGGTTCCTGAGATAGCAAGTGAACACAAACAGTTAAATCAATCCAGTACCACAACTACTCACTACATGCCACAAAAATCAGCGAACTCTAAAATCCACATGCTATACAAGAAATATAGCATATGTATGCAGCATAACTCCAAAGGACAGAGATCAACTAAATTAGCTATCTCAACCACATATGAGTTCTTAGTAGAAGAAGAACTGAAAACAAGTGAGCTGAAACCTCTTAAATTCTACTTCAGCCCATGGCCTAGTGCTAGTCTAATTCAGCTCTCAGGCTGTTTACATAAATAAATTAAAGAAGAAACCGAAAAATGGAGTATCTACAAACCAAATTCCATATAGTATTATATCGTGATCCTCACAGACATTAAATATTTAGGGGAAGAATGATTGAAGCTTACCGCAAGAGAAGAAGAGATTGCCGAAACAGTAAAAGGCTCTTTCCTGGATCATTTGTTAACATCTGATGTATAACAGCCAGAGAGCCAATATCATCAACAGAAGACCATCGATCATAGAGTTGCAACCAGCAATCAGCAGGACTCCATTGTTGGATGCGTTGACCAAGGAGTTCAATCAAGTGATCACCTCTCAACCTCCCATGAAACATCATGTGAGTGGGATCCAAAGTCAGCAATGCCCGAAGATCTCTAAGAGCAGCTTGATAATCCTCAAGTACAATAAAGAACCAAGCCCGCAGTTCAAGGCATTCCGGAGAGGCCTTAAAACCAATTATCCTGTTTATCTCTGAGATAGCTGCTCCAATTTGGTTATCCTCCACCAATGCAACAGCTCTGTATCTATATGGAAACGGAAGGGTAGGATCCAATTTAGTGGCATCGTCCAAATCCAAATTCTTCTTCTTGCCCAAATTATACAAAGATCTTTCTTGGAACATCCAGGCCATTGCTTTATACTCCGAGATGAGTGAGTTAATCAGCTCATAGGATGAAAACCTCTGCCCTTGCTTGTATTTAGTTCTTGCAACACCTGCCATAGAATAAACATGACCCGCCTCAACCGCTGCTTCAAAGCAACATTGGGCATCCTTGTATTCTTTCCTCTCGAGCAAAACACAACCCAATTGATGAAATGCAAGTGCCTTCTGCCACCTTTCTGTTGCACATTCTCTCAATCTCTCCAGCAACATTATTGTCACATTCGCTGGGATCTTAGCTTCCATAGCTACCTGGCTAAGGAAACAATACAACAAGAAGGAAGCATGCCCCACCGTTGCCAATCTCTCCCTAGCCTCAACGCTGCAAAATATACTCATGATTTTTGAATCATACAAACAACTTGGTAGCTCTCTTAGAATCACCTGCAAGCAAGAAGCTACAAGAAGACTTGCTCTTTCCTCCAAACCATAATCAATAAGAATCAATGAATCTTCAATATCACAAACCAATGAAGCTAAATAACTATCACAAGCAGACTTCATTTCCTCACAACAGAACCTATTAGCAAAAGACAGGAGCTCCAAGACAACATTTGGCAAACAAGACTCTAATCTTCTTGACCTACTAAATACTCTTACAGCTCTCATTCCATCCACTGATATCCCAATTCGCGAAAAATCAATCCTACCACTTTCTGACTCGATAAAATTACCATATAGCATTACTTTAAGTGGAACCGAAAGAGCAGCAATTTTACCTCGAACACAATTAATATCCTCATTGCCAATGCAAAAGCAAACACTCTCATCATCCTCTGAACTCAAGCAATCATCCTCAGTTGAGATATCAATACTTGAGGTGTTATTAGCTGTCCGGATGCATTGGCAAGGATCAAAAACTGAATTAGGATCATACCCAGAAACCAAAGCAGCCTGGGGACATTCAAGAAATCGTCCAGTACAATCCAGTGCTGATGTACCCGCAAACTCATCTTCTCTCCTCTCATACCGCATCCACGCGGATAATACCACCTTCGAGTGTACGTCAACGGCGTGTTGGCGAGCCAATTGAAGGCAACGGCGGGGTAATTTTGGATCACTAAGGCTACACAGGAGCGAGTACTGTTCCAGATATACAGAAGATTTATCAGATTCTGAACAATTTTTGACTCGGCGATAGAGGTCAGCTAATGATTCAACAAGATCAATAGATTTGAGATAAGGATCAATGGGAGGCTCAAGAAACTCAGTTGTGGGGAGTCCAAATGGAAGTAGAGCTTCAGCTGTTGACATCGAATTGGTGTCATCAGACCTGGATAGTATTGAATTGAGTGTGGGGAGGTCTTGATGATGCTGGTTAGGCTTAGTGGATGTGGTGGTGGAGACGGCGGCGGCTGTAGTACTGGTGGAAGTGTCTGCTGGGTTGAGAGCGTGGACTTGGGTGGTCTTATAACGGTCTTTGAGCTTGAAACGACGCATGGTATGGGAGATATAAAGTGTATATTGTCGGATCAGAACTGAAAAGTCTTGATTTCAAAATGGGACACCTTGATCGATATTCATTATCTGTTGATGTAGACAAGAATTGAACAGGGGTGTGAATGATTGTTGGTTGATCACTTTAGCCCGCTTACACCACCACCACCACCACCCACCCACCCAGAAGAGGAGAGAGAGGAGAGAGAGAGAGATCAGAGATGGTGATGCAGGCTAAAGGAAAGGTCAACTATAGCGAAGGTTTTCAAGAAAAATAATCTAAAATTTGTGGATATTGGATCTCTCCATTATTTTATCACGTAAGGCTAAAATCACAGTTATTTCATCATACTCTTATGTGTGTTCATACGAATATATTTATGATTTTACAATAAATTGAAAAATTTCCTATTGTACGGAAATTGCCATGAAAGGGACCAACGCCATTTTTACTTTCTATAAGTAAATCCATACAGGTGTTGGATTGAATGTAGACACTATTTAATATTGTAATTTATAATTAATTTAATTATTATATAGAATTAAATGCTTAATTAGATTTTTTAAAATTATTTTTAATAAATAAAAAAATTGAAACTATATTTCGAATCAAAATTAAAAAAAATACAGTAACTCAAACCTTGAAAAAAATATCATGAGCATTTCAAACAAAAAGATTGTGATGATCTAATTACATTGGTTTTGTAACATTAATTAAACTCTTTAAATTGGTAACACGGAATAATAATATGATATAAGATAATGAAAAGAAATAAAATATAGTAAATATGGAATATATTTTTTATTTGTAAAATCACCATCCAAAATTTGGTAATATTTTTCTGGATTTTTCAAAAATAGTTGATATAATATCTGGACCAGATTCTTGGTAAAAGAAGCATACCTGATTATAAATTAGCTGTTGAAATTTGAAGAGACGAGATCAAACCCTAGAATGCAACTTAGGTTCTTCAATGGATTCCGAATACCTTCAACAAACAACTTTAAAATCACAAAAAAAATTGAAGACATATATACCTTCAACCGAAAAAAAAAATAAGGTTATTACATTTAAAAATCGAATACGAAAGTTTTTGGTGGGAATCTTGTTAGGTTAATGGTGGAGATGGAAACAGTTTTATCGGAAGCAGTTAATGAAAAATAAATTTAAATCCAAATAGATTTTTCAAATAGATTATTTTTCGAAATTCCTTCTCTTTTTTTTTTTTTTTTCTGTTGGCCACTATTACAAGAAAAAAGATGAGAAAATTTGAACCTGCAATTTTAAAATCAAACAATAAAGACGATGATCATTAATTCAATTCCTGACCTCGGAGTTATACTATTCTATGAATCATCAACGAGCCATTGCTTTCAAAGAAAGCTTGTATGGTAGTATCTACCAAGACCAAAAATGCAACAAAACAAAAAATGTGACCCTTTTTTTTTTTTATCATTGTAAACGCCAAGTTTGGTAGACCTTCTAGTTTCTTTCACCTTAAACCAGATTCCAATATCTGTACTCATTGCAACAAAAAAAATTTATTACACGTGGCTACACGACAATATGTCATAAGATGTGATTGTATCGATCATTGCAATTTAAAGATTGATTAATTATTTTTATTTTAACCAGAGTACTACAACTCGAGCGAATTGGGTCCCCGATTGAATGAACATGAGTGTTTGGAATTCTTCGATTCAAATTTCGAAGATACTCTATTTCAATGTCAAACAAGCAACTATTAAAAATGAATAGTTGCTAGATATTTTATATTTCCTCTATTCTTAACGACTCTGTCTAAATGCCACTAGAGCGAGCCTATTTGAAGAGACTCGTATTTTCACCACAACATTTTATTTTTAAAAATAAAATATTTTTTAAATTAAAATAAGGGTTTATAAAGACTCACTATATCTTTAATATTTCTTTCCTAATTTAGTCAATGTGAATCCAATGATAAAGTTTTCAATGGTCTTTACTAATATCGGCTTCGGTCTTCAATGGATATACACCTACATAAAGGTAGTAGAGTTCAAATTTTCGATTGACCGTAATTTTCTATTTTACTCAATCCTATTAAACGGCTAGCCGCAAAAATCGGATAGGAATGCAAAAGAGTTTTTGATCTTTCGATTAAATCGGATAGGAATGCGGAATATCTATCAATTTTCGCATTTCTATCCTACTCTACCCTACCCGTAAAAAATATATTTAACTTTTTATATTTTTTTTAGTAATTATAAGAGTATTTGTATGATATAATTTATATTATAACATTATCATTGTTATGGATGTTTGAATTACAAAAATATGAACCTTTTTTTGTGCAGGTTACATAATTTGTGGTGAACTAGTGAACTATTAGAGCAATTATGATTTTAATGTATTTCATATGATTTAAAATTAAAATAATTATTTGTATTTGTGTAACATTTATGATGGATTGATGCTCATGTTTTCTTATATTTTTATTGTAATTATTGTTGTAGTTGTTTTAGATTTTAGTATTATTGATTTATTATGTTGTTAAATTAGTGCATGTTATTTAATTGAATTGTTAAAATGATTCAAAAATTAATAGTTACAAAAGTGTTTACCCAATTTCCTACATTACTTTCTACCCGATTATTCGGGTAGAAAGTCGGGTAGGAATACCACACCTGATCGGGTAGGGTAGGCCAATAAAAAAAATTTCTGCAAAGTATCAGGTAGGAAGACGAAAGACAATATTTTCTACTCGTAAACTAGGACGAACACCCTTGCATAAAGAATTGAAAATTTGCAAATGAAGAAAATTCAGATTTCCATAAAGATGATGCTCAACATATTGGCTAAACATTAGAGAAAGGTCCCAAAGGCCAACTCTTGATGATTATTAGGTAAAGCTTGGATCATAGTACACATATTAATAGTTCAACGTGTATGTGCGGCCGGTGGACTAAACTATAAATGTTTGTTAGGGTAGGCATCTTTTAAGTCGAGTCCGAGAGGAGCAAAAAGCCAACGAGTGTGATCGATCACATGGCTAGGAATCTAGGCATTCAAGATGAAACAGTCTGGTCCTCGTCAGACAACCTCTGTTCAAGCACACACCCATGTACGTAATCAAAAGCCTATCCAAAGATCTAAAATTGAAAACATCTTTAATGGGCCGCGGAAGAGAGAGAGAGAGAGGGGGGGGGGGGGGGGGTTGAACATGAAGTATTAAATTTAAAGGTTCCTTTTATATGGAAAAGATCTAAAATTGGAAGTGACACCACTCCAGCTAAATATTAACAAGAACCTCACATGCCATATGCCATTCCAACCAGTCTTTTATGCATTTATAGTGATTTAGGCCATCTCTGCTCATTGCTCAAATTCTTATTAAATTTGAGAAAAAATAGACTAAAAATAAGTTTCAATTTTTGATTTTAACTTATACTAAATGAAGAGAAGTTTAATTTTTTTATTCAAATCAAGATAGACTCAAATATTTACTGAAATCTTCAATTGTCAGATTTAACTATTTTAAAAGATTTAATGGTCATATTTTACTTTTTTTTAAATTTGAAGTTGTCATACTTTAAATTTGAGTTTGTTCTTCTTTAAATTTAAATTTATCCATTAAAGTGTCTTGTACCAAATCAAATTTTTTACTCATTTTTTTACTTAAATTTGAGTTTGAGTTTGAATCAACATCGGAAATGCCCCTTGGAGACCTTTGGTTCATTATATTAGGAGAAATATCTCATCGGGATTAGGTAAAACAAAATCGGGGTCTATACTTCCCGTGCTTGGCAAGGATTTTTTTTTTTCTGATAGGATTATGAATTTCTGACCTACTATCATCATTGAAATAACTAAATATACACGAGTTATTAAAACCCACCTAGGGGTGGTATTCAAATGGGTGAGTTGTGATTAGAATTAAAGTTAAGAATGTGTCCTTATATCAAATTAAACACTTCATTAAACGACGAATAATATACTTAAAAATGATATTTGAATTATCTGTTATATCACGAGACTCACATGTTTCTTTTATTTTAATCTAATCATTCTCAAACATAAGATAGGGTAATAATATCATATTACTATGCAAATCTATTTCAAAAATCCTATCACATGGGTTTGAATTGATCTTACCAAGCTAATCCAATCCAATCCTGAATAAAAAAAAAAATTAACAAACCGCCCTTAACGTTCTTTGTGCCGGCGTCTTGATGTTCACCATTTGTCCAAACCGGTCCAACTTAGATGCCTATAATGACAGAGACCGTTTAATTAATACATGGGCCCTGTAGCTGCCATATGGCCCATATGCCAGAGTCCAGTCTCTGTCTGCTCCCTGCCTCAGCCCATGTTCCAAGCCCAAGCATCGATAGCATAACACAAAGCAAAAGGGGCACATCTCTCTCTCTCTCTCTCTAACTTGCAAGGAAAGAAAAACTGTTCTGTGGACGCTATTCCAGTTTCAAAGTGAGCGCTCTCTTTCTCTTGCTCCATCGATCTGGAATTCTGTATCCATATCATCTTGTTTTCTTGCAATAGTTTTTCCAGTCAGTTTCATTTAGTGTTCCTCCAAGATCGTTGATAGTTGATACCACGGTTCTTGCTTTTCTAAATTGACAATTCTTTAATCAGTTCTAATTGGGGTTTCTTTTAACTTTCGATCCAACAAACATTATCTTGATTCCCATTGAAGCTTTTGCAGAATGTTCTAATCTTAATGTTACATTATCTTAATTCCTCGAGTTCGATTGGGAAAGAATGAAGTTTATATATAGTTCCATCTTTCTCTGCGTTGATGACATATTTAACTCCAATTTTGTGATCTGTTTGTGGTATTGACATTTGCCCCTTGTTGCAAGGTCACTGAATCATTCGCGCCTGAGCTGAAGCTTTGTGTTATGCTTTTAGCCTCATGTCAGCGTCTAATGAGGATAATATGTCTTCTCATTCCCAGGTATTTATGGCTTTCAATCATGCTCATATGAAGCAACATACTGACAAAATGAGGGTAACGGAAATGAGAATGTTAAGTTGAATGTGCAGCAATAAAATACGAAATAAACTTATTAGAGAAATGGTAAGAGTTGTTCTAATTAAGGCTAAGTTGTGAGGGAATAGATTAAGATGAATTAGTCGTGTTTAAAGGAGGCCAATAGATGCATTGGTTAAAATTGGTTAGAAAAAGTGATAGAATTTCTCTTAATAGTATTAGGAGTAAGGTAGACTTAAATTAACATCGAATGAAATAAGAAGAAAATAAGAAAATATTTAACTTAAATAACCATGTAGCGCCGTATTGAAATGAATGGTGAAGATAAGATTGGGACATAAGGCTTGGTTTGGTTTGGTAATCATGCTCATATGACTGTTGTACATTGGTCTTTGGGATTCACAAATTGAGTTATTCATGAGTTTGCGATTTAGATGTTTCACTGTTTTAATTGAACTTGCTTGCCAAAATTATTGCCTCAACATTTGCATAGACACTCAAAATAAGCAGGATTTTGCTACCCAGCTCCTGTTTATTGTCTTCCATAATCCAGGATTTTGCTACATGTCTCTGTGAAGCATATTCCTTGACAAAGCCATGATATAATAGTGGGAATTGCATGTGAAGGGTGGACTAGGTTTGGGTTTTGGTTGCAAGTTGCAACTGTTACGTTCCCCCGAGCCTCCAAAAATCGAAAAAGGGCAAAAACCTAAAATAAATTTTTTAAATAGAAGAGTTTGCCATGTAAAGGCATTCCATTCATGTCCTGTCTTTGAGCTTAAATAGTGTTATGTGAATAAGTGAGAACTTTAATTCAAGTCTTTCATTTTCTTGCACCCTCTGTGGTAAGGTTCTCCAAATATTCTTTCAAATGGAGCTGAATTTTTGATTTTGCTGATATTTTCTTCAATCAATCACTAGCTTCAGTGCAAACATCAAAGTCAGTCTAAGTCAATGTTGACAAAAAGAGGAAAGGAGCTCCCATGCATGACCCCGTTGGGTTCTATTAAAAATCTCTCTAGAATGGTATCTGTGGATGATATTTTCCTGATTGTGTCATGATTTCCATTGTTTCAATATTTTTTTACTTGCCCTTTCCCTTCTTCATGGAATGTTGCTCCTTGATCATAGGAAAGATACCCATGACTGTTTCTAGTGATTTACCAACATCACCGATTAGTAGTTCAGCATACAGTGGCTATGCCTCAATATATTTATTGGTTCCAATTTGTTACGTCAATTAGTTTCTGACATATCTACATGATCTGCAGCTTTCGACTCTCTTTTTTAATGACCTTCTTGATTCTATCATTGTTGATGTCGCTTCTGAGTGTCACCGAATAGCAAGGTTGGGGCTTGATCGTAATTTAGATGATGAGGAAGAAGAATTGAGGTTATCAGCGCAAGCCCGTGCAAGAGTAGCTGATCCTAGTAATAGTGGTGAAGCAACTAGCAAATATGTGGTCGACATATTTGGACAAACTCATCCTCCTGTAGCCAATGAAATATTTGAGTGCATGAACTGTGGCCGGGCGATTATGGCTGGAAGATTTGCTCCTCATTTGGAGAAATGCATGGGAAAGGTAATTCTCTTCCACAATGTCTCCGTCAGTATCTACTTAAATTCAGCTCAACAAAACTATAAACCCAACCCATTGGCGCCTTGTTACACTGTTTCTTTGCACAGATTTGGTTGAGTTGATCCTCTGTTAAGCTCCATTATAGTTTGCATCTATAAGCCAAAATAGAGTAATACATTACTTCCGTAGAAGACTTCTGTTAAGGTATTCCCTACTTGGCTACAGGGTAGAAAGGCTCGTAAGACGACAAGAAGTAGCACAGCTGCACAGAACCGGTACTCGCGAGGCAGCCCTGTTTCAACCCACTCACCTTACGCAAATTCCACCAGCATGAACCGGTTATCAAATGGAAGTCCGAGTGTCGCAGGTGACGAGTACTCAAATGGCACTTTAGAAGAGCCATGATAGCATCTTGAACTAGCAGGGCTGACTTATTGACTTTAGAAATGCACAAAATAGCCGGATTACTACTTATGTGTGTTTCAACCCCCCCCCCCCCCCCCCCCCCCCCCAAAAAAAAAAAAAAAAAAACCCAACAAATGGTGGTCTTCTAAATTTTCTCAGTTGCAAGTTTATGTGGTAATTGCAGCGTAATTTGTATAGGCATATGATGAAACAGAATCGTTATGAATGGATGGGTTCGTCGTTAAGATAGCCTGTGACACTAATTCCTTGATCATGTCTCAATTTATTATTGTCGAACTTTGTTTATTTGACCAGAGGACATGAAAAGAAAAGAAAAACTTTAAAAGATTAAGCTGTGTGGTTGTAATGACATTGTGACTAAATGTTTTGGAGTGTGTATGTAGATTCAAATATCCATTTTCCCGTTATATGGAGTAATATTAGATTCCGTTTGTATTAGATATTCCTGAATCCCTTAAAAAGTTCATTAAGGCCAAGGATCAAAAGTTAGTTTCCGTATATAGTTTTGGTCATTTAAGAAATATAAATATTTTAAAACATTCCGAAATAATTGTGTAAATGCATTGAAATGTTATAAAACATTTCAAAATATTTTGAAATATCTCAAAATGTGTAGAAACGTTTTTGTACGTGTATGTTTCTTAGGTGGCTGAAATAATATATCGAAACGAAATTTTAATCTTTATTGATTATGACATTTCTCTTCAAAACTTGGTTCATCTTAGAAGATTCGAACTCACCAACTTCGTATTGCTCTCCTTAGATATGAGAAGTGATGGACGTAGTAATGCTGGTGGTAATGGTAGGTGTTGCTCTGTGTGAAGGAGACTTCTAAAACCCACAAGGACTTGGTGCAAATTTCAAAGTGGTGATAGCCTAACTGCATGAAGCCACGCAAAGAAAAAAGAAAAGGCGTGGCCTTTGGTGTTACAAATTTGTACAGTACTACAACGAATGTTATGCAAACCTGGCTATGATGGTCCTACTAACATTTCAAGCTTTGTTGTCGTAATTGTTAGAGAAAAAAACATATTCACGTAGGAGAAAATTGCAATACATCTGAACAGATAGGTTTGGTATGTCCACTGTTTTCTGGCTGAAACAAGATGAAATATTTGCTTCCGAAACTGGACAGTTCCCCTTCCAAGTTAAAACTCCGATTTTTCGGATGATTTTAAGCAACAAAAGGAGGTCTGCTACTGTAAATGTTACCCATAAAACTGATTAAGTTATTGAAAATCCAAGGCAGCTCAAGCTTTCAGAAAGACCAGAAATTTATGAACAAAAACCAGCCTTTTGGTACTAACATAGCTGAAGTATCTCTCGACATTTACAGAGGTCTCTTTCTCTCAGTTCAAGCAGCAACTTGGCTACCTGAATAACAAAGAAAGCTGCTCAAATGGGCTTCTCGAGCTACAATTTACTTGAAAGCATTTGAGTAGTGTGAGTTGGAGATGGGATTACACGTGTTTATGGATTGAACAAGATTTAAGCGCCTTCCATGATGATTTTATAAAACCCCATAAAGTGAGAGGGATCTTCAGTTAGTCAAACTGTTCCCAATCCTGAGTAATCTTAGTTGATGATTGTAATGGTTTTGGAGCACTGAGGCTCCCAACTCCTGAATCCAAGGCCCTCCATTTGGTAGTCACCGACACTGAATTGGAATTACTGCTATTTCTAGCCTTCAGATTGTCAAGTGCATCCACCAAACTCTGGACACGACGAACCTGCCAGGAAACATGAAAAATATGCAACATTCCAATCATCACCTTCTCTATATCGGTCCAATTCATTGAAAGCAGTCATAAGACACATTCTGTATGCAAATTGGAGGAGATGAGACTGCTTGAAATTGAGAGGATCAATTCATATATAACACCTCCCCAGAAGATATGAAATGCCAGTACAGGTAGCTATGCCTGTGGATTACTCCTTAACTTATAACTAGTACTAACCTCCAGACGCCTCTGGACTCTGGCCTCTCCTTCAGCCTCAATGCCATCCAGTTCAAGCAACAGCACCATGAGCAACTCTGTCAAGACCACCAATTCCTTTTCCGAAACCTTGATGCCGTTTTGCACAGCCGTCTCAAGAGCAACAACCTAAAACATTGAAAAAAAAACAAAAAGATAAAATTAACTTTCCTTGGTGCTACACAAAATGACGCTGTTAGTGTAAAAGGTACTGACCTTCTCAGAGAGTTTACCAACTTCTGATCTAATTCTAGCAACACGTTCAAATGCGTTTATATTCCCTTGGTTTTTCTTCATTTCCTGAAGCTTCCTCTCTTTGCTAGCCGGGTCCTCCAATAGTATCACCTTTGACATCTCTTTTACACCTGCAATGTGCAGACACTCATCGTCTTCCTTTTCTTTCCCTCTAAACAACAATCTCTGCTCCTTAGGCTCTAGACCGGTTTCTTGGGCAAGAACCCTTTTTAAATCCCCTATCATTAAACCAAGTAGAGCAATTAATCATCAATGTTGAATGTAGAACTAGATAACTCCACATAGATTACCAAAGCTAAGTTACAAGTCTAAGAAAACCCAACTTTCCATTGAAAAACTCAGCAGCTGCATTAGTACTACTCAAGAAATCTGTATTCATTTTCATTTTCTTCATTCAACTTCTAAGATCACCCTGCCCTCTCTTCAATATTAACCCATGTTTAGGGCGTCAATAACTCCAATCACTTCTTAGTTTTTTAGCATCATTAGGGTGATGACTTCAGCCAATAGCAATGAGTCCATTTTCTCAGTAGAGCTTCTTTATTTTAACCAGGAACCTCCAACAAAAAGAACTATTTCGTATCGTTTTGGTATTAAATTTAGTTTCAATATCTGAACCTATTGGGGGGAATTTTAACCAGGAACCAGAGAAGAAGAACAAAAACCACAACTGAAATTGAAATATACAAATGGTCTTTAAAGATCTATCTCTTTACAGGCCATTCCAAATTCACAGGATTACAAAAGTTAGAGTGTAAATGGACAAAAGGCTTGTCTGATGAGCAAAAGTAAGTTTCCAAATCTCTTCAATTCATAGTAAATAAAGCTTCCCCAGGTAGTTTTAAAAACTAAGAAAAAACATCAACTAAGCAAGCATGAGTGGTAATTTTAATTTAAAACAGACCATGAAAAATGAAATTAAATGACATACATGACAAGTCTGGTAATAAGGCATCTGATCAAGGAATCACACAAAATCTATTAACAGAAAATGAAAAACATTACACCAAACAAACAGGGCATGATCAGATGATATACCAAAAGTTGATTGAGCAGGGACAGTGACATCATGATGATAAGAATCATGAGAAACCTTGATCTTGATCATTGAACCAGAAGCAGAACCAGCCTCAGACATGACCCATGATCTCTTCTGAACAAGCAGACCACCAGGCCTCATTTCCCAATCAACAACAGCTTCCTCATTGTACTTGTACTGAGTTTTCTCTACACCTCTTCCTTTTGAAGTTGTTGATAATCTTTTCATACCCACCAACTGAGCTAATAAATCATGAAATTGTATCAAAAGAAAAAAAAAACAGAAATGATCGGAAAAAGGTGAGAAGTTGTTGGTTGAGAGAGGTGAGCGGTGACTGTAATGGCAGGAGGTGGAATTGAGTAAAGACTAATAAAAGAAATCAAAGACTAAAGGGTCTTTGAAGCCATTGATAGGGACAGTGGACAGTGACCTTTTAACTGAAACAGAACAGCGGTTGGTAGGTTTCCCCCTTCAAAAGCTGGTGAGAGAGAGAGAGAGAGATTATATGAATTTCATAAGATTTTGACAATTCCAAGTGTAACCTGGAGAAGATTACATGTAACTTCCACCACACAATTGGTGTTCACATTATTTGGTTCCTTTATTTAGTTTGATTTTTTTGTTACTCCAACATTACTGATAATATTATCAGAACCTAAAAAATTAATCTAATTTATTAAAAAAATCTCAATAAAATAGTCAACAAGTTATAGTTATAATAATGTTATTGCATCATGTTATTGTCATATCATTAAATTAGATTTTTAAATTCAATTAACATTACTCGTAGAGTTTACATCATTTTAAACAACGAGTGTCTATGGAGTTTGAGAAATCTATCTAGAATTATAGCTAAAAAATTGAATTCTAAATTTATAAAAACACAATCAAGGTCAAAATTAATTCAATTTTAATTCATTTTGATCTAATATCAAATAACCCTACTAATTCACGTCTACTTCTCTTTTCTATTCATCTCTCTTATTTTCTCTCTGTTAACTATAATTTTAAAATTATGTAATTAAATAAAATAAATAAATTGTTATTGCTAGTATTACAATAAGACAATCGAGAAAGGCTTTGCCCATTATGATGTACGGGCAAAAGGTTCACCGACAAGATTTGATGGCATCAGACTAGGCCAAAGAGTCCAATAGCTTTAGAGCGACCCAGTTTAACCCAATAGCTTTAGACGGGCCCAATTTAACTTACTGAGATTTAGCCCGTTTACAATTTAGGCAGGCCAATAGGCCGAACGCGGAAAAGTAAATCATTGAGACCAGCCTGGCTTTCCATTTCACGTTTCATTAGCTGGGCCATAACTTTTACATTCGTAGCAACCCGGTTGTGCTATCTACTAGCAACAACTACGTGCCTAAACACATTTTAGAATATAAAAAATTAAATATTAATTATAAAATATTATATTTTAAATAAAAAATAGTAATCATTATTTTTATTTTTAATTATATAATTTAAAATTAAAATAAATAGAAAAAAATAAAATAAACATACGACAAAGAAAAGAGAGAGAGAGGTAGGTAAGAATTAATTAGATTTGTTTGACATTGTGAAGTGTGTTGATTGAGTTTATTAACATTAAAGATTTTACAGAGTAAATAATATTTTTAAGCAGGGAAAAAAAATTGGGCTGAATTTTGTACTATTATACCAAAATAAATGATAATTTGATCAATTTTAATCGTTGTTATATTTTTAAAAGTTAAAAATTAAAATTTTTAATGGGGTAGATTACCATGTAATTATAGTATTTTGATTTGTATCATTTTAATTGTTTATATCTTCGTATCAATATTTTTTAATAACAAGTTATTTAATTTTAAAATAATTCATAGAGCACTAGAGGAAATTTTTATTTTTTTAAATAGCAATAAAATAAATTATTATCTAATATTAATTTAATTTATTTATTAGTCGGGTTACTATGAATTTATAATTCTTTCCTATCTCAATTAAGTTATTTCATAATTTTTTTTTTTTTTTTTTTGGTAGAGGACACTTGGGTTTTGGTAGAGGACCCATTATTGGTGTGATGTGTATGAATTATCAATCAATCAACGAAATAGAAATTTCTATCCATGGTGGTGCCTCTACAACTTCCCATCATAACGCCTTTAAAAGTCATGAATGAGGAATTCACACAATAGATTATTCTTCGACATGCGTCGACCCTTGATTGGCAAATTAAAGACACATGACTGACCTAATTACAAGTTGGACCCACCGTTCTAAAACCTCACCATCCCTTGCAGACGTTAATGGACTCCACACCATTCCCCTCCAAAAAGTCCCTTCCCCCTTAAAAACCAAGCCTTCTTTTCTACACCACTAACGAACACACACACACATATATACGTTTACGACCCTCTCAGGAAAAGGCCGGCAAGTCCAATTTTGTCACTGGGCTCAATAATTGTGGAGCCATCCATGGCTTTGTGCGTGACGGACACGGCTCGAGCACTGGCTTGCCGGGACGGCAAAGCGGCGGCGAAGCTCAAGTTCATATCCATATTCGTGATATTTTTCACGAGCGTCATCGGAATATCGTCGCCAGTGATGCTCGCTCGACTTTTCCACGGAAAACCGGTGTACGACAAGGCAATTTTGATAATCAAGTGCTTCGCCGCCGGTGTGATTCTCTCCACTTCACTCGTACACGTCCTTCCAGACGCCTTCGATGCTCTATCCGATTGCCAGGTGGCGTCGCGCCACCCATGGAAGGACTTTCCGTTCTCCGGACTCGTGACCTTAATCGGCGTCTTGATGGCTCTGTTAGTCGATTTAACGGCGACTTCACACGTCGACAGTCACAGTCACAGTCACAGTCACAGCCCCAAGCCTAGTAGTGAGTACACGCCGATTGGGACGCAGGATAGATTGGCGACGGTGACGGCGTGCAAGAAAGCGTTGGAGATGGAAGTTGAATTGGGGGTTGACCACAGTCACAGCCCCAAGCCTAGTAGTGAGTACACGCCGATTGGGACGCAGGAGAGATTGGGGACGATGACGGCGTGCAAGAAAGCGTCGGAGGTGGAAGTTGAATTGGGGGGGGTTGACCGGGAACCGGAAGAGATGGTGAAGCTGAAGCAGAGATTGGTGTCGCAGGTGTTGGAGATTGGGATTATATTTCACTCGGTGATCATAGGGGTGACAATGGGAATGAGTCAAAATCAGTGTACGATAAGGCCTCTCGTTGCCGCACTGGCGTTCCACCAGATCTTTGAAGGGATGGGTCTCGGAGGTTGCATTGCTCAGGTAAAACACTGGTTCCTTAATTACTCAAATTTCATGCTATTTTTAGTGATATGATTCGTTAAGCCGTTGATTCTTATAATATTATTTTGGGGAATTCAAATCTATTACAACATTAGATTTTTTGCATATTATCCGCATTTAAAAAAAATAAAAAATAGAGAAAATTTTTGTTTTATTTTATGAAAAACATTGAAAATATAAAAATAAAAATAAAAAACATGTTTGTCAACCGTCTCAAATTATATTAGTAACAATTTCTCAATTATACTAACAATGTCCTAAGCACTAATCATTCACTAATGCAACAATTGTATATTGTCTAAATACATATTCAACTTAACATGAATTTTAACATATACAAACATATATGAATTTCAACATATATTTATTTCATCACACACCACACTCAACACAGAAACAACACACACCACACACTCAACACACAAACAGCACACACGCAGCACACACTCGGCACAGCCAGGCACGCACACCTACACAAACAAAACAAATTGAGCCACCTTCATATATTCAGAAAATGTGTCTGGAGGGAGGTTTGGTAAGAAAAAGAGAATGGGGGCTTCCGAAAATATGTAGGTTTTTCACTCAATCTTTACCGTAGTGAAACCATAGAAAAAAAAACACATTAAATCTACTACACCTCAAATGATATTTTGTAAAAAAATTAAAAAAAAATTCATGGAAACAAAAACATAAACACACGCACTCACACTCACACTCGCACACCCACACCCACACACACACACTCGCACACAAATAAAAACAAACAGATATGAACTACGTATATACTAGTCATAACCCGTGTCTGAAGGTACAATGAAATATAAGATCTTAGCATTCAAAAAATTGATTATACTGTACCAAATTTCTACCAATTATTCTCTTAAAAATATTGTCAAAATACATAACTCGAATTTTTTTTTTCAGTATGTGTATAATATCGTATATTGATACTATATAAAATAAAAGTTGTGTTAAACTACAAATTAACCAAATATTAAATGATTGAACATGTAATAAAATTAGGTGATGTGATGTTTCTTGGGGGAAAAATATATAAAGGATAAATATTCAACTTCCTAGCTGATTTATTATATAGATATATCTATATACATAGATCGTTCAAGCAGGCAGAACTGATCGTCGTTCAAGTAGGCAGCAACAACTTGTGATGATGAGAGGAGCTTCGGTTCGTCTTCCAGAAGACATAGAGAGAGGGTGCTCAGTTCCTCTTCGTATACACAGAGAGAGAGACACAATGTGAGGATGGGAGACCGACTAAAAAAATGACCAAAAGCCCCAACTATTTATACTTCTATAAAAATATATATCTTTTGTTACTAATAGGGATCAAATCCGAGACCTCATTAAACCTCTTCAGCCCACCAAACACGTGTTTCGTGGTTTGGTTGTTTCTTAAAACATAATTTTTTTTGTTTCCATTGTTTTAGTTTGTTTCTAAGACAACTTAGATGCAATAAAAAACAAAAACAATTACCAAACACGTTTTTGTTTATTTTTTTAGCAAAAAATCAAAACAAAAACATAAAACAACAAATAAAAACAGCAATTTATGTATAATCTATGCTATTAGGAGCGTGTTGAATTCACATCTGAAATATGTATTGTACCTCTCATCTCATCTTATCTTAACTACCCATAATCATACAATTTGCATAACATGTGTTTTTAATCGTGAAACCCTAGCCGGAGTTAGTACCAAGCCTAATGCATTGCCATCATTAAATTAACGGCGAATCCTAGTCATATTTGCAGCACCTATCAAGCAAATAACCCCAACCGTAATTGTGTCACATACTTTGTCAAATGAAGTGTCACCATAGGACTAATAAAGAGGTGAATGTGAATCATGTGATAATGCATCATTGACTTGAATGGGAAAAAAAACCAATGTGAATCCTTGGAAATTGCAGTATTGGACTATTAATGAAAACTGCTATTCTGACTAGGTTCAATTCATTAGACCATATGATGTTAAGGGTGTCAATTTATCACATCATTTGACCATCTTATAAATAGAATTAATGACAACAAAGACCATATGATATAGTGTCAATCTTCTAAGTATGCATTGTATATTTTTCTGGCACTCCTAAAGTTTAACAATACTATAAAATAAAATAAGAAAGAAGAACTTTTAAAAGTATTTTTCAAATGATATATTATTTGGCATATAATAGCTGACATTAGTACATCATATTATCATTTCTTCTTTAGTTTTTCTTGTAAAAGAGATAAAACAGTTACCATGAATTGTCTAAATTTGTGGGAATGGTTTCTTTTGAACTATTAATGCATTAATAATCAACTACAAAGAGAGAAAATGATAATTTTGGGATATATCAGTTTTCTCAACAACTCAAATCTACAACATAATGCCAATACTACTTAGGACATTACTTATGCCCATACGTACCAGGTGGCTATACTTATAACGACTAATTGTCTTTCACGACAGATATAACTAATCCACGTTAGAGTGAGCCGCAGATCGAACAGACCTTTCTTTCTAGTCATAGTGTCCCAATAGAGTGAGTTGTCGTTGATCTAGTAATTTCAGTAGCACGACAAGCCATTCCAGGAATAGTAGTTTGAGATTCTCTTTATCTTCATTTGTTGTTCTCCATAGTCTTTCATTCATCTCAACCAACTATGAATTTGACTGAGTAATATTATTGGAATCTAAAAAAGTTACCTAATTTGTTAACTCAATGATATGACGATGTTATTATGACTATAAATGTTGAAGTTCTTCATTGACATTTTATCAGTTGACACATCATTAGGTTAACAAACTAGTGAGTCTTGGTAGGAACCCACTTGGATATAATGGGTGCCACTTGTATTTGTTCCCAGTGATCTGACATTAACGAAGTTGAGAAAATCCAATACAAGGGTGGATTTGGATCCTCCCAAGAGCAGTAATCTACCTGATGAGAACCAGTGTGATGAAATACATATCAATGTTATGATTTTGGTTCGACTTTTGTTGTCATTCCTTGCTGATTTTCTTGAGATTTTTTTTTGTTCAACAATCAGTAGTGTTTGGACTAGCTTACGTACAACTCAACTAATATCCTTCCTAATCCGATCAAAGGTAAACCTGATAGACAGCCACACCATGGGATCTATAGTGTTGAAGAAATATGTTCAACACCATTCACACTACTACGACTAGGATATTCATGAAAGTTAAATAATTCATACGGTTGCCTATTCCTTGAAATTTTCACGAGAGATATTTCCTGTTGATACTCTTACCTGCTTGAACTAATAATGATCAAACGAAAATTCATTCACCATTTCATATCTCATTTTTTTTTTTTTTTTTTTGTAATGCAACAATTTGAATGATGACAGGCGGGTTTCAGCTTCGGAACAACAGCCTACATGTGCTTTATGTTTGCAGTAACAACACCAATTGGGATAGTTTTGGGAATGATCGTTTTCTCGGTGACCGGGTACGATGACAGCAGTCCTAATGCCTTGATTCTGGAGGGGTTGTTGGGGTCCCTATCATCTGGTATTCTCATCTACATGGGTCTAGTTGACCTCATAGCTCTTGATTTCTTTCATAACAAGTTGATGAGTTCTCAAGTATGGTTGAAAAAGGCATCTTTTATTGCTCTTGTTCTTGGCTCTACCTCAATGTCTATCCTTGCCATTTGGGCTTAAAGATGAAGTTTTGCAAAAGTCGGATCAAAAGCAGAACCACAAAAAGATTTCAAACCTGGTTCCATTAATTGTAAAACTATGATGTACCCTTTTTTTTTTTGATTCATCCTAAAACAAAGCCCAGCCGTTGTATTCAAATTTCTATAAGGTCCTGTCAATGCCTCTTAAGGTTCAACAATTGCACCAGTGGTGACAGATCAGAAGTTTCCTTGACCAGTGGTGACAGATCAGAAGTTTCTTTTGCATCAAGGAAAACATGGAACTAGTTGAAGGTGTTGAAAAAAGTCTCTAAAAAACTATGAGATTTGGTGCAGGTCAGATCTACCTAGTCTTTATTGACTGCAAAGAGATTGTTTTTGTAAATGGAACCCGTGATACTCGAGAGATAACAGACCAATATCATTACTGCACCAAAATTAGCCCTCGCGTTATATATAATAGTTTTGATTAACATAACAAGAAAATGTTTGAAAGTTCCCTAGAAACATTTTTTATTACACTGTTAACAAAGAACCAGCTTTCTGATAAAGATCCATTCAAATTCAAAAATAGATCCTCAAGTTTTGGAAGTTCTTGGTTTTTACTGAGGTAATTAGTTATTAAACTTCCTCTACCACCTATACTCTGCACAGATTATATTCAATTACACCCAGTGTTACATGATTGAGTTCTTGTTTGGCATGGCAAGGGGGCCTCCTATGTTTCTAATGTTCAAATTGCACACTTTATGCGTAAGTCAAGTATACATTGAACATCCTATTAAAAATATATATATATATATATATATATATATAAAAGGAAATAAAAAGGTGTACATTAGCCCATAAAAAAATCTGAAAATAGTGGGTTAGTGGAGAATGAAGTGGGTGTTGTCACTTTATGAACTTCATCTTTTTGGGCAATAAGTGCATGAACGTAATTGAAATCTATACACAACCCACCTTGCTTGTCTTTCTTTGTGCCATGTATATAACAATACCTTTCTTGAATGAATCTGCATCTGTATACATGATAATTTTTTTCAATGTATTGACGGATTGTTATGTGTCTGCTGGTGTCTGTGTCAAATTGGAAGTTGGAATGATAAATCAAAAGGTTTCTTATTGAATTCCTAATATATCAACAGATCTAGTTCTTTTTCTTTTTAATTGGGTTGCGGATATGGGTGTTCAAGCAAGTCGTGTTAATTACATCGGGATTAAAAAAATTATGAGAAATAAATTTTTCATATTCTGATCTAAGTTTTATAAAATTTTACCTTCAAAACGTTTGAGTTTATAACTTATTCCATATCCATTAGGCTAATCTTTAGGGTCTGTTTGGTTAGAAAGAAAAAAATGATGAAAAGTGAAAGAGGTAGAAAGTGAAAGAAAATATAATTTCATGCATGTATTTGGTTAGCATGAAAAACTTTTAAGAAAATTTTAAAATAATCTCATTCCGTTGTTTGAAAAAAAAGAAAGTTATAAGAAAATTTTTATAATTGTCTAAATTATTCTTAAGTATTTTAACTTGGTCTAAAGAAGAAAAATATATTTTTTATTATTCAAATTTTAAAAAATTGGCTCGTAACCTAATTCAGGAACAAAGAACAACTCGAACTTTAATCTCTAGACCAAATTATATGATTAGCCTACTTTGTACACATTTTTTTAAAATTAATAACTAATTGAATATTTTAATAAAAATAAGGATAAAATGAGAAGTTAAGTTATTGAATACAACTTTCTTGTTTTTTCTTGTGTTTTTTGCAAGAAAAAAAAGTTAGTTAAATGTGAGAAAATCTAACATGAGAGAAAATTATTTTTTCTATTATTTTCTATTTTATGCTAAACAAACGAATGTAAAATTTTCTCTTTTTTGTATTTTCTAGCATTTTCTACTTAAACAAACTGTCCATTAGAGTTTCTTTTTCTTTTAAACGAACAAGAATTTCAGTTTAAGCATCGACCTTATTACTTCAAAATTCAGAACTTACCCATTTATTCTGTAAAATACTTAAGTTTAAAAAAAAAGCCTAAGCAAGGTCCCGTAGCTCAGTTGGTTAGAGCGTTGGTCTTATGAGCCGAAGGTCGCGGGTTCGAGCCCCGCCGGGACCATTACTGTTTTTTAACATAGGCCGCCCAGTTACAAATTAGGCTACCAAATTGGGCTCGTCTAATTTAGTGTACTATAATGGGCTCCCCACAGCCCAATGATACTTGCGGCAATACTCTTTTAGCCCGTTGACTAGTTATCCCACTTCATCGGTTTGACCAGTCTTTATAGCATACAAAATTTCCGATATTTAATTAATTAATGTAAAAAAAAAGTTTAACCTCGCCTCTTCTAATTTTATCATATCCTCAAAGACATTCTATTTAAAATAGAATCTTAACCGACACCCGAGTCAGATTAAAATTGCCCATAATATATTAAATATTGAAAATATTTTTAGGTCCAAATAATATTATTCTTTTTAAAAATAAATAATTTTGGTATAAAAGGAATATATTTAATCACTATATAATAAAAATGATTTCTATGAATCTTATAATACACTTAAAGATGTGCATAATACATATATTACTTAGTAGTATCCAGGTGATTAAGCTTAGAAGAACGGTAACAAAGTGAAAAAAACATACATACATATATAAACAAGCAAACATTACCTAAAAAACGCAAGAAAACACCAAAAAAACAGTATTTTACAAAAGCTTTAACGTTACTTTAAATTCTTTGATATTGGTAAACCTGTGTTTAATCCAAATTAACAATTAATCATCAGAGTCAGTAGTCAGTCAAATGATCTTTAATAATCAAAGTAATGCTATTTAAATTAAACTAATTTATTGATCTAATCAATCACTTCATTGGATTAACGGTAATCTCGGGTTGCCTATCAATTCTACGAGTGCAATAAATAAATAATGTGACAAAATTGGGTCAAAATAATGATGCATTATCAGGCTGAACGACTACTCCAAAAGAAAAAATGTAGATCTGCACAAAACTTTGGCATTAAATTTGTTGATGCATCAGACAAACGAACTAGATTCTCTCCTCTCTTAACTGAATGATTCACTGGCGTTAATTGATAGATGAACTTTTCCGTTCAGATCTGTTCCTGCTCAGCATTCTCTTAAGCGAGCCACCCAACGACGATGCTTGAGACGATACCGATGAAGAAGACGAAGGTTCTGAAACTGAATCATTCTCCGAATTGGGAACTTCAACTACAATCTCCAATGCAGAGTCCTCAATCTCATTCCCCACATTCAATTCACTCGAAGTAGCCTCAGATAACTCTCCACGCCTCTCATTTGCCAATGAATTAACGTAGTCAAGCTTATTATCAAACACAAGGGCTCGACAAAGCGGACAATTTGAATGACAATGGAGCCACATATCTATACACTCTACGTGAAATGCATGGCCGCATTTGGGTAATTTTCTACCCGTTTCTTCATCTTCAAACACACTCAGACATATGACACATTCCAATCCATGCTTTTGCTCGTCTGATTTGAATACGAACTGTGGTATCGAAGAAATGACCGATGATTCAAGACCCTTCATCGGAGACCCGGCGAAAATGGTGTCAACAGTGAAGGTGTGGAAGTGATGCAGTCGAGAACTCAACACATGTGGAATTGACCCAGAAGAACTTCTACTTCTCTGACGAGCTTGGACTAAAAACCATTTGGCATAGATGTGGAGGAGCAAAACGAAGAGAATTACCAGAAGCAATGATATGATGGCGGCAAGCATTATGTCGCCGTCATTGGAGAGTATACTCCGGATCAGACCAGTCATTGGGTTGGAGGTAGGTTTGTGTGTGTTGGGTGGTGACGATGGAGTGGACATTTTTGGTTGCGCCACCAGCTAAGTGGTTGGTTTGGTTGTGGGCCTTGTGGAGGTGGTAGTGGTGAAGGAGAGAGTGAAGGAGTTTCGAGGGTACACTTCTAAGAGTTGAATCTTTGCTTTGTTTTAGTATGGGACTACGTTTACGTGAATATAAAGTCGTTGATAAGGGATTAAATTAAGGGCACTGTGTCCCAGTTCTCCAACAGCGTGTGTGTGTTTTTACGTTATCAATTCTCTCTCCATTCCTATGAGTTGGTTTAAGTGTTAAATAAAGAATGAAACGTACAAAGGTATATCTTAAATTTGTGTTATACTATTCTCCGTTGTTAACAAAATATAGTAAACACGCTCTCTCTCTCTCTAAGTTTAAGGTCAATAGGAATCCCTTACTCGAGGAAATTACGAGACTCATGCATGACTCAAGTGAAAGAAGCTGAAATAAAGGTCTCGTGAAGGCGACGGCAGCAATAGATTATTGTTTATATATATAGAAATATTGACCGGAGAAAATACCAATTTTAATACAATAACAATATTTATATAATACATTACTGATAAATAAATCATATTTTTCAATTTATTGCTGCATACGTATACACAAGTTTATATTTATTTAACATGTCTGGCAGGGTGAGTGCGGGCCCCCCCAAGTTGTCTTTGTTTAGTTATTAGCTTCAGGGGTCCCATGTGAATTTGGAGAGAGATAGAGGTCCTTTGACCCTTTAACCACCGCTCAGAACCAGTAGTAGAGTGGTGCTAATAATAGTAGTTGGTGGCTGGCTATAGCTTCCACTTTTCCCTGCATGTTTTAAGCAAAACTTTGTTGTGGTTTAGGCTCGTGACCTCTGACCCAATTCAAAGGCAAGGCCAAGATATCACACAGGTGGCGGAATTGCAGAGGCTTCTTGGTTTGGGTCGGAGACCCGCCCATCTAAGACTCTACCATCATTGACTGCCGTACCAAACCGGTTCTGCTTTTTACAGCGGGTAAGATTTTTAGAGGATATGATAGGAGAGGTTTGTACTTTGATAGGGTGGCTAACATTCAATACTCTTGCCGCTGATTGAGAAAAAAAAAAAAAAATTCACTTCTTTTAGGTAAAGAAAGATTCAATTTTTTCAGCTACATTTACTGATATTTTATGTTGAGAGGATTTTTTTTTTTCTCTCGAGTGCCAGTCACAAACTTTCATGCCATAAATCGACAAAACAATAGAATCAAGTTTCTATTTCTATTTTTGTCTTGCTCAATTATCATAGCATCTTAATATCTATAATATAAAATATGACATACTTTAATAAACTCATCCGATAATCTCAAATAACGCCCACCAACATTCCTCTCAAAATCATTCACATTAAATTTCTCCTTAAATCCATCATTTTTCACTTACCGTGTCTTTATGCACGAATTACCCCTAGTAAACATATACTACTACACACCTTACATGCCACCACGCACCGACCCCATCCGCCAATTTTTCTTCCTTTGCTTGCTTAAAATATTTGAAGAGCATAAGATCCTTCTAAATAAAAGAGTCATTTTAAGGAAGGAAGATTGTTTAAACAAAGCAATTAAACTACATAAATAATGAGAAAAGATGTAGATTTGAGATACAAAGTGTACTTATGTGACCAGTTTCTGTTTATGATACATCTTTGTAAATGAAAAAAAATAATCGATAGAGAATTGACTCAGCAGTATGAGTTAAGAGTCAAAAAATAAATCTTTTCTCCGAAGAAGTTTAATCCATGAGTTTGTACCTTTTCTCTTGGACACCAGTAACTCCCATTTGTATTTCTATTATTGTGTGAAGCGGTACCTGAAAATTGCAATAAACAATAAACTATTCAATGTCCAAACCTTAAGCCTTATGCCCCCAAGATTTCTAGTTGCATACAGGGTTACTTTCAATGCAAAATTGAAAATGCCGACATTGTGAGAAGTAGAACTATGAACCCTTGATTTCCCTTAAATTCTTTAGAAAATTTGAGAGAATGGAATACCACTGCCACCAAGAAACCATATCACCAAACCAGCACCATTTCCCTTACCACAACACCATAGCATGCCATCATACCGGCCATAAATTAGAAGAGCTATATGATAATCTCTATTCCCATCTCATTCACATCCGGCACTGCCAGTACCTACAAATATCACCACTAGTCCCACTTTCACTGATACATCAGTAATTCCTCTGTCGTCTATCAATACTATGAACACCTGTAATCACACCCAAGCTCTTTGACACCACAACCATCAGTTCCACCGTCTCCAGCATAAAATTTAATCATTTAGAAAGGAAATCTTTCGATTAAATAGGATATGTATTTGTGCCTTGGTGGTTTCTAATTGACTGAACGTCAATCTTCTGAGGCGACTGCAAATTCTTCATCCACATACGCCCTTAAGTTTTGGCATGCAAAGGAACTTGGATTCTAACGTCTCTTGTACACATTATCTGAAATAAGGGGCTATGTTTTATTCATAGGGATTATGAGGCTTCAATTCATAATAAAGGCTGGAATATATTGAAAAAAGTAGGTGTAGCAAAATTCACTACAAGAGCATACAACCCAGGAGATCTTCCTGGTTCACCACCAGCTTGATTAAAGAATTGTGTATGTATTCTATTTCTAGTGGGTTGTAGGATGACTGTAGCGGAAAACAAAAGTATTTCTGGCCCATTAGCTCGTTATTATCTGTCAAAAGAAGAGACTAGAATTACCTCTATATGGGGAATTTCTTTCAATGGCCTGTCAGCAAAATAAGAATATAATGCTCTCAATACCGCCTAAGAGAACAAAATATTCAACAAAAATCAAAGGCAAACGTTAGTACTTTTGTCCACAGCAATATAATTTTGAACCAAAAAGGAGTCTGCTGCAATTTGTATAACCTGGTGAGAGATCACTACAACAGGTGCTCGTTGTCGTTCAAGTTCAATAATTACAGGTTCCAACCTGCAATAAGGTGGAATTTAATAGCATTGAACTAGCAGAACAAAAGTTTTGATTATGTGGAAAAATATAAAATATTATAACTTCTGCCAGCAAACCTTTGTATAACATCCAGGTAAGACTCTCCACGAGGATATCGGTACCTTAATTTGTCCTTCTTACGTGACCTGCAACAAATAGAACAAGGGTAAACCTTAAGCAAGATTAGAGAACCATGTAAAATATGGAATTCCAAACATACATTTCCAAGCAGATATAAGAGATCATTGTGGGATACAAGCATTGCAGAACAAGTCAATTACACCCAATCGCACAGCATATCACAAGAGGACTGAACCATTGTCATCAAATTGAAGACCAATTTAACAATCATCCATTTTCAGTAGTATGCATTTTCCTAGCTAACATTGAGAGATTAACTATACATTAGGTTCCCTTGTAATTTATGCTCTCTGAAATTAATTTAATGACTATAAGTTTTGGAGGACACAGTTTAGTTCTTACAGTTATACATCCCTAGTATCAACTGAACAAGTCAGTTAAAATGGCATTGATCGCGTATTAATTTATACAAGCAGTTGAAGATCGAAACAAGTTGATGCAACCAATAAAAATGCCAGTAGACAGTGCAGCCATACTTGCAGCATGCTGGGAGGGTGGTTTGACATAATAGCAGAGATGATCCTAACTTATGGCATATTTGCACAAAGTTGAAGCAATAAAAGATGAGCGATAAAAGATGGGAATGATTTTTAATACCACCAAAAAAGGCTACTAATGATGGTCCCAGAGTTCTTTTAGCCAAATAGTGAAGGTGAAGATGTAGAGATTTTAACAAGAAAATTAAATTGAGCAGTGATCTTCAAAGTAAGGCCCACCAAATTACATGTGGCAACCAAGAAATCAGTCAAGTAGCAGATTTTGATAGTCCAGAGACTAATAATAAGTTGTCACTATCAAGGTGTTGGACTTCTCAATTAGGTTGTTGAATTTTGGTTAGTAAACTGTTCACTTGAAAGCTGAAACCATATGTCAATATTAGGAGTCTCCCTGTGATTCCAATCAGACAGAATCTACAGGCGATTGAAATTATTCGCTACAAGTTTCCATTTGCTTTGAAGGTGAGTGAACACTCCTCAATCAAGAGTTATTCTACTATTACCAATACTAGGTGATCTTTGTTGCCTCAAGTCTAAGTAAAAAGGCAGCCCACTACACGAGGCTCCCCTCACTGCAGGGTCTGCCTCCAGTCTAAGTGATTCTCAGAATTGTTCCACCCCCTTAATGTGACTCTTCACATCAAACTTCTACCTGCAGCATCTATATTTTAACAAAACATCTCTATTTCATTGATCAATCAAACTAACTTTTGTCGACTACTTTCCGAAAAAACTTTTTTCGACCAGCCTTCAATTATTCAAAGTAATATCCATCCTTAAATAGTCCAGAAGACTTCTCTTTTGGTCTTTCTCCACTAAATATGTGGTCCAACAATCACAAGCAGCACCAACGTAGAGAACATATGTCACCAGGGACTATTAGATGTCACATTGTTTGAGCCGTTGAGCTGGTTCCTCAATATTCCTCCTCACAGAATGATAATAGAGCAGGTATACCTTCTCATCTTCACCTTAAATAGGCAACCCAATCTCCTCAAGAACACAAATAGAGAACACAAGCAGCACCAATGTAGAGAACATACACATTTTAGAGAACAATAACTATATAGGTCCTCCAAGAGTCACAAGCAGCACCAATGTGGTGCTGCTGCTTTTGACTGTTGGACAACTAGACATTAAATTGTCGGAGTTGTTGAGCTATAGCTCCTTAATATTTATCATTGCACAAGGGTAGTGTCATGCACACCTTCTCCCTTTTGCCTGATATAGGCACCACAATCTCGTCCAGAACACAAGTAACAATTGAAACTCACAAATGTTACTTTCACCTTCATCAAAACAAAAATATTGGCAATTGCATGCATGCTCACCATATCAATGCAACTATAATTGTAATATCATGCCTTGGGGATTGGAAATCCATATTTTTCACAGTCCCTTACTGTCATCATCATGTTCAGATTGTTGATCTCACTAGTCCATTAACTACAAGAAAGTTGTGCAGACATCACAAAGATCAAGTGACATCAAATATGTTTGTCGATAAATAGTCTATCAATTCACATACACATAATTAGCGCCAAGCCTTTTTGCTGGAGTTGCCCATGCAACCTTTCGTCACGTAGCGGCAGCCAGTAACAGCACCCAATTTAATCAGGTGGGTGGGCACAAAATTTCAATTTAGAGACAAAATAATGAACATAGATTCAGTTGCTGTACAATTCATTCGACGTAATATAAGTTCTCCACCCTCTACGAGTTGTAAAGCATTATGCCTCCCATATTCCATTACCAAGTGCACCGCCGTGAATAAAAGTACAGCAATAAATTAAATTATAAGAATTGAAACATACTCGTATTCCTCTGGCATATTCTTCCTTATTTCTTCGTATGTCATCCCATCACATACACCAGCATTTATCTCATCGAGTGCACGCCATTGTATCTAATCCCCCACATCCACCCAAAGAAAAAGATGAAAAAGATAACAAAGTAAAATCGAAAGTAATTAAAAAAAAAAGATACAGCCACACCTAACATCAACCATCAACCATCAACCATCAACCAAATTTTGCTAACATAAATCCACACAATGGCCTTTTGTATATCATGCTAACCTTGGGGAATCCATGGATTGGACTTGCTGTCAGAATTGTTCTCTGCAATGTGCTGGTCCATATCTGGGCAATGCAAAAAGCATGAATCCTTATCAGTATTCTCTAAATTTACCAAAACTTTCATGCATAGTCAGATCAAAATTATGACTAAGGCATTAGAATTCAATCAAGAGACTATTACAACTCAAAGCTGTAGTCTGAAGCCTATAAAAGAGCAGCAGGTTAGGAATAGGATATGCATGAATACTAGGAAACACGGATACGTCTCCCAAGCATATTAAGCGTGTCAGGAACGTCTAGGATACGACACCCCAAAAATCCTTAGACACATCTCCTAAGGTAAATTTAAAAATAAATATAAACTGGATAAATTGAATGCCAGATTTTTGGTTCACAAGTTCCATTAGTTGTGGGTGCTTTATGCAGTCTCATCATATTTAAAAGGTGGTGCATTATGCAGAAATGTATGGAAGCTAAATAAAACAAAACAATTGCAAAAATGAGCTTGCCCATTTTAATTGGCCATTTGCTACATGTCCAATGACAAGATGTTATTGAAGTGCTACAACTTAAATTTCAGGGCATATAGCTTACGCAAACGTTGATTTCAGTCAATAAACTCCAATTAGTGAAGGGACAAAAAGAAAGGAGGAAAGAAAGGAAGAACAGATTCCGCAGATAGTAGGCAATTACAAATCAAGATCAGAGTCATTGCAAGTCGCCCTAATGATCAGCAATCTATCCATGATTATGTAAGCCTCCCCCATTCAGAGACAAGGTTATAGAAGTTAAATAATCACACAACAGTTCTTATAAATAATGTTAACACAATCTATAACAGGTTGGCTTAGCAGGAGAACAAGGGGTGGCTGCGTAGAAATTAGAAGTTCAAAGTGAATCGATTGGAAGGTAAAACTATAAACTTTTACATAAGTACATGCTACAAATTTTTACATCAGGAACAGAATCACGTAATTAGCAAAGCTTACAGAAGCAGCCCTTTCATTTTTCAGTCGCTTTTCCACAAAGTTAGCAAGTTTCTTTGCATAAAGCTCCCCAGCATCACTGTTCAAAGCAGTTAGCATGAACACAACCTCACATTTAAGAACTAAATTTCAAGTTAGAAGTAGGACACGTTCAGCAGAACAGTCAAACATCATTTCTCACCCAAAGAAATGAAGAGACCCAGGCTTAGATATAGGTGAAACTTCTTAGAGAGAAAATACTAAGCAGATGACTAAATACAACAAATGTAGACACAAAATAAATATGCACACAACACTTTTCAGTGATGTGATTCGAAAATAAAGTTGATTTACAGCATGAAGTGACACTAGTGGCCGCACATATCAGTTCATTACCTGATTACCAAAGTAATATAAACTTTATTTTTGGATAAAACAACAAATTTGGAAGATAAACCACGATTTTGCTGAATCCTACACCAGCTGCCAAGCCACTGTGAACCTCCAAGACCCTCAACTTTTTCCTCAATCATTTGAGAACAGACCATATAGCAACCACATTTAACAGTTAATATTTCCTAGAAGCTTTTCCGTTACATGAAGCTTTTCCGTTACATGAACTTTTATCACTCTCCATATTCTCCTGAAGTGCCTACAGTACTGTCCGTCATTCTTATGTTATTAAGTCACCATGCACCAATTACTTATCGTTGTATTACTCTCAAGCACCTATATGAATGATCACGACCAACATGCACTGACCTGGCTTGTGTACCTTTTAAAATCACCATAGAATTCCCTGTTTGAATATCCTTGTTCTTCATATCAATTCTTGAAACCAAACAACATAGTCTTAAAAGAGTTTGGGATCTCAAAAAAATTCCATCCCACTTTTTTTAGTGTATTGGAAGAAGAAATAATTAAAAGCTTTAAAGAACTCCAAAAAGCATGACAATACAAGTTGTCCATTTCAAGAGGTGCACTAGTTTTAGGTAGTGCAGGGTGTAAAGTGGTGGGAGACGACATGATATACTAAACCTTAAAAAAAAAGGTGTTCCTGTAGTTGTTCATTCCTATCTCCACTGTGAATGCCAAGTTAGTTTTCGGTAAGTAAATTTCCTGCCTTAAAATACACTTTCCACAAAGCCCGGTTGCAAAAAGGGTCGTTCTTCTGTTTCTTGATTTTTTCTCTTAGGTGTTGAAAGTATTTCTTATATTAATCAAGTCCTCTACTCTGTAAAAATAAATCTGGAAAAAAATAATTTATTCAGGCAATACTTAAGCTCAGCATTTACAAATATTAAATCAAGAATACTCCCAATCACTTAATTGTCTAGAGGTAGAGGATAGAAATTTCACAAGTCTTTTGTTGGGTTTTCATATAGAAAAACTATGAGAATGTAATTACGCATTTTGTATTTTTGAAATTTTATAGTCAATAGAAAAGTTAAACCTCAACACAGTGTCACCCCCAATTCTGCCTCTAACATTATCTCGACTCTCTCCATGCCTGGTAAGCAAAATTGGACGAGGCGTTAGATGTGTATTCACCTGCAAAAATCAATCGTTCTTGTGTAATTTATTGAATTTAGTACATAAATGAAGAAGATAATACCAGCAACTCAACTATTCTATAACTGGAAAAATATCATCACATGAACTGCCATCTTGTTCTAGCGATGGACAAGTTGCCGTTTGTTAAGATTATTAGGGTATTATGTGTAAATTGTTAAGAGTATTAAGGTATAATGTGTAAATATCAGAGGATGTATTCGTCTTTTTAACTATAAATACAAGTTGTATATGAGAGGTAGGTTAAATTTTTGACCCCTCTCTTTCTCTCTAATATTGTCTCTACTATTGTGTTATTTCTCTTAACTTAACATGGTATCAGAGCAAAAATAATACAAATATTAACTTTTCTGGTTCGCGATTATGTGACTGTTGTCGCTGTGACTACTGCCAGAGTTCGATTGGTGGTGGTGGTGGTGTTGGTGGTCTTCTGCTGTTCATCGTGGTCTTGTCTGGTGGTGGTGGTGGTAGTCTACTGGTGTGGTCGACGTTGGTGGTAATCGACTGGAGTGGTCGACGTTGGTGGCTTCGAGTTTTTTGATTCGTGGTGGCTGGTGGTAGTCGACTGGTGTGTCGTCGTCGGTGTGGCTACTCTTTGTTGGTTGTTCATCGCAGTCGACATTGAAGGATTATTAGGGCTTGTTGGTGAAGAAGACGACCCACTTGAACTAGGTCGGTTTTGGGTTTGGGTAACATATCCAAATCCAGATCCCAACCCAGCCCAGATCCAAGTCAATAATCGAGTCCAGATCCAAATCCATACCTAGATCCAGACCTATATCCAGGAAACAGCTCAAATCCAGTAGCCTCAGACCAGACCAGTTCAAGTCCGATTTAATCCTGGGGCAGTGAGTTTGCACCGGTTCAGTCAGTTTTAGACCAGTTCCATCTATTTTGTCTCTGGTTCAACAGTTCAGCGGACTTCTCTGGTTCGGTTCAGTGGTCCATTGGACTTCTCTAGTCCGGTTCAGCGCTTCAGTGGACTTTTCTGGTCCGATTCAGTGGTCCAGTGGACTTCTCTGGTTTGGCTCAACGGTCCAGCGAGGTCCTCAAGTCCGGTTCAGCAATCCAATGTCTTCTCCTAACTGTTCAACAGTCTAGCTGCTCCATCTTGCCTTGTTCAGCTGTCCAACAGTAAGGCTCGTGCTCTTGTTTACTATTTGCTAAATCATTATGGAACCTAAGCAAGATGCTATTGCTCCATCTTTACCACTTATCTCTGCTTCTCCGATTCTTCTTAATGGTCCCATGACTTTCGTTAAACTCAATGGGACCAATTATACTTTATGATCGCACTCCGTTCAAGTCTTTCTTCGAGGCAAAGGATTTAAGAAATATTTTTTAATCCTAAACCCAAGGAAGATACTCTTGGGTATGATAAGTGGGAACAAGAAGATGCTTAGATTATCTCTTTATTGTTGAATAGCATTGAGCCTAGTATTAACTTTACTCTGTTCTATCTTGACATTGCCAAAGAGATATGGGATCACTTGACTATTATGTATTCTGGTATAGGTAATTTTACTCGAGCTTATAAGGTGTGCATAGAGTACTTTCAGCTGGAGCAGGATACTCTGAGTATTGAGAATTATTACTCTCACGTTTGGGGAGTCTGGGAGGAGATGAAGACCTTTCATCATTTTACTACTGATGCGGCAGTTTGGCAGAAGCAACATGAGGACCTGAATATTATTAGGTTTTTGGTAAGATTAAAACATGAATATGAGACTATTCGTTCTCAGATTTTGGGTGGTTCTAGTCTTCCCACACTCCATGAGGTTTTCTCTCGTGTACCGCGTGTTACTTTGTCTACTTCAAGCATCGATCATAGTGTCTCTACTAATCGCCCAGCTCTTATGATTCCTAGTAGCCACAGTTATGGTCATCGAGGTGGATGTGGTGGTCGAGGAGGTCGTACAGGAAGTCATACGGGCCGTAGTGGACCTCGTTCCCGTACTCCCTGTGGCCGTGGAGGGCACAGTATTAATTTTTGTTAGGATTTACATGAAAAATCTTCTGGCGCTGCGAATCAGGCTTCCTATCAGGATGACACCTCAATTGTTGCTTCCATACCTTGTTCAGCTCCACCACACACTGGGTCAGTTACTATTACATGAGAGGAGTATACTCGATTCTTATCCCAGTAAGCTGTTCCATCTCCCTCCACTGCTACTTTTGCCCAGTTAGGTATTGTTTTCACTTGTTTATTGTTCTCCCCTCGCAGTCCCTGGATTATATAATCTAGCACTTCTAACCACATGACTGGTGCGTCTGATGTTTTTTCTGCTTATCAGTTAGCTACTTCCACACGTAATGTTACTCTTACTAATAGTACTTGTTCTAAAATTTCAAGTTTGGGGACTACTCACTTGAGTCTTGATATGTCTCTATCTTCCATATTATTTGTTCCTCGATTTCCTTTTAGTTTACTTTCCATTAAGAAGATTACCCGTTCTCTCAATTATTCTATAACATTTTATCCTTTTTATTGTGTCTTTCAAGATCTCAAGACGAAGAGGAGGATTGGTACAAGACATGAAGCTAGTGGCCTATATTACTTTGATTTTGATTCACCTACTCGGGCTCTACAGACCTCGTTGTCCCCCTTTCAATAGCATTGTCGTCTTGGATATCCTTCTCTCTAGAATCTGAAGCGTCAAGTTCCTAATCTTAGTTATGTGTCGTCTTTGTTTTGTGAAGCTTGTCAACTTAGTAAGCATCACCGTGTATCATTTTAATCTAGAGTCAATAATCGTGTCTAGTCCATTTGAGTTAGGGTCCAATAAAGAATATTACATATAATAAATATCTTTATTTTGTGTCATTTGTTGATGACTATTCTCTTGTGACTTGATTGTTTCTGATGAGCTCGGTCTGAATTATTCTCTATATTTGAGACTTTGCGCAAGAAAATAAAAACTCAATATAGTTGTCGCATACGTATTTTACGTTCTGATAATGCTAGGGAATATGAATCTGATTCTTTTTTAGCCTATCTTAATAAAATTGACATTATTCATTAGACTTCCTGTACTTACACCTCTCCACAGAATGGTGTTGTTGAATGGAAGAACCGTCATTTGTTGGAAATTACCTGACCTGTTATTTCAGATGAATATTTCCCGATATTTTTGGAGTAATTCTATTTTTACTGCTTGTCATCTTATTAATCATATGACATCCTCTGTATTAAATAGGTAAAGTCTATATTTCTGTTCTTTTTCTTGGTAAGCCCCTATTTTTCTTAACTCCTAAGATTTTTGGATGTGTCAGTTATGTTCACAATTTGGGTCTTGAGTTTGATAAACTTGACACTCGAGCTACCAAATATGTATTTTTTGGATACTCCCGCACACAGAAGGGGTATCGTTGCTATAGTTCTTCTCTGCGACGATACTTTACTAGTATCGATGTCACGTTTAAGGAATCTATTCCATATTTTCCGGCACATGCTCAGCCTTTAGATCTGGACTTTAGTTCGTCTCTTGTACCACTATCTCTTCCCTCATCTTCGGATATTCCGCTGTCTACTGTATTGCCATATACTTTACCTCTTCATGTATACTCTCGTTGTCCTTGCCCATCGACTGAAGTGCCCGTACCGTCTTCCTTGCCGCCTTCTGATCCTGGTACATCAGGTAATTTAGACTCTTTACCTATTACTCTTCGAAAAGGTACTCGTTCGTGTATTACTAATCATTCCATTGTTCATGATGCCTTGTCTCCAGTCTTCTTTTGTTTTACCTCTCAATTATCTATTATATCTATTCCTAAGCACTTACAGGATGCGTTATCTGATCCGGATTGAAGGAAAGTTATAGAGGAGGAGATGGATGTCTTACATCATAATGGGACTTGGGATCTCATTCCTTTGCCTCCTGGTAAACGAACTGGTGATTGTCGTTGGGTGTATACTGTTAAATTTTATCCGGATGATTCTGTGGAGCGTCTCAATGCCCGTCTTGTTGCAAAGGGCTTTACTCAGACCTATGGTGTTGATTATGAGGAGACTCTCTCCTGTTGTCAAAATTTCCTCTGTTCGTATCTTGATTTCTTTTTTTATCTGCTAATCTTGATTGGCCCTTGTTTCAGTTAGATATCAAGAATGACTTCCTATATGATAACTTGGTTGAAGAGGTATACATGGAACAACCACCTGGATTTACTACTCAGGAGAGCATGGAAAGAGTGTATGTCGGTTAAAGAAATTTTGTATGGTTTGAAGTAGTCACCGAGGGCTAGGGGTGCAACTCGGACAGTGCAACTCAACCCGAGCACTGTCTGAGTTTAATTCAAGCAGGCTTGAGTTAAATTCGGGTTACTTTACGGGTTCAATTCGGGTTGAGTTCGAGTAGAGCCCAAAATAGGTTTGTTGTTCTAAACCTAATACATATATTACATAATATTCACCTAAATTAACAACCAATAACTTCAACCAAGTTTTTAACAGTGTTAATGCTAGAATAAAAATAAAAATGAATGAAAGAGACAGAGAACGATAAAACAAAAATGAAAAACCAGTGCTAATGTTTTATATATATAAAAAAAAAAATTAATTTGTCGGGTTCGGATTGAACCCGTAAACTCGAGGCCTTAACTCGAGCTCAACCCAAATTGAATTCGGGTTGAAATTTTTTGACTCAAGCCCAATCCAAGTATTAAAAACCCTTGTCCAAGCCCTAATTTTTTCGGGTTGGACTCGGGTTGCCCAACCCAAGTTGCACCCCTACCGAGGGCATGGTTTGGTAAATTTTCAGATGCAGTTTTAGAGTTTGGTCTTCTTCGATGTTAGACAAACCATTATGTGCTTTATAGATAGACGGATGCTGGATATATCCTATTGGTGGTCTATGTAGATCATATTGTGATTACTGGAAATGATTCTGAGGGGACTGTCAAGTTAAAAATCTTCTTGTAGGATCGATTTCATACTAAAGATTCGAAAAAACTCAGGTATTTCTTGAGTATTGAGGTGGCTCGATCTAAACAGGGTATTTGTTTATCCCAGAGGAAATATGTACTTGACATGCTAGAGGAAACAGGTTTGCTAGGTGACAAACCGATTGATGTTCCTATGGATCCAAATTAGAAACTATTAATGGATAATGGTGCATTGTTTGAGAATTCGGGTCGGTATCGCAGATTGGTTAGGAAGCTCAATTATCTCACTATTACTCGACCATATATTTACTATGAGTCAGTATAGTAAGTCAGTTCATGGAGTGTCCTAGAGTACCATATTGGGAGACAGTTACTCATATTTTGCGATATCTCAAACGTGCTCCTGGTCTTGGGCTGTTATATCGAGCTAATAGACATCTTAGAGTAGAAGATTTTTCAAATGCTGATTGGGCTGACTCTCCTTCTGATCGGAGATCAACTACTGGTTATTGTGTTTTCTTCGGAGGTAACGTTGTTTCATGGAAAAGTAAGAAACAACCTATGGTAGTAAGATCCAGTGTTGAGGCTAAGTATAAAGCAATGGCGCATACAACGAGTGAGTTAACTTGGCTAATACACTTTCTCTTGAAAATTAGATTTTCAGTTCAACCTCCTTTACAGTTGTTCTATGACAACCAGACAGCTATTCATATCGCTGTCAATCCAGTATTTCACGAGAGAACCAAATATATTGACGTTAACTGTCATTTTATTCAAGACAAGATAATAGCTGGGGAGATTACGACTCCATTTGTGAAATCTGAAGATCAACTTGTAGATATGTTTACCAAAACATTGAGTCGTACACGTCTTACAGTAATCTGTTCCAAGCTTGGATTATATGATATATATAGTCCAATTCGATGGAGAGTATTAGGATATTATGTGTAAATTGTTAAGAGTATTAGGGTATAATGTGTAAATATAAGAGAATGTATTCGCCTTTCTTATTATTGTAAGTTAACTATAAATAAAAGTTGTATATGAGAGGTTGGTTAAGTTTTTGACCCCTCTCTTTCTCTCTAATATTGTCTCTGCTATTGTGTTATTTCTCTCAACTTAACACCGTTAAAGAGGCCTCTTAATTCATTAAAGTCATTTCTTATGAAACATGCAGGAATTTGACCAAAAAGGAAAGTAAATGTAACAATAATATTTATCATGAAAAGTTCTCTTTCATCATTTACAGAAATTCTTTTCCATGAGTTAAATAATTCATCTCTATCCATGATTATCAAAAAACATGTTCCCATTAGTTCAACAAACTTTTGTTATGAATGCTTATTTTTTCAAACCACGTAGCTTAAATAGATCTATAATTAAGTAGAGCACACTGTCTCGAAGGTGATCTTGCATAGGACAACCTAATCTCCAACAAGAGGAAATATCATAGAATATGACATAGGACAGCATACCAAAAAATGTTTATAAAAAGCATACCAAAAAGAATACAATCCGCCCAGGAAGATAACCGCTGATATTATTAACCTGAACAAGAAGAGACGAGTTTTCAATAAAACCAATCAATAGAACTCTATTAATAAGATGCCATTTTTGTTAGATAGAGTATGCAGTTGCAGAAAAATCTACCATGAGGATTTTAAGACAGAGTACAAGGAGTCCAGCATAATTAGCTCTAGCTTTACTGGACTCCTGTCCAATTCATGATATGACAACAATCCTCCTTCCAAAGAGACATACCAGTAACCATCATGCATCACAAGACAACCTTCAACCCAGCTAATGTATGAAGTAGAAGGCAATTAATAGAAATTCGACAGAAAATTAGAAATATACAATATAGTAGAAATCAGTGAAACCTGTATTTGTCCACCATGGCCACTGACCATATCTATCATTTTGACATAAGATCCTTCTTTTACAGGCTCATAAATCTGATAACAAGAGAAAAATGTTGATCTCTTAAACAATTCATTCGTTGAATAACCACAAAATTCGGTAAGAATAATTTTGACAAACATGTTTCAGAAACTACTTTTTCATAATTGTCAAGTCGATTTTTGAAGTCTTGATACCCAGCTTCAAAATCTGGCCTGTAGAATAACACCAATTATTATGTACAAAATTGTATGTTAAAATAAAAACTTAGTAAGCAAATTTACTCTTCTGCGTAGTCAGGACTTTGTTGAATTTTGAGGCGTATATTTCGCTCGATGATTTGCGGATCATTGCATAATGTTTCCAAAAAAATAATCTGTAACAGAAAACATAGAACCTACATCAGACATCAATGAAGAGTTTTAAGATTATGTATCCAATGCTTCTTCTAAGAGATAGGCAATGCTAACTTGCCATCCCCAAACATGATTTTCTGGTTATCACTATGAAACCATGACAAGTTACTTCATGCCATAAACTCCGAACCTTTAGTAACCAATGATAACACTCCAAGTAAACAATTACGTGGTAAACCAAGGAGGGACTGCATGGTTATCTTCATAATGCCCTGTAACGTGGCCACATGAAGTGGTCACCTATACCAGTTACACCCTCTCTGAAGGCATCCATCAGTGCTCAAATTCACTGGTAGCGAACGTGCCACTTCAAAGGGGATATACATCATACCCTTCGTCATAGTTATTAGTATCGTACGATACGTCACGATACACCTGAAAAACGCTACGTATCGTGTTTCTGTATTGTTTCTCCGTATCGTACGATACACGATATGATACATGACAATTCTGTTTTTTTTTTTTTTTTTTTTAATTTTTTGAGGCTAAAATGATATTATTTTACCCTAAGACTTATTTTTAAATCTCTAACCAGTGAAATAATGTCGTTTCAGTGGTTATGGTTTAAAAAAAATAAAATAAAGTCTCTTCTTAATGTTGTTCAATTGAATTCAAAATTCTTGATTAATATTAAGGTTGTTCAAGCAGTTGATGTTAAAAGTTTGAATTAGAAGTTTTTGTATTTTGATATTACTGAAATATGTTGGGAACTTGAATAATTTGTAGAATATTAATAAAATACTATATTAATATGAGTCTATGACTTTTTTACGAAAGTGTATATATATATATTAATAATTATTTAAAAATTAAAATTGCGCGTATCTTACGATACACGATATATGATACGATACGATATGCGATATATGATATGATACAATACACTATTTTTAAAAAACGATACGCCTTCCGATACGTGATTTGAAAACTATGCCCTTCGCTAACTTATTCCTCAAACATACGGAAGTAAGCTCCTGATGGGACTCTTTACAATGGGACAATTGTAGAATCTTAGATTGGCAACTATGACCAGGATGTCACCAGGATAGATTGGCACCTCAAAACCACTGAAGTTCTTTTGAGGTTAGAGCTAAGGCATTTGCCAATCTGAAATAGGTGTGCTTATGGGAGGTCATATAGGTGTGGCTCATGGGATCAGCAGGCTAGCAAGCCCCTGCAACCCTAAGCACAGTGGCCTTGTGGACTAGAGTGATCCTGTTGGCTCTTATGCATGAAGCCCAGCTTAGGTGAAAACCCAAAGCAAGACGGGACCTTCATATAAAGCTCGTTACAGCCCATACCTAGGATGAATGCCTTGAGCCTGTAGCCTTGAGAAATTAAACAAAAAATGAAGCTAACCCTCTATGCCAATATCCTACCATTGTAGCCCATATCATTAACACAACATACACGAGTTTCACTCTTGGAAATTAAAAACTGTCATTCTACTGATGCAACGATTAACATACCTTGCATTTTCCTTCAGCCATTTTCATAAGCATATTCCTTCGCTGCTTGGTACTGTTTGTGGCATCAAATATTCCTACCTATGTTCAATTAGAATAATTAACTGAAGGATCAGGTGGACATGTCACAACATCTAACTTTAGAAAAACTTACCTGGCCACCTTCTTGCATCCAAGCTATCATGTCATCCATAGCCAGGGCTGCTACCTAGTAGCATGTGATGTATTAAAACTAAGTGCAAAGAAAAAGGTTAATACGCTTTGTACAATAAAATTCAGCATAATCTTACGATAGAAAAACAACACTAGCTGTAGAAGTATTAGAATACTAGGTGATTGATGAATTGTCGAAAAGAAAAAAGCAAAGGTACACAACCGTATGTCTCTTCAGACGACATTTTCTATCACTTATTTTACACACTGGAGCTATACGGCCATTTTTTCCTTTTCTTTTTTAACTAAGGAAAAGTTCATTAGAAGGTGCCAAGAAGGGGCACCAATCAATTTACACTGGAAGTATTCAAAGAAGCAACAAAATACACACTTACAGTTGTAATGGTCAAACTCCCAAAAAAACCTATAAAAGAGCTTACTGAATATAGTCCATGTGATGGCCTCAAAAGAAAAAAGAACTGAACCAAAAAAAATGGAAACTCAACCACTGATTTTTTCTCATCACAAAGAAAAGTTCTATGTGAGACAAAAATGTCCTAGCTGATGAATTTTGATCTCATGAAATGAGGATAACCACTTATTTCCAGAACATTTCGTGTCGTTACCTTTGGACTACTTACAAGAAGGCGACAAAAATTCCCATTACTGACAAAACACAACAAATCCTTCAGGAATATTGAAAGAGAGCTTGACTTGCAATATCAGTATATCCCATCAAAACTAACCAACACCCATTAATTTGCTTAAGAGATACCTACTTCTGAAAATAAATTAATTACATTTTACCTCCCTATTAGGCGCAAAAAAGGTAACCCTCTATGATGTAGTAACCTTCAATATTCTGACATTATTGCACACCAATGAAGAAACTGTAATGAAATATTCTCTGAAAAAATTAACCATTTGACCTACTTCAAAGAGGCACACCTTATCTGTAGACTTACTAAGAACAATCCCATTTCTCATAACCAAAAGGTACTTAATTTAGTGGACGTTCACCTCATTGCGTGCCTCCATGCCTTCAGGATTGTCACCTCGAAAAAAATCAGCAGACTGCATCAAGAGAAATTTGATTCATCAAGACCTAATAGGGGAAAATAGTTGCCCAAAAAAGAAGAGGAGGCATCAATATTATCTCATCCTTGTGTTGAAAAACTGCAAGCTTCACAAAAATGGGGACTGTTTCAACCAGCAATCCAGAGTTCAAAGAAACGTCACAAAACAGTTATTGATACGTCTGCCTAGAGGCCTTTCCAGTTTCCCCTATTAGCATCCTTCTCTTTAAAATTTTCCCCTTACATTGGCCTGTATTAACTGTCTTTAAGGAAAGGAACTGCCAGCTACCATTTTTTCACTTGAAAAGAGATGATTTTCACAATGAAAATTATACAAGACGTACTTGCAGACCCTTGTTTTTCTCACAAAAAAGATGTGAGCAGACTGGTATACAGTTGTCTTAGAATAGGGAAACTCACAAAAGATGGACCTACTAGCAAGCCATGACTTTGCGCTTCAGAAAGCAGCACCGAGCAGACATTCCCAAAAAAAAAAAAAGAAATTATTTCAGAGAAAGAGAGCTGTTTTCACAATGAAGCATGCGCAACATTAGTGCCACAACCACTCATCTTTCAAGGATCCAAATTTGCAGTCACTTTTAAGCAAGGATCAAAATTTCATTTCGGTATATAGTTTCGGTGAGTTTGGAAACATAAACTCTTCAACAATGTTTCGGAAACAAGATGAAAACAAAAAAAAAATTTAAATTTATTTCCGAAAAATTGGTCAAAACAAATGAAACATTCCGAAACATAAGTCAAAACCTACCGAAACACCACGAAATATAGGAATTTTGATATTCAATCAATAATTCGTTTCGGTTTCTATGAAAACAGAAACATTTTGACCGTTTCGACATGAAATTTAATTCCTTGCTTTTAAGAGGGAAATTCTAATATAACATTAAATGAAAGAGAGCTAGTTTTCACAAAGCAGCATGCGCAGCAGCCGTGCCACACCCACTCATCTCTCAAGGATCCAAATCTGCATTACCTCTTAAGAGGGAAAATTTAATTTAGGCCATGTATAATATGATTAGTGTCCTGCCATTCTAAGTGCATAAAATACTTTCCACCATAATTTAAATCCAGGTATTGCTTCGGTTAAGTTCTCTGTTACTGTTATGAATTTTATCAATTTGTGACAGTGGTTTTACATGTCAACTTGGAAGGACCAAGAAGAGCGGCTGGTGGTGGAAGAGTGGAATGAAGATCAACAAAAATGTACCATTAAACTTTGGTTTCAGCCATACCCACTTTTTCCGCCTTCGACAAAACATCTCTGGTCATTCTGGCTCACTGGACTGACCATGATTGACTTAAATCTCTCTCTCCAAATTCAAAAATTCTCAAGCTATAGGCTCAAAATACACCATCCAATTCCCTTTTTACTGCTTTTTTCTTCAGCAAAAATTTGAAGATTGGGCTGGCCAAGTGGAACAAAGGTTTTATTTTGAACATGGTGATAGGAGAAGTAATTCCATGACCAAAGGTTTCCATATCTGTTTCCATAAATCCTCTTTCCAGCAATCCCCCAATTGTTTGGTAAAACATTCTTAGAAGGGAGAAACTGCCTAAGTTTCTGTCAACGTAATCTCTTCCATCTGTGTGCATTTGCTTGGGTCATGTGTTCATGGTTGCTATCAGTCTCATAGAGTACTAAATCAAAACCATGTTTAGAAATAAATTATCTTTTTAGCCTATGTAAAACTAAATCTTACTGGACAAAAAAAAAAGCAGGACAAAAGAGACGGAGATGAGAGACCAAAAGAGACTGGAATGAGAGAGGGGGGGGAGGAAGTAAATATATTTGCATATTATAGAAACTTTTCAACAATCAATCGTCTAGATGTAATGAAGTTCTCACTGAGGGTTAAGACCTCAGAAGAGTAAACCCCTTCAGAAGATAGAGAATTTCCTGATAGAACATTCAAAGTCAATTCAGAATTCAGACAAACTAAATACCTGATTAGCTCCATGCTTGAGTCGTCGATACTGTTGCAACCAAAAAATGAGTTTATACAATATCCTTGTCCCATAATTCATAAGAAGCATGAAGAGTAAAAATTATGAGAATGTCATTCACCTTCCCAACATTGAAGTGTTTGGTGTCATGACCCAACCAACGAAGATACCTTGTCAGTTTAGCCGCAGTAAAAGTCTTGCCACGAGCTGGCAAGCCAACCTACCAAAAATGCAAAATGTCAGAATTATTATTTTTTCAGAAACAAAGTTGTGAATGGACTTCTGATTCCAATTGATAAAGTATAAAATGTAATATAAAATTCAACTTCCAACCATTTCAGAAGGGTCTCTCTAAATTCCAATCTCACTAAGTTCTCGCCGAAATAGGAGGCAAAAAGGATTGTGAAGCGCTTCAGAAAATAGGATAAAAAATTATCAGAAAAGTACCAGGACAATCGCCAGATGCCTATCCTCCTTTGGTCCAAGCATTTGATCAGCTACAGCTGCCGCAGCAACAGCTCCAGCAGCAGCTGGCATTGGATTCTGACAATACACGGGTAGATAATCAGAAATATGACAATCTTCTCCGCAGAGAGAGCAAGATTTTATTTACAATGTTCACCATGGGAAAAGGGACAGGTTTGTACAAACCTTGACTTCTGAATCAGGCTTGAGATCAATAGGGAAAGTAGATGCACTAGCTGATTTAACTAGCCGAGGAGATCCCACACCTCTATCAACAAACAGTCCTCTGTGACCATCTTGCTTTGGCAAAGGTGAAAATGTTCCCACTGACTTTGACTCAACTATCCCAGAACCTGAATACACTTTACATGGATCTGGTACAATGACTGACATCTCCTATTCAAATGTTACCACAAACAAGGTTTCAATGTAGAAGAATGAAATATTGACAATTGAATAGAGAACATATGTTGCAGTTACAAATAAAACAAAGATGAAAGTGAAGATTGGTAAACTACGCCTGAGGGAAAAACCAAAAACACATGATGCAACTAAAGCATCCTATTGCACATCCTCCACCCACGTATACAACACTGCTTAAACAGTTATGCCAGCTATTAATGCTCCAAGTGACCAAGAAAATGATGTTTCAAATCTTTCATATAAAAGAAATTGAAGATATATTTTCAAATTGAATATAACAACTAGAATCAAAGAGTCCATGAACACAGTGGTTCTTTCACATAATCAAGAACTTGTAAAACCAAGGCGCATATCTTAGAGAGCAATTCACATGGAGGCTTTCAGGAATTGCAGCCAGAAAACGTTATTGTTCTTCATAGTAAAAGATATGAACAGTTCACAATAAAGGTTTGATATATAATCCTCTCAGTGACTTAGCTTCCATAGTTTTAAGACTATAAAAATCCAATATGAACAACAAAGGTAACCTTTATTGTTGCAGTTCGATCAATGCATGCACCACCATCCTTGCTGGAATGTAATGCACTGCCTGAGCCATCAATGTTGGAAAACACCCCAGCACGGTTCAGTGACCTTGGAGTCTCTGTCAAGTTAGCTGCATATACTAGACCTGAGTTTACAGCAGTTGTTGGAGCTGGGACAACATAATGCTCAATATCAAGCTCCAAACTTGCGGCAGATCCATTCTGTGCAAAAAAAACAGAAAGAAAATGATAAGGTTTGTGACTTCAAGAACTATAGAACTTTGGTTCGAGTCTTCCCCATTGGGCACATTCCCCGGGATTATCCTGGTGATCACCTTGTGCATATGGAACTGGGTGACTTTACATATATCAATGAGGATTACTTGGGGCACAAAAACTCTGAATACCTATTCATTAGTACCACAAGAAGGAGTAAGGTTGACTTGAGAATGCCAGATAAAGCTCTAACTAAATCAATAGCAGTTCCAACCGAGAGAACAAAAATTTCCAATTTAAAACTAATTGTTATTGTACCTACATCTTCTTTCAGCATTGTCCATAAATTTACTGGACAAACACACGAAGTCCCATCGTAATTAATGCCCATCATGATGAATAGATTGTTTACTGAAAGGAAAGGTAATTTTTCAAGTGTTTTTATGCTAATTTATCCTATGTGGATAGAGTCATGCGATGAATTGTCAATCCTCTTTTGCAGTTGCTGCGTGCCTCTTAATTCCTCAAGCTATTGGAATACAGCGTTATGTTTCAATACATATCAAAGAATTATAAGAAGGAGCTTTAGAGTAAATTATGTGCTGCATTATAGTTTTTGTTACTATTATTTGGGGTGAAATCGCTTAAGTTTAAGAAGTTCAAATACAATGGAAATCATTTTTTCTCTTTCTGTTTCGCCTTTTTACAGAAACATCATATGCAGGTATAAACAAAAATATAGCCTTCACAATAGTGTATACGTAGTGCACAATTCACTACTGATATCCTAGCATGTAACTTTTGGAAGGGAACGCATAAAACATATTTAATAAGAGTTGTCTGCAATCATAAAGCAATTCAAATTTCTCGGAAAATAGTCAATTTTGGTAACATCCTTACCTCAGCACCCATCTCTGGCATTGAATTCATACTAACATCAGGAATACCACGAACAGTCGAAGGTTGGAAATTATCCCGATAAGCCCTCCAACTAGCAGCAAGATCAAATGGGGAAACTCGATCGGCTTTAATAAACACCTTATACTCAAGAACTTCATCCCCACTCAACCTAAAGAAAGCCGACCTTGCATCCCCTTGTAAAGTCCCCCCAGAAAGAAGCCTATTCGGACCCTCCTCAACAATACACGGCACATTACCATACTTAGGCTTCAAAAGGAACTTGAAGTCCAATGTTTCTAAAATGCAAACAACAAAATTAAGTTATGTTTTACATATATATTTAAAGAACCTAGTAGATAGAGTAAAGGAAAATAGAATTTAATTGAATTACCGTGATTAGGAGGGACGACGAAACTCAATTCCCACATTGAAGCTGATTCGCGTTCCATTGATAACTAAACAACTTGATGGAATTACACAATTAGAGATAGAATAGAAACAAAAATGATCATATAAAATTGAAATGATTGAATGAAAGGTTGATTACAGCTTTGGAAGGGTCCCAAGAGCCGACGAGAGGGACGGAGCCGTAAACGTGAGGGGCGAGTTCGCCTTTGAGCTTGTAATTGTTCTCCATTTTGAGAGAGATGTAGAGCTGTCCACCTGCTTGGTCTTCTCTCTCCTCGCTGCCATGGGAGCTACTGTCCGGATTCTTTGACGCACCAGTTCCCATTCTCTCTCTCTCTCTCTCTCTCTCTCTCTCTCTCTCTCTAAAGAACTTAGTAGTTATCTCCCATGCTCCTTGTGGCCCGAGTTTCTTTCAATATACTGTGCACTATGATTCTCAGCTGCTATATATGTGGTTGTGTGTGTTGGTGTGGATAGGTAGAGAGACAGAGAGAGATTAAGAGATGGAAATTGAAAGAGGTGGAGGAGGAAGAGGCGAATGTCCGGGCTGGGCCGGGCTTTGGCCTGGTGTGTTTGGATAAGAATGGGGAAAAAGATTATCTGGCCCTGCTTTGGTGACGTCGTTGATTGGTGGGGTGGGCCCAGAGTACCAGACGGCATCGCATTCGCACGGGTGCTGATGTTTATATGGCGTGGGACGTAGCCGTTACACGCTGACACAAACATGTTATTTTCACTTAATTTAATTTAATAATAAATAATTTAATGTATTTATAAATGAAAACTCTACTTATAAAATAAATTTTTCACTTCAATTTATGATACATAATTTATTTTTGAGTGAAATTGAGTTCAAACAAATCCTCAATTCTCAATTATGTTCCATTACTCTTTCCACAACACCTGTGATGTTAATCATAGAAGTACTCCAAGTGATAACAAGGACGATTCTTGAATATAAATATTCTTAATTTAAATTTTGACAATTCTTTAAGATCAAGTTATAAGAGATTTATACCTTAGATTCAACATGAATGGTATATCTTTGATTAGACTGGAAAAGAGATTAATCGAAATGCATACAAATTAACTCGCACAACTCTAACCGTTAAACTAAAAAAAACACTTGTCGTCCCTTTGCCAAAATATTTGGTAGATTCTCATATCATATGCCCTGTACTTTAAAAATTAGTATTCTCTTGGTCCAAAAATTTTCTCAAAAACTTTTTTCTCCGAAAAAAATGTTGTGGATAAGAGGAGAAAAAACAATGGGCAAATTCTCATGACATCCATTGTGATTGGATACGTTTCCCTAATTGTGATATGGGTGATGGGTGGTGACACAAACATTGAAGTTAGTTGTATGTTGTGGTCCATTAAATCACAGTGAGTTAAGAGTTTTATTTTCAAATATGGAATAAGTGAATTGTAAAATAATTTAACAAGAGGACAATAAAGTCATATTTATCCTAAAGCAAAAGCAACATCGAGACTTAAATAAGTAAAAAAAAAAAAAAAATTCTTAATATTTGATAAACAAGAGAAATTCAATTCACCAATACGTTTGGGTTGCGGATTTTTAAAAGTATCATTGAATTTCATAGTGATAAGACTATTAAACTATTTTTTAACTTTATATTTTAATTTTGTTTTTTGTTAAATATCTTAAACCGTGGTTGGCCGAGCCACTATAGGTCATTGGGGCATATGCCTACTCTCAATTTCATTTTATTTTTTATCATAGAATTACCTATATAAATATACTTTAAGTATTTTTTAAATATTTTTTATTATGTCCACTGTACGATTTTGTTGTCACATTAATCTGTGCACGTCTATACCCAAATGACTATTGAATTTTTAGAAATGTTACAAACAGTCTATATAAGTTTTAAATATATTAAAATTATTTTATAATTTTCAACAAATTATTGAGGTATTTGGTTGTTGCACAAAAAATATTGTCATTGTGTAAGAAAAATACAATGTCATTTTATACATATATATATATATACAAGAATCAGGGTTACAACTTAAAAATTTTAAAAATCATTTGGAGTCAGAGAAAACACTATTAATATGTTTGCTTGGTGAGGACCAAAGCCAACGACTATGAATTATTATGCATTTTTTTTGATAAACAACGATATTTTTATATTACAAGGGAGGGGAAAAGAAAGGAAAAGGGGACCGAACCATTATCTGTCACTTTGTTATAGAGGGTTTCAACCATTCGGGTAGGACTTTGGTCTTATGCAATAGTTTTATAGTATGAAAAACTCCTCAAGATCAAGTATAAAATGAATTTAATTAGTTTTATATCTTTTTAATTAGCCATTTTTTTTATTGTTTTCAATTGTATCCACTATGCTTACTAGTTTTAGCCAATTGGGTATAATAATTTTCAAAAAATTGATGGAATATTATATCTTTTATAATAGGACTTGATGATGCATAAATTGATTTTATGCACCATCTGTCAAGTACTTAATGCAGTAAAGAAATAAGGAGAGAGTCAACACAAACAAAACACAATTTCAATAATTCGGTCAAAGTAACATACTCTACTGTAAAGGGCTAGGATGACATAGGTGTTTTATTGTTTCAAGGAGTATTAGATACTCGAGTGTGAGTAATAGGCAAGAGATGTCCCCTATGTGTAGGCGAAACTTACAATTTATAAGTGTCTTAAAATAAAGTGAGACGTCTTATCAATAACTAAAAAACTGATTTGGTGGAGTTGGTATTATCCTTGCAACAAATGAGTCAATTGCAGAGCTCTCTTCAAGATTAGGACTCAGGATGAAGTGACTAACTTCCTCACTTCAAGATGGCATAAATGAGGCTCTTAGGATGGCGTTGCTGACTCATTAATGGTGCGACTCTCAGGGTTTTGGTGAATCTAATCAGACTTGGATGTCTTCTGGGCTGAATCTACCAGGTCTTGTTATCTTCCAAGAAAATTAGATTATTAAAAAATAGAGCTACTTATATTTTTTTCCATTTTGTTTTTGTTGTTTGTTTGAGTTTGTGACTAACGGAAATGGGAGGGTGGTCAGCTAATACTTCATCAGATGATTGTATATCAATGTATTACCTTATTTTTTATTGACTGTAAAAAAATATTAAAGCTTGTAAAATGTGCAATGTCCACCCAAAAATAATTTTTTGACTCTGCCTCGCTGGTGGTTGATAAATTCCAACTTGCAAAGGATGAAATTTATATTGAGAATAAAGAACATATATATCTCCACAAGTCCAGCCAATCTGGTTTAACCCGGGCCCGCCACTGCAAACCCACTCGCAGGCTTCACTAGGGGTTCGTTATAACCCGAAACGACAGACCCGGTGCGTTCTCGTCTCTTCCTCCCCACAGTCGTTCTGATCAAGGGCAGGCCGTGAATACGAATTGAAAGCTTCATCACTCTCCGTCACGATGAGAGCTAAGGTATGGATATAAGCTCTTCAACAATTACACTGCACAATCTTTATTATTCTTTGATAAATTCGTTTTGATTGTTGTTGGATTTTGCAGTGGAAGAAGAAGCGAATGAGAAGGTTGAAGAGGAAGCGCCGAAAGATGAGGCAGAGATCGAAGTAATCAAGCTTTGCCTCTCTCCAGGGTCGTCACTCGTCAGTCGGTGTCGCCTACACACTCTCTCTCTATCTATGTTAGTTTTTTGTTTTATAGTTTGTTGCCATGTGATGTGAAACCATTTAACACTTCGTAATGGTATTGTTCTGATGTATTGGATACATTTGGGTTCATCGGATTTTGTTTAAATCCAGATATCCATTTTGGAGGTTATTGGTTAATTTATGATGCTAGTGCAATCGGTGGTTGTTAAGTATTTTTCGGGTATTATTTGTTGGCTTCAATTGGATGGATTTATTTGGAATGGAGTGCATGAACCTCGGCAAACAAGATGCTTGTGTTGGGTTTTTTTAGATTGATATGCAGCCAAATTTGTCGATAATTTGAAGAGGGGGCTGTTTTATAGTAGATGCTTATTTCTATTAAGTTTTGGGAAGGGAATACAATATAGTTTGGTGGGTCTGGCCACTTAGCGGCTTGCCCTCTTGGCTTACTTGCTCTTTGTTTCTTGCCCGTATTGCCTCCCTCTTACTTGGCATTGCTTTGGCGATTCTTGCTTCTCTTTCAGGCTTACATTTACCAAGTGGTAGAGAGTTGAGACTCTGATTTATACTTGAATTTGGATGTATCTACGGTCAACATTCACTCTTGATAGAGCTCCTGTCCGCCACTTACAAGCATTTTAGTTAGGACTAATCTAGTTGCCCAGTAAATTTAAGAAAATTTCAAGTTATTTTCCAAAGGTACCACCCGTGATGAATATATATGTGCAGATCGGTTGTTCTGTTTATGCGCAGGGGGGTAGTTTATCAGTGGGACATGATGTGCTGTGTTTGTATGAATTTGAAACTGCCCAATGTTTGAGCCATTTCCGTTACATCTCTTGTCCTTTTTAACCTCTTAGAAACTGATGGACTTGCTGTGGTCATTTCATCCTCTAATTATCACATTTATTAAGTTGAAATTTTGATTGCCATTTAGACATAGAATGGGGCACATATGGGACAATGGCTTTCAAATATATCAGTGAAGGCAATCTATTGCATTCCTACAAGCCTTTCAGTTTCTAGCTGACATTTAACTAACCCGTCTCCAGCTGCTCATTATAACTACACGCATGTGTGTATGAATTAGCATATGGTAATTCCCAGGCCAATGTAGTTGGGTCAATAGAAATGGGAGAGGCAAGGTTATTAGCCATTTATCACGGCCTTAAGCTTCTTAAATATGTTTCTCACTTTTTAGGAATAGTGCTTGGAAATCAAGTTTCTCAACAGAGGAAACCTATCTAGAGTATTCAGTAGATATGTGTATAGGTAGAATCCTTTCTGATATGTTATACCCTTGATTCTAGAATCCTGCAGTAAGTCATTACCTCTCAACATTTTGTCTACAATTTCTACGGTGTATAGGCAACATGCTATTGTTTGTTCCAACTTGTTCCAATCTTTCGTAATTCTTCAAATGTGTGCATGGTATCTGCATTAAAACCACCTGCAAACTGGAAGGTTTTCTGTTTAGTAAAGAGGTTGAGATGAGGAGAGACATTATTGTACAGAGTTCAATTTTTACCTGATGTACTCGATGAGCAAATCGAACTCCTTGAAACAAGAGGTCCTCTTCCCGTGAGGTTTCACTGCACTGCAGTTCTCTAGTTATTCTTTTCATGTACTCCTTAGCCAATGCCAGTGAACTCAATTTCAGCTGCAAACAGTGAGAAGCGATTTGTTTAATCAATGTGAGGAAGTAAGCTTCTCATGAATTTACAAATCAGAGGTAATATATCAACGTTTAGGATTCATGGGATGACCAATTGTCTGCTATTCGGCTATACATATTATACTGTTGACTGAACTCGGTCTATTGAGTTAAAGAGTGTTGTTCTGATCAACATTGATCATTAGATGAGAAAGATGGAAAACCATGATTGTTTTGGTGATTGCTTTTGAATGATTGATAATATTTTGTTAAATGGAGAATACATCTAGAATGGAAAACCAAATTAATACAATAGAATTATCAGTACATATAAACCAATATGTTACTTTATGTATTTATGTATTGGGAGGGAGTTGTTAGACTTCAATGTTTTTAGTAAAAGCTTTGAACTCTAAAGTCACCTACCTGACCAATCACTCCAGTGTCCAGCATCCATTCCCAAGGGATATGGAACTCCCTATATCGCTTGCTTGTTCCTTCTCTCACCCTTTCAAGATTGGTAACACTTCGCTCCAATCTGCATACAGGGGACTTGAGCATGTTATGAATGTATTCAATCAAGTGATATTAGCTGATACTACCCTAGTGTATACATGCTTGCCTGTCTTGCAGCGTTTGCAGCCTTCTTAGAGACTGGTTCAATTGCTGTTTTGGGTTGTCCTTGAATGATGAAACTTCAGATTCAAGGTTCTTCAGGTCTTGGTAACAACATGCGGCTTCCCGCAATGCATCTGCTTTTTTTTCTGGCCAATGCAGAAAATGCTTCAGTACGGCCCTTTCGTCAACAAGGCAAGATAGTTCTCCATCCAACCATTTCACAAATGCCTCCACTTCAGAAATCTCAGTAAATGCTGCTGTCGCCACCTCCCTGATCAAGGAATTAATAAATTCTCCATGTGTTTCTACATCAGATTTTATCTGTCCATAAAGACATGGTGTCACCTGGGTATGCTTTGAGATGAGTAAATATGTAGCAGTAGACAGCTATTATACTTACAGACAGAAGATAAGTTGAGCGGTTCTCGATCTCTCCAATCATGTTCTTCGGATCTGTGACTGGCAGAATCCCAACTGGGCTATTCCTGTTCTCCCGTTGGGCATCTCTCTTCATAAGGGAACGGTAAAACTCAATGACCTGAGGCGCACGACGCACTGCTTTGGATCCAACCGGCAATTTGGATGGTAGGGGTGGCGGCGGGGGTGGCGGCGCTGGTGGTGATTGTCCTTTAATTCCACTTACTTCCTTGACTGGAGTGGGATTTGTTCTTGGCAATGGTGTTGGAGCTCTTGCCGGTCTTTCCTTTTTGGCTGTAGATTCCTTGAGATCTTCCCTCTGGTACAACTTTTCCATTGCTGGACTTTGTTCTGGCATTTCAACCAGAACTGATGGCTTCTGCTGATATTTGTCTGGGATATTGGCATCCATGGGGTTCTGTAACTTCTTCCACAGGATTGATTTCCTTTCGTTATCATGTGCTTTGAGTGTATTGACCTGTGCTCTTAGACGGGCAACTTCATATTTCAGTTCCTGATTTTCCTTCTCAATTGAATTGATCCTTACAAGAGAAGCTTCAAATTCTCTCTTGAGGAAGGCCATCCTCGACTCATCATCATCTGTAGGCATTTTCTTCTCCTGTTTTATGTTCTATAAATGGACGACAAAGGGAGAGGGGAGTTAAGTTGGATTGCTTTGAGCAATTCTCTTTTATGCATGGCATTACTTCTGAAGTAAGGTATTTTCACCTAAGCTTGAAAGGTTTATCCTTTATAGAATGCCCCTAGATGTGGCATAATGGCAGCAAGTTGAATATAGAGTACTTTTTTCTGGGTGTGTGTTTCGGACATTTCTACTGTGTTGTTGGTTTTCATGATTCCCTTTTTACCCTTATTCTAATTGTTTGTATAAGTGAGAGATTTCTTGAATTTGCTGGCATTTAAGTTGTCTGGGTAGTAGCTGTCCCAAGGTAGTCATGGTAGGTGCCATTTAATTCTCTAGTCAATTTTTTCTCGAAGACTCCTAAATTTATAATCACTTGATCATTTTTATTATCATTTGTAGTTTCTGTACCTTGTAGTTCTTGAAATTCTGATCAAATCCTATCTTCTTGCTGCAGTCTATTCTTCCTGGAATCATCATCCTTGCTTATAATATTCCTTCCATATTTTTATTCTCTCATTATGTAGAATGCCCCTACTATAGATGGAATCTGATTGATTGCAATATTCTAACTGTCTATGTGAAACTTCTCTGTAGAATGACCCAGTTGTCCACGTGCTAGTCAGAGATTGGGACGGTGGAATTACTAGGGCCAATCTGTTTTTATTTCAGGTTGCCATGTGGTTGAATTTTGTGAATAAGCTTAAGGGAATCAGATTTTTATTTAAAAAAAAAAAGATTTTTATTGCTTTGAAATGTGATAGTTATTCTTTGCTTGTGAAGCAATGTGACAAGAAGAAAAGGGAGAGGAAATCACAGAAAAAAGAAAACCTTGATTGTTACAGCCTACCAAAATGAAATCATTCATGTTTTCGCTTTTCTTTTGCCCTTTTTGTTGTATATGAAAAAATAATAGATCCAGTGGCGGATTAACAGTGGGGCAGTGGGGGCACCTGCCCCCAGAATTTTAGAAAATTTTGGGATCTAGGTAATATTTTAAAATTTTTGAATTTTTTTACAAATTGCCCCCACTGAAAAATTATAGGTATAGTTCTATATATTAAGAGAATATGTGGGTGTGTTTCATAAATATAACATTAGATTAGGAGAACACTTCTTGCCTCCTGGTCGTGATTTTTCATTCATTTCTTCAAACTTCCTTTCTTTCTTTAGCCCCTCATGTCGTTTTTGTTGTGAATCGGAAGTTCCTCTCTTCAATCAAGTTTTGCTCTCTTTAGTCTATCTTTGTTCTTTTTTTATGTTTTCCTTATCTTCAGTCGTCCCTCTTTTTATTATTGATTCGATCGTTATTTAACTAGTCGGTTGCGAAAATTGTTGAGAGCTTAGAAAATTCTATGAGAGCTAACGCAAGAGGTAAGTCTTTCAATTTGTTATTTTTTTTGTATTTTTTGGCATGGCGGCAAGGGCTTTTACCCATTTGGTTTTTTTTTACCCATTTCATTTTTTATCTAACAGTGGATGATAGAACTGTAATTATTTATATTTGAATTATATAATGAAGATTCAACCAGTTGATTTTTGATCTCTTCAAAATATTAGTTGTAGTGTTGATTTTTTTGGATATTAGACAGTGGTTAGGGTATAAAGGAGTTTGGTTTTGCAGAATGAACTTATCGATGATTTTGGTGTGTAGCAGTCATCTATTTGTGAATTATAGACATGGTTGAGGTTTATATTATTACGATTTAGAAGCAATCAGTCCCCTCTTTGTTATATGTAGATGTTGGAATTAAAACTGGGGGTTTGAATTTTTTATATTTAATTGGATTGCTCTATATATAATTTGGTTGTTTAAGCATTATATTTTGGGTTCAGTTATTTTGATTAATTGGGCTTGAAGAATTTGATTATTATAGCTTTGATTGTTCCTATATTTAAGTTTGACTTAATAGGGTTGTAATATAATTAATTTTTCTAAATTACTGTTGTTAAAATTTCTCCTTTTATTTTGTTACTTATGATTTTCTTGTAATTTTTTTGTTAAAAACACAATGATGGGTATTGAGTTAGGGTCTAACTATTGAATTTATTTTTGAATTAACTAGGATAATTTTTTTTTAAAAAATATTTAAAGTTATTAAGAAATTTATGTTGCCCCCATTAAAGAAATGGTTTGACTCTGCCCCTAGATCCTATCAGTATTCCTTCCAAAGGATCCATCTCAATCAGCCTGATCATGACTCAAAAACCTTAAAGACAGACATGTGGAGCATCAAGTGTAGATTAATTTTTTGTGGCTTTGCTACAGAATACTAGAGATGATGAAGAATCATTTAGAAGGGTGGAATTTAAACTGTGATAAGTGTTTTTCCATTTAAGTGGTATGCTCGAGTCTAGATAATAGCTTCTCTAAAAGTTTGACTATAAGTTATAATTTATTTTAACTGAATCCTCTTATTGTTAAATTTTTTGTGCAAAAGTAAGATATTTTATTATGATATCGATCGAATAATAGAAATTAGTTTAGATTATGAAACTTTTTTTTTGTGTAGGTGGTAGTTGAGCTGGGGATGTATTACCATATGCTGAAGATTACAGGAAAAATGTCACTCAATTAGGTCGGTGAATTCCACATGCACATCAAATTTAGAGGACAAAGTTCTGAAAGATTGATTCTCCTGTAAAGGCAGAAACCTAAAGAGTGGGCAGTCACTTGGGGTTCAGCAATCAAGAACATCTTTGAAATCTTTAAAGGTCATGTTCTCTCACCCTATTATTCAGATGAAAAGTAAAGTGCTTTAAATAGCTGCAGTAGCTGGCACAGTGATGGCACAAGCCTACTTTGAGGTCCCTAATTTCAGCTTTTGCTTAAAGGGTCCATGCCAATCTTTTAGTCCTTAAATTCAATTACCTATTGGGAAGGGAAAGTTAGTGGCTGATGGCCATGCAACTTGATGATTATATCATGATTTTAAATTTTGGTAATTTTTTGGAGATTAGATTATAAAAAATTTATTTCTCGTAAATATTCTAGTTTCGACGTGGATAGTTTGCCTTTGACCCTCATGAATATCCTAGTTTCGATGTGGATGATATGTCTTTGACTGAATCAAGAAAGAGATTTTTTTTTTGAGAAGAATCTAGAAAGAGATTAATCAAGGTGCGCGTAAGTTAATGCAGACATTTTTAACTATTGAACTTAAAAAAAGAAGAAGAAGAAGGTTATGGGTATGTAGTGGGCATAATAGAGGGGCAATATAAGGAATACTCGGTTGGCTGTAGTCCATCATAGGAGTGCAAGACGGACAAAGTTGAGCAAATTAATGGTAGGCATTTAATTCTTTTGGTCATATGCCCTGAGACTGGGGGAAGCTACGCTACTACTTCTCAATTTAGTCAAAGACGTGGACAGATTGTTGAACTTTGGAACTAGTTACAACTTTTTCTAACCCAAAACATGTGCCGCTGATTTGGCATTTGCCACATGAGAATTTGATTAAAATTTAACTGAGTCAAATTTTTATTTAATTTCTCTTATGTTAGCACTATTTTCTAAGGGTTTATGAATATAATCGTTCTTAATTGAGCAATGTTACTCTGACCTAAAAAATTTGACCTTATTTGTTGACGTGGTTTCATTAAAAATATTGAATGAAGAGTAAATTCTAATGTTTAATTGAGTTCACAGTTATTCTAAATGTCATAGTGAATCAAGGCAACAAATAAAATCAGATTTTTAAATTCAAATAACATTATTCTTCTTAATTTTATATCTTATGATATATTTTCATTTCCGTCACATTTAAATTTTACAGGTCGGGACCAGTTCACCCGAGTAAATATTTAATACAAAGGTGATACTATATCAGCATTGTTGTTACATGGTATTATCAACCAATAATAAAACAACAGATGAGGAAGGTGGCCTCTACTTAGGTTGTTATTGACTTACATAAAAAAAGAGTGAATAATTATTGGTTTGTGTGAGGTTTATTTTTTATTTATTTATTTGCATATTATTAGTTGATGGTATCATGTGATAATAGTAACGTGGTATCATCGTTGCAATGAATATTTTGTCTAGTGCATCCACCCTTGGCCCCTCCGTTTCTATCATTCAATTCATGCGCTTTTTCTTGCAATCTCCAAATCTTAATAGGGTTTCAATTTAAAATGGACATTGAAGCTCAATTGCAATCATTTAGCAGTTCAAATTGAACCTAACCAAAATCACCAAAATTGTTCATAAAATCCACAAACCAAAGAACTCTAAAAAAGCCCAACACTCATCAATTAATCAGATACACCCCCATCCCCCTTCAAAATTCTGGACGTAGATAAGAAGTTTACTGAGGATTTGGTGGACGGCTATTGGCAGAAGAGACTCTGGATCCCCATTCAAGCAGCTCTTTGCTGGTATCATCCTTGTGAACAATCACTTCAATGAAACACAAACAATCTTTTTTCTCCACCGTTGCTGTTGCAATTGCTTCAGTAAGTTCTTCTTCAGTACTCACCTGCAAAAAGAGAAGTCACAACAGAGTAGATCTCGAAGCTTAAAATCAATGAAACTAAGCCTAGTTTTTAAGTGGTTTGTCAATTGAAAATTTGCTAACCTTCATTGTCCAGCACTTCCCTTCGCCATTGTGGATAGCATCCACCATCCCGGTGTAGTTCCAATTCTTAATCACATTGTATGGCCCGTCGTGGATTTCAACCTCAATGGTGTATCCGCCATTGTTGATCAGGAAAATGATGGTCTTTTGCCCATTCCGAATCATCGTAGACACATCTTGTGCAGTCACCTGCCCGCCAAAATGTTATCAGGTTTAGAACCAATGACTAGGGTGGTCAATGGATTCATGTCATGTCGTGCCGTTTCAAATTTCTTACTCATAATTTGTTTCGTGTATGATTCGTGATTATTCAGATTCAATACGACCCATATGTTATGCAGGTTAATGGATCAACCCGTTTTTGTCCATAAACAGGCATGACAAGAATTACCGATCCTGAGAAATTGAATTTCAATCTCATCATAGTGTCCGCGTAGTGTCATTACCTTCATAATTCACAAGTTCTTTAATTCAAAGATAAACTCGATAAGACTCGAAATCTTTTACATAGAATGTGGGTATCTAGACTCATAGTGATAAGAGCCTCGTGCTGTCGTGCACTAGACTGCTCTAAGTTCAAACTGACATAGGATATTGCATTACCTGGAAACTCCCATCCCCAATGCAAGCAATCACTCGTTTATCTGGTTTTGACTGAGCATAGCCCAGTGTAGCACCAACAGACCACCCAATGGAACCATACTGCATTTGAAATTCATACCTGCAACACCAACTTTTGCTCTATGATTGTAAATAGAATTGATTCAAGAGAGCTCAAAGGATAATGCTACCTACCCACATCCCTCAGGCAATTTTAGCTTTTGGCAGTTAAACCAGGAGTCCCCAGTCTCAGCAATCACAGCAGTTTCATTTGAAAGCATCCTCTGTATATGCTGGAACAGAACATTAACCCTCAAAGGCTCACTGGGCTCGCATTTGAGAGGCAACCCTTCAGGAACATAGATTCGACGATAGTTTTCATAAGCAGTCGTGTTTCGTTTCAGCTTCTTTGCTAATTCGCTTAGAAAATCCTTCATCAATACACACCCGAAAGCAGGGCCATTGGCGATCACGACTCTATCCTGTTGAACGATGATCGCCTTCTCCTTCTTGAGCAAGAGGGAGTACCCAACCGAGCTGTAGTCGTTGAAAATTGGGCCAGCAAAAATGTAGGCATCGGCTGATTCAACAATCTCAGCACAGAAGGCAGTGCCCACAGCCCCCCAGTAAGTCCCAATGAAGTTGGGGTGGTGCTCAGGGACTAGTCCTTTGGCTGATGGCATCGCTGCAAGGGCATAGCCACAAGCATCAGCTAGTTCCACAAATGCATTGCAGGCCTTTGCAACGCGGAGTTTAGGACCGCCCACCATCACTGGCTTCACCGCCTTGTTCAAGAAGGCGGCTGTTGCCTCCACGGCTGCTTGTAGTCCAATCTTATTGCTTAGTCTGTGTCCATAAATCCAAACAACACCCAAAAACAGCATATCATAACAAGGATGAAAAGAAACCCGAAAGATGCCTCACATGAACTAAGCAAGTACTGATTCAAAATTAACAAGTAGTAAAGGGATTATACCGGGGTGAGAGAGCGAATGGGATGGGTTCTCTGATGAAGGTGGCATGAGGAATGGCAGGTAAGTTGCAGCTAATGCTGATATACACAGGCTTGCTTTCTTTGAGGGCGGTTGATATGGCAGTGTCGATTTGTTCATGTGCATCTTCCAAGTTGTTAACAACAGCCTAAAACAGAACAATACGAAGCATAGTCATCTAGTATATATATGCATACTTGCCAAAAAATTCAATACATGTTTTGAAAAGAAACAATCAAATACAATCAAACATCGATAAGAAAAGCTCAATCCAATGACATGTTCACTTCCAGTCCAGGATTGATAATTTTGCAAATAACCATAATAATAGTGATTCATGATCGCAAGGTTGCTGAGAACCCATTAAAGTTACGAAAATTAACTAAGAAAATTTAACCAAACAGCAGGGTTCAAGATTGCCAGAGTTGTTAGAAACATGGGTAAAATACACTTTTAGTTTATAAAGCATGTGTTTAGTATCTATTTGGTCCTCAATTCTTCAATTATATCTATTTGGTCCTAAAGGTTTTTAATTTGTATCTAAAGTGGTCAAATCTGAAACATCTGTAAAAAAATTGTTAACGTCTCTAATGACACACCAATCATATGGGACCAAATAAAATACAAATTAAGAACTTTAGGGATCAAATAGGCACAATTGGACGATTGGAGACCAAATAGATACTAGAGGCATACTTTGTGAACTAAAAGTGTATTTTACCCTTGAAAGATTTTGAAGACTCTGTTTCGTGCAAAACTGAAGAACCCAAGAACGAAGTTCAACTGGAAGACCTAAAAATAATAGAAATCAATTCAAAATCAAAAGAAAAGTTCTTTGCATAGCATGATCTTAAACTCTTCTACAATATCACAAACATCTATTCAATTCAAACATAGTGATACATCCAATGACATGAGTGGAGGAAAAATGATCTCAAATCTTCCAAAAAAGAGTATTTGAATTGGAAAAAAACTTCAGTTCTTTACCTGATGGCACGTAACAGTCTGAAAACACCTCAATTCTTGGCTAAAATCTGGCAATCCAGTAGTGTGGTGCAAAATCCTATTAGTCCCATAATCATTGGTATTAGGCCCTCCCACCACGCATATAACCGGAAGATTTTCACTATAAGCACCAGCAATAGCATTGAGCACACTGAGTCCACCAACCGTAAATGTGACAACACATGCCCCGACGCCGCGAGCCCGGGCATACCCATCGGCTGCATAGCCTGCATTGAGTTCATTGCAGCAGCCAATGTTGTTAAGCCCGGGCTCAGCAATAAGGTGATCAAGTAGAGTGAGGTTGAAGTCACCAGGAACGGAGAAGACGTCGTTGACGCCAATCTCAACCAGTCGGTGAGCGAGGTGGCGGCCGAGGGTGGCGTCGGAGGAGGCTTTGATAGGCGGAGGGTGAGAGTCTTGTACGGTGGAGACATAGCCGTTGTGGGCTGGACAGCCTACGTTGTTGTTGTCTGGTTTGCATGATTCTACCAGGCCAATCATGGTGTCCATGTATGATCGAGAAAAGCAAGAAATGAGAAAGAATTTGAAGTAACTGGTGGTTGGGAGAGAAGATTGAGGAAGAAATGGTATTGTGGTGGCAGTATATGTAGGAGGAGAGAGGGGGTGAGTAATGAAAGGGAGCGGAGTGAGATTCGCAAACTTAGTAGGCCAAAGCAGTTTGAGGTGGTTTTTTTTGCTCGAGAGAAATGGGATTTAGTCATATTTATGGTAATTTCTTGGGGAGGACGTCTTTATTTATTGTCATTATTCTTGAAAAATAATTAACTGAAAGTGAATATCAGTTCTAAAAATAATGCTTAAAGCTCCTCTTTATGAGAAAATATTGTGGGAAAAGGTTTTTTTTTTGGATTGAAGAATTATTCTAATTACATATTTTTAAAACTCGTAATTATAACACAAACTCCAAATGCAATTCCCCCCCCCCCCCCCCGCAATAAGTGATTTAAGCTTTATTTGTTGCAGTAGAAAGAAAAAGGGAAAAGAAAATGTTACGACAGAAATATTGACAGTAAGAAATATAATACAGAATAAAGGTGTTAATTAACAACTAAATTTGTGTCTTTCTCGTAAATCAACGGAATCCAGAGGTACAAGCAGTGATTGTTAATGCATTGTATATGGGATAGATGATGAATAAGAGGAAAGAGACGAGGGAGAGTGAAGGCGGAGGAAGTAATTCGAGAGCTTTCGGTCTCATTCATTTCGTTTAAGGCTAATTTATAATGCCCTACTGAAATTGGCAAGTTACGGGTACTTTGAACTCTCTTGTCTTCGAATTTCGTAGAGGGGACAAAACTTGAACAATTCTTAGATCACGAAATCATCTCATTCCGAAATTTATCTATTTAGTTATTAGGCATGGATGAAAAGCACTAGATCCAGATTCTCTCCCTCATTCCCTTAACAACGTAAGATAATGTTATTACCAGCAATAACTACGCCCAATCCATCTCCAATCCCTTTTGTTGTACAGTAAATCTCCAGTTGCTTTTGTCGTATGACAAAAATTAGGGCAGCCTTAGCCCTCCCTTGCACTCGCGTTTTTTGACTCTCTGTTACAACTAAAGCTTCAACCCAAGGGGCGTACCTCATTGTGCTTGTTGATCATCAAAAAGTCAACTAAACAGTCAGAATAAAGCAGCTAATATTCAGGCATTTCATAGTGCACACTCCAAAAATGTTGATGAGGTGACCGATCTATACCCACTTCTCATTCTATTTGGGCCGAAATTCTTCACCCTTCAAATTTCAAGCTAAATTCAAGGATCATCTGGACAAATCTTTGTAGACCGACCTTCAAGAAAAGATGGGTTGCAAAAGAAGAGCTTTGCTATCATGGGCAGAGCGCATGTTGGCATGTAAATAAGTCTTACTAACTTCAGCGTTAGCATCAATTTTGCTCGTATCAAAGAGAACCACCCAAGTAAAGCATAAATCAAAGAACTATATCCCAACAAAAACCTTGTTCGAGACCATACACTTTTGGTGCACAGCACCCTCAGAAGCATAACTAAACAAGCAACTTACACCAAGTTGATAATCGTATTGGGAAAACCCCTGGGGACAGCACAATACCAGAATTAGAATGACATACACCCTTGAAATGAAAAGAACGACCCAACCCGACCCAACCAAACCAACTGTTGACAGACTTCCAATGACTGGACCAACAAATCTATACCATTTCCACATTCAACTCAACTCAATTGCACTCTAGCAAAGATTAAATATGCAGAAATGGCTGGCAAAAGAGGTGAGGTAATTAGCCTCGTCAAACTGAAAGGCGAAAAAGGTGTGCATCCTCCCTTAAGTTGAAGAAGCAGACTCATCCTTCTTTTCGGCATCTGATTTTCTAGATTCCTTGGCTGCAACAGGTGCCTCTTCCTTGGGTTTCTTTTCAGTTTGTTTATTTCCAACACTCAGGTTCTCAAGCAGCTCAGCAGCAGTCGATGCATCCTTATTTTCTTCTTTCTTACTTTGGGACTCAGCAACCTCTTGAACCATTTCCATGAAGTTTTTGCAATCTGGAAAAACAGAGGGGCACATAAGTGCACGACAAATTAAAAATGACACAAGGAATATGCCCTGTCATCATGAACACAATCTCAAGGTACCATGTCAATATGCAGCACAGAAGGGAGGGACTGGGTGCATTGCCAGAGGAGAGCGGCATCACAGAAAAAAGCTAAATTATGTATCTAAGAAGCACGGACACGGACACGTTGGGGATACGCTATAAAAAATTATATTTTATATATAACATTATATAATTTATCGTAAATATAATGATAATGATTTGCAATTCATAAAAAATTCAGTATTTTATGATAAGCAAATCTTATGTGTGTAGTCATCTGTGCGAATTTTTAGACTACCAACATCATATAATAGTAAATAATCATTAATTTTTTTGTAGACAATGTGTACTTAATATATATAATTTAAATAATTTCTCTCATTTTCTCAATTCTCCATTTTTTTTAATTTTTATGCATATTTTTGTTTTTAGTATTATATTTGGAGTACAATTTTAATATGTCTAGTATTAGTAATTAGCCAGACCAAAAAAAAAATTAGTAGTAATTATATATTCTCAAAATTCTAAACTTTATTTACCACATTTCAACATATGTTTATTGTCTAGTAGTAGACACATTCTAAAGAAATGTTGGACACATCATCAAAAAGAGTTGGACACATCCGAAATTAATTTTTTTTTTTTTAATTATGGGCAAGGATAAAAGAGTATTAGACCCGTGTCAAATTATCTTAACACTAAATCTATTGAGACCAACCATAGATACAAAATCTATCAGTTACTCCAGTTTAACAAGCAATATATGGAAAGAGCTCCATGGAGAAAATTTTTGACATACAAACTTTAGTCACCATATTTCATACCAGATAATAATTAAAAAAGATGCATTGAATGTAGGGATGACAGTAGACCGGGAGCGAGAGCGGGGGCGGGGCGAAATAGTCTCCACCCCCATACCCGCTTCAAAAATATTCGTCCACACTCGTTGGTAGAGAAAATTTTAATTCTCATCCCCACCTTGCGGGTAAAATTTAATCCCCATCCCTGTCCTTGTCCCCGTCCCCACCACAGTCTTTGCCCATAAAAATTAATTTATATGATTTTAAGAAAAAAATTGAAAAAAAAACTATAAATTTTAGGAAATGGATCTGCAAGAAGAATGAAAATCCATTACATAACAAATGGATTAAACATAAAAACTCACAAAAATAATCTATATAACAAATGTGTGTTGTGTGTCGGTGTGTGAGTTGCAGATGAGTGCGTGAGAGAGATACTTCAAATCTAAGTCAATAGTGGGTTACTAGCTGAGAGAGTGTGTGTGTGTGGTGCTCGTGGGGTGAGTGTGTCTGTGAGTTGCAGATGAGTGGTGATTGGTTGACAGAGCAAGAGAGGAGATTGGGAGGGAGAGAGTAAAACATCAAAAAAAAAAAAAGTAAAATTTTTTTTTTTGGTAAAGAAAAAATAGGTGGGTTGGGTTGGTGATATCATATAGGAAAATGCTTTTTGTACCTAATTTATTGGTTTTATCTGGAAACATGATGGATCATAACCATTAAATTGATAGTGAGGTCCACTATCAATCTAATGTCAGAAAATGATAAGATCACCAAATAAAGTCACTAAATAAGGTCTATGTAGCACAACCCTATTATATATATATATAAGTGGGTCAGTTTGTATTTTTGTGATATTATATATATATATCTCTGATTTAGCGAGGCGGGGCGGGGGTTTCAATCTATCCCCGCACGGGTTTATACGAGTATCTTTGCATACGTCCACCATCTTTGAGCCCCACCAGTGGCTTCTTATAGATCCCACTAAATTTAACAGTGGACAACTAGATTGGATCAAAACTCCAAGTATTTGAAATCAAGAGTTTCCGAGCATTTCCCCACTCTAGGTATGGATGTAATCTTTTGCTAAAGTTGTATCAAAATCCAAAATTGTAGTCTTAAAGGGTCCTTTGTTATAGACACTTACCTTTAGGGAGAAGTCATCATTTATTGTAAGTTGAGAACGAGGGCGTTTGGGTAAAATTAAGGATGCCTAGTTGTCTCCTTTGGAGGGAACGAAAAGCCATTTTTGCCAGACTACACATGAGGCCATTGGTGTTCAGACAAGGAAAATCAATTACATAGGAAATGAATTGCATTTTCCACATTGCAAGAAGAGCAGAAAAAACACAAAAAAAGACTAGTTGATTTAGCATTTTATTTCATTAAGTTTATTTGATTGCATTATTGTGTTGTTGAAAGGTAACAAGGAATTAAGGCAATTCCTCCAAGTTCTATCCCCTTCATCAATTATCAATTAATAAATTGGGGTTTATACGCTGTGAGGACGACTTTTTTAGGTAAATAATGTAAGGATAACTTTAGTCAAGTATTTTGCTTCAAATTAGAGACTTATTGATTTCACTTTTTTGATTTCATTTAAAAAGCCATACTTTGTAAATGAGCTATTCATTTGTTGCAAAACTAATGAGTAAATGTCAAGTAGTTCAATAACAAACCCAACCCCCACCATCTAATTTGAATGGTTTGTAAAATGGGAGTTTTTACACAAGTTAAATGTGGGGAAGTAGCTAATCTCAACCTACTGCTGGGGACGTTAGGGTTTCCCAATGTCAACAATTTTGCCCCGTTACTATCAATGTAGAAAAATGTATTGTTTGCCAGAAGACATGTAACAACTCGTATAATGTTGAAGTAATCATGAACATCCACATTGACACGTCCAATGATGTTTAACTAATCAGTACCACACAAAATGAATAAGATTTATGGCAGATAGAATGCAACATACGTAAAATCACACATAGATATGATGGAAACTACATTTTAGATTAAATAAACTTGTGCAAATACCAAAATTAGGTACCTTAGAATAGTGAGTTTCAAAAAATGCAGACTTACAATACAAAAATATTGTACCACTTCACCACCAAAAATATATAGCATGTTAAAAAGCTTCACATCATCATATACAAGGTAACATAATCGGCATAATATTCTACTGCTTATAAACATGTTTTTATGGTTCTTAATATGATACTAAAAACCTTTGAGCATTCTTTGTGTATATAATTAAAATATGATATACCAAATCACGAGGTGTAGTCCTCATTGCTAGAGCTATACACCATTTAATTCACCCCCTTAAAAATTGCAGAACGGCAAAATGATTTATCATTAGTGAAAGATATATGTCCAAAACAAAATATGCAATCATTCTTGCATTTCAAAGAAAATTATTCCACTTGAACCATTTGAAGTTGGCATCACAAATTCCTTTGTAAACATCACACAATCTTGATCATGCAAGCAACTAGGTTTTCACATCTAAAATAATCACACAGATCAAGTACAAAAAATATTTACTGCAAATCCAGATGGCTCTTAATCTTCCAAAGGATATGTACATATCAGTGATATAGTTACAAAAACATCTACATAAATAGATATAGACCAGGAAATAAAATTTATTTTTTCATCTTGGGGGCATTTGATCCCACAAATAGGTAGGAAAGAGCAAGCCACTTGAGGGCCCATGGTGGTACAACTCTCACAATTGAACTCAAGCATTTTGACAGTATGCGTTCATGTTGTTTACTTTCGTCTTCTTTTGTTACACGCACAGTTTAGATACAAGAAAAAACGAAAGTGAAGTTCAACAGAGTACTGAGGGTATTCATAGAAAGCGATACTTACTCTCAATTGATCCGAATCTAATACAGAACAATTCATTCTTCAGTTCACCATCGGCAAAGTCAGCCGCATGCCATACACAAGATTTTTCATTCCCTGCGTGCTCCTGCACCGACATAGTAGGAAGAACTGCAGATGACAGTCACAAACACATCCCAAATATTAACATCACAGACCAAAACAAGTTCAAATCGATCATATAGAGCAAAACAATAATTGAAAAACAGACCGAGGTGGTTTGCACAGATCTTGAGAGTTTTGGATTGACGCATAACGAGACGAACTTTGCCAGTTTCCTTATGCTTCAAGAGCTTCACAGTACCAGCACCTCTCTCCTTCCATTGATTGCTGTCTTTGTCGAATCGATACAGCTTTGATTTCCTGTGAATCAGTAGCAAAATCAAAACAAACAAACAATAAACCCTAGAATTTGAACAGATCGAGAAGGAATTGATCTGAGATTGGAAGAGAGGGAGAGTACAGATCGAGGATCGCCTCTTCGTCTTCTTCACCGGTAGTAACAGCGACCTCTTCGAGCTTGACGATTGGAGCGACCTGTGCTCCGGTGTCTTCGTCTTCTGCTCCAGCGGTTTCTTCCTCCTCTCTGTGCTCAGGATCTTTGCTCGCCATTGTAGAGATAGAGAGAGAGAGAGAGAGAGAGATAGCTGAGAATGTGCGAGTCGGAGGTTTTTTATAGGAGGGGGATGGAAAAATAGGTAGAGCGCAGTAGTGAGAATTGAGACGGAGAAGGCGGCGTGAGGTTTACGCACGAAGCCATGGAAGGGTTTTTCAATACGATTCCAACTGTTTGGCTGGGATGATAGAGTTGTCCCATTTAGGGATAAGATTATTCGAACCACAGGCGATGATTATTTATGATTTTCTCCTACTACATCTTATTTCCCTTAATGTTTCCTCCTATTTTTGCAGTTCTCATGTAAATATATTTTTTTGTCTGGCACTATTATAAGAAAAAAATGACGAATTTTGAACACCCGACCTTAACATTGAACAAGAAGAATGATAATTATTAGATCAATCACTAACTTCACTATCCTCATATTTGATTACATGAACTTTAGGCTTTCAACAAAAGAAAAAAAAAAAAAAAATTAAGCCACAAGCAAATGACGTTTCCAAATAATAATTTAGTGTTGCTATGAAACAGATCAAGAATTAAATTTTACATGTTTTTCGTCCCATTTTCCTTTCTATTGTGTTTTCCTTCCAAACCAAACGAGTGAGAAACGCTATTCTTCTTTCCTATTTTTCACCATTTATTTTTCATCCACGAATAATGATATTAGGACCTAATTTACTGATATAATTTACTAACATAATTCACTGTGACATTTGGATTGATTATAAGTCCCATTAATTATTGCAGCTTGATACTGATTCAATAATTCTTATATAACTACATCATTATGTCAATAAATTTGAACAAATTTTTAAATCCACGTAACATTATTCAACAAATTTTGTTGTATTTCAAGTTTAAAGACCACAAGTCAACAACATTGAAAGCATCTTTCATTTATTGAAGCTTCAAATGTGAATTTATGCATTGCTTGAACAATTGAGACACCAAGAAGTAATACAAGGGGAAGATCGATCTTTTCCTTCAGCCCACACAGAAAAGGAGCGCCAGCCAGGCTCAATATCAGATGCTCTCCCCCACCCTCCTTTTTCTTTTTTTTTTCTCTCTCCTCCCTCCCTCCTGTATAACTAAAATTGCCATCAGCAAAAACCAACGGACAAGAAACGAACAACTCTTATTCTTGAGATGCAATGCCATCAGTTACTTCATCCACAGGCTCGGTTTCTGCTAAGTCCTCTGTTTTGTCACCTTTCTTACCTGTAGACATAAAAAAGCACATCCTTAGAATTGTGAGGCATAAAAATCTCAACAGTAAAACAAAGTACAAGTTCTCCATTAAACTGATTCCTCCATTCTTTCTCCCAAGCTTGTTCTGCTATTGGAATATTATAGTTTTATTATCTCATTTTCCAAGTTTATCTATCAACCAACCTTTTTTCTTTTTGCCGCCACCTTTCTTCTTTGTCTTTATAGGAAGAGCAAGCCAGGCCTTAATTTCAGGGTCATCATCTGTTGTCCTTGTCGCCTTCATCTCCTGCAGAGGATGAGACGTGATTCTGTCTGACCCATTAGGCATCAACAGAACAGTGAATTTTATATGAGCAACCAAATCACCTGCAGCCACCAACCAAAATATGAATGAAGCATGTCTTGGGTGAAGGTAACTTATGACCAGAGGCACTAACTGTATCATGTGTGTTTTGTTCAATGAAAGGACAAAAACAAAAATGGACCGCATCACTATATAATATAGGACACATGAAAACAATGTTTGAAAGAGTGAATATATGGATGAATATAAATTCTTTTTGTCCTAAAAGCAGTACTAAAGGCGGCTTTCATCCAGCTTTTATCACCTAATAATTCTACTAAGTGAGAGCATCACAAAGCAAGCAACCACCATGTTTGCGTCACATGAATTTCTAATAGAGTTAGTAAGAAACTTACCAGGTTTCTCATGCAGAACAGGATATGGCTGCAAAAGATCATGGTTAACACATTCTACTAGTCCCAGTCGAGCCCTCTTCTCCTCCAAGGCCCTAAAAGGATGAAGCAACAGGTGCATTACTATGATAACAAGCCAAACAGCCTTAATTTTCAGCATAAGATGGAGTTGGCAAACCTTGCTGAAAATGGCATGATTGGAAATTTCTGATTAATTTCACTGAAGATAAATCTCGAAGCTTTCATTTTCAGATGATAGTTCCTGTCCACGGCTCTTTTATAGATAGTTGTTTGTTTCTCATCCAATAGCCTTGGCTGTGATTTTTTTGCCCAATGAGACTCAATGCACTAAAAAATTATAACAAAGAAAGGAGTTAAAATTAGGCAGACACTTACTTTTCCATCACCTGTACTGGTGACTATGTCGATTGCATAAACCTCGTTCTCCTCAAATTCTGCATCATCAACTCTGGTTTCAGGATTGGACACACTCAGCACCACTTTATTCCCATCAATCACAAACTGCTTGAGTTGGTGACTTAGCACACCCTCAACAATCTTGCAATCATAGGCCGCAGCAACTTTCTGAATAGCATCTGTTACATCTTTGTTCTGCCACATAAGAGAACTCAAAAATGAGTCAGAAAACTATGAAAGCAAGCTCACGCGCAAATTGGAATTATAAAAAAAATTATGCCGAACTATTTAACAACCAACGTTGATAAACAATTAGCAAAAAACAAGATAATTCAGTATGTAGTGAGCACATAGCACTACTTCTGCCTAGACAATCTTAAAAGGAAAAAAAAAAAGAAGAAAGAGTTGTACGGCAATATCCTACTAGAAAATATTAAGTTTTAAGCTGGCAGCTTGCGATGCTTCTACATCTCTTCTTCCTATCAATGCAAGTGTCTTGTAATACAGTAACACCACTACTCTCACTAAATATCAAAACCTTCGAATGATTAAGTGCTTCACATATATGAGACGAGGCATGGTAGAAAGACAGATAAAACCCCGGGGAGAAAGGGGGAAATAGTAGGGGGCTGGGAGTCTAAAATGACATGTTAATATACAGAATAAGCAAGTTTAGTGCTTTTTATTACAGTCAAACTTGTCCACCGGCAAGCAATAAATTGGAGGACCCAGATCACTGAAGTTATTCTTCCCATTTGGTAATTAGAAAAGGCTAAGATCAACAATGATCGATCTAAAGATCATTTCCTCTTAGTTTCAATCAAAGCAAAGTCCACCTTTTAGTCTCAATATCCCATTTACATTATATAGTGTCATCTGTTACATATCAATTTTACCTCCCTGTCACAAAAAAACCAAACCAAACCAAACCAATCGAAGAAAGCATTTGTCCTAATCACTTGGGAACAACCACATGAATCCATCTTCTCCTTTCCTCTACATCAGGGGCTCTATGATCAGTTAAATTACATACATTCATATACTTTCACCATATCGTTCCATGTCAATTTTGTTCTTTAACTTCTCCTAGCATTACCACTAACGGTGATCATGTAACTCATCCTTACTAGAGCATCTTCCGGTCTTTGTTGTACATGAACAAACCATCTAAACATTCAAGTTATGATGTATTGTAACACCCTAATGTGACACAGTGACAGCCTATCATTCACACAAGTTGCAAACAGAAGGATATAGGAAGGTGAATAGATGTTGAAATGCAGAGTAAATGGTGAATATACACATGCATCACTGAAGGCATATAGCAATTCTTTAAACCAAAAATCTAGGAAACTATGTATGTCACTTCTTCTTTTGTCAAACATATGATGCACATCATTTTCTCTGAGAAAATGTTCCTTCAGAAAGTAATCTTTTGCAACCTGAAAGGCTTCACTTTATACCTTCACAAATGAAGGACCCTAATCACAATTCCATAATCACAAAACTGAAGAGCATATGAATTGAGACATATACCCATAATGGATACAATGCAGTAACAACAAATTAATATAACTAAAACCCACCACCCATAAAAGGGAAAGAAACATAAATCAAAGCATTACCTTCCTTCCAGGCCTCACAAGCCTCAAAGCAACTTCAGCAGCCGTATGAGCTGCTGCAATAACATCAGCTGCCCTACCTGTAACTGGCCCTTCCTGAAGTACATGAGTATGCGCCACTACAGCAATGAAACCATCTATGTGACATCCCATATCACTGCAACCAATTAATAACAATCATGTGCCAATCATTTATATTTCATACCTTTCACAACACCAGTAACAATATAAACTCGATACAAAACATAGGATATGTTTTCCAAATTTTCACAAGAACAAGAAGAATAGATACCCAAACACAAGCAGCACACAGTGCCGAAACATTACTTACATCTTCAGTGAATCACCTTCCTCTAATACCGTCTCATCACTGGTGAGGGGAGAGAAATGGCAGACCATATTATTCACCGAAATGCATGTTGGGAAAGCAACACCCCTCTCAATCTTCTTTTTAACATTCTTGTACATATTTCCAGTTTGCCTAATCCCACAATCAATTATAAACTAAAATCAAAACCCATATCCAATACTGATTAAATGCTGGAAAAAATGAACCACTATCCACAACCCAAACAAAAATTACTATATCCATACTCTCTGATGAATGCATCTCCTTTTTCACATATATCACCAATCTTTGCTTTTGGTTTGCATTCGAACAACACCAACTGTAACGCCTCTGCAAAATTAATTCCCAAATTAATCACATGAAGCATACCCTATTAATTGCAACAAAAAACAAACCAATGGAAAAGAAACCAGATTCGGCAACTGATTAATCACACCATTTTATTCCAAATATCTCAAAAACACTCAATTTTCCAGAACAAATTTGAATGCTTTCAAACCACAGAATGAACACATTAGCATATGCACACATATTTGTATGTAGAGAGCGTGGGTGGTTAACTATTAACGATTTCAGCGGCGCTCTTGTACTTGGTGACGACCTCAGGACTAGTGAGATCCAACTCCTTCTCTTCTCTCTCCTCGTCCGACATACTCACCGCACAGCTTCAAATCTCTCAGCAAAAACTGCAACAAGAGCACAAAAGTTGCAAAATCACAAAACAAACAGAAGAAGAAAAAAATAAGAAAAACTGAAAGATGCCAAAACGGAGAAAATCACCGAAGCAAAAGATTTTGTGAGAGAAATTAGAGAATCTAAGTCGGGGTTTGAGCTAGGGTTTTAACAGGGGTATGAAAGATCAGAATCCACGGTATAGTATATATGTGTGTACTCGTTACAACGCGTCCTTGGGGAAACGATAAAAATTTAATTGTTCAAAAAATTAATCCAATTATATTAAATAATAATTTTTTCTTTTTTCTTTTATTTAATTATATCATTTAAAATTAATTTCTATCTATTATATTAATTTTTATTCTCAAAATATATAATCTGATAAATTTTTTTTAACACGTGTACATTATCGTTTATGAACAATGTATGAAACAATAATTGTGTTAAACTATAAATTAATTAAATATGTGATAGAATTGAGTGATGTGATGTAATGATTTTGAAAGGAAAAATATGTGTGAGATAAAAATTCAAACTTTTAGATATTTTATTATATAGACTAGTAATATCCCGTGACTAAAGTCACTGTATATTGAATTATAACACTATGCATGCACTAAAATGTGTGTGTTGGAGCGTGTGTATGTGTGTGCAACTGTGTTTTATGAAATGTATGTGATGGTTTTTTGAAATTAGGAGGGAAAAGTGTGTGTTGGGAGAAAAAATATACTTCAGAAATTCAAACACCTATCTGATTTATTATATAAATGTATTAGTTATTACCCGTGTTTAAAAGCACTCTTAACACAAAAAATTTGCCAACTAAATGGGGATCCAATAAATTCTTAAATAAAAGAAATTCAAGAGTTGAAATGAAGAAGAAGCATATCACATTAATATAATTCAAGAATTTCCATGAACTTAAACTAACACAATTACAAAATTATCATGTCATAAATTTTTCATGGTGGGTTTTTTCTCCACCAGATAAGAGTTCATTTTTTCAACTTCTAACTAAATCTAATAAATAGATTGTCTAATTTTAATAAGGAATATCATTAAGAACACACAATTAAATCACTGAATCCAATCAAACGAATTAATCACATTGAATTACAAATCAAATTTCTAAAACATAGAAAAAAACCCAACCAAACTAACATTGTCCAGCGGTTCTACTTGTAGTTGCGAAAACAATTGATTTAAATTCTTTGTTACTATGACTTCTCGAATTCCATTGAAATTTTCTCACGCTACAATTAAAATAAATCAACAAAATTAAAATTTCACCACTTCAACAAAAAAAATTGATTTAACTGATATTTTGTCATTTCGGTGTTTATTTTGCACGATTCAAGTATTCAAAAAAATATGAATATTAACAAGAAAAAAGTGATGCAAATAAGGGAAAAAAATGTTATAATTGGTTTTGAATTTCTTTTTTTTTGCAATTGATTTCAATTATTTTTTTTATTGGTAATTAGCTTGACTTTGAATTTTTAGTTTTTTTGGTAAAATTAGTGTCATTTATTATTTTTTTAATGGCGATTAGCTTGTCTTTGATTTTTTTTTTTATGCAATTGGTATCACTTATTTTTTTTATTGGTGATTAGCTTGGTTCTGATTTTTTATTTTTATTTTTTTGGTGCAATTGGTGTCAATTGTTTTTTTTTATTGAGAATTAGCTTGACTTTGATTTTTTTTGAGTAAAGAAGTCCAATTATGATTGTCAAGACAAACAATTTTAAGTGAAAGAGATAAAGAAAGAAATAAAAAATATGAGAAATGAGAGAGTGTGTCTAAAAGAAATTAGAAATAGAGAGAGAGAATTATATGAGAAATGAGACGGTGTATGTCTAAAAGAAATATGAAATAGAGAGAGAATTATATGAGAGATGAAAGAGTGTGTTTATTGAGAGAATTCTCGTTAGATACAAGTACGATACCAAAATCGAAATTCCTAAAGTTACCCTACCTGAACCAACGCAAAAAATGCTCGAGTCCATAACAACTTGCAGACTAGATGAGATCTCCTTGAATATACATTGTTGATCTGAATTCTTAACCTAATTTTAAAAATAGAGAAAGATACCAATTCCTTCAAACTCAAAAGCAAAAGCGACATACGAAGCTGCCATGATGCAACTTATGGACAGATCCACAATCTAAAATAACAGATAAAGTTACAATGTACAGCTAAAAATTTGCTGCCCCCCTTAGGCCAAGCATGTCGTAACAAAAACCAAGATTAGATCTGCAACACAAACACCTAACAACTTATATTAAATTTAGATTCTGCTTTACTTTGCTTTAGAGATCTATTGGAACCAATTAGAATCAATCGCCAGGTTTATTATTTAATAAAGTTACCGACTTTCGGTATGAAACACATCACCACAACACTACCAAAACTAAGCAGCAAACCGTATTGTTATTGTAAATCAAACTTTGCTTAATATTTACATAAGAGTCGATGATGACCTTAAATATGTACGATTTACCATTAGACTACCAATTCGGATAACGGATTTAATTAAAATTTGTTGACGTAAATAGATGAGTAACAAAGTAACTTACTAAATGATCATATCATTTTATTGTTAAAAACAAAAAATCGAAGTTCCTGCTCTAACACTGATTCATCTGATATTGGTGAACGTGTTGAATAGTATGATCTAAATAATTTTTCAAAAGCATATAGTGATTAGATGCAAGTATGAACAAATTTCCCCATCTCATGTAAATTCCTCGTTCCCCCATATAGTTTCTGGGAAGTTGCTTTGGTTGTCTGTTGTTAAAAGTCTTGTAAATTTCTTGTTCATTAAGAAAATACCTTACCCTTCATCAGATCAGTTTGCCAAATCATATCCCACCCACAAAGCTGTAAAAGCATCTATATACACTTCAAAACCTAAAAGGCTATCATAAATTCATTAAACATGTGGTTCCCTTATTAAAAAATAAATTATATAAAAAAACTATAAATTGAAATTATCCAAATCACATGTGATACTTTATCATTTCTCCATAATAAAAGAATTGCACAATGAGCAAAAATGCTGCAAATAAAATCACAATAATACAACAAAAAATGCGTTAATAACAATTTACTACAACTGTAACAGCCTTTTTCTCCCCTCCCCACCTCCCAATCACTATCTAAAGAACCACACTGACAGCTTGAACAAGCTTCCCCCCAATCCCACCCATTATCAGTGCAGTCTGTAACGACGTCGTAGTAGTAATAGTGTAGTGCTTGTATTGAGAGGCTGCGATTAGAAGAATCAAAATATTCCAAATTTGTCCTTCCACTTACTTCAGCAGCAACCCCTATGGAATCCAAATATTCTAAAGTCGCCCCAAAGTTTTCCTCCTCCATCCTAATCAACCCCAGATATGCCGAACTTGTCCCTTTCCCTTCGTCCCCACGACACCGCCCATCTGAAACTTTCTTTTTCTCACTGATCACACCTCTCACCACCGTCCATCCATCTGATTCCCAATTTGCCCCTGTCTTCGACGCTAATTTCCCAATTCTCTCTCGTGCTTTATGGTTCAAATTATCAACACCATCACATATTTCATCTTCATCTTCATCCATTGGTTCTGAACTGGACCAATCAAGCACGCAACGAGGAGAAGAATAAGTAATCATACTGGACGGTGGGGAACACATTGATATAAACGGATGCTGTAGCAGCTGATCACAGCTCCACCTTCGATTCGGGTCTCTTCTCAAGCACTTGTCAAGAAAGTCTAGTCCCAGTTCTGAAAGCTGAGTCGGAAACTGAGGTAACTCGTCCAAGTAACCGATTCGACACAGCGTGTCGGCTCCGTGATCCTCCCACGCCGGCCGGCCGGTGACCATCTCGATAACCGTGCACCCCAACGACCACACATCGGACTCCGGCCCCTGGTACTCCTGTCGAATCACCTCCGGCGCCATCCACAACGGACTGCCACGTGGGGAATTGACCTCCCGGAACTCCATCGCCGAACCGAAATCGGCGAGCTTGGCTGCACCGTTTCTGGGCCCCACTAATACGTTCTTGCCTTTGACGTCGCAATGCACTATGCCCTTGGAGTGAACGTAACTCAGCGCCGAGACAACGCACCAGGTGTAGTTCGCTACAATTCTCTCGTCCACGTCAGCACCGAAGAGTTTTGCCACGTCAGAGACGGTGCCATTTGGCAAGAACTCCAAGTGCAAGTTCCGATACGACGTCGTGGGGGACTCGCACGTGACGCTGTCGCCGAGATATTTCACCACGTAAGGTGAGGAAAGTGATCGGAGAATTCGAATTTCGTTCTCCAGTGACTCAAGCTGAGAAGCCAAACACGAGCTCCGATCAACTGACTTGACGGCAAAAACGTCGCCGTTTGAATTATCGACGGCTAGATTCACTGTTCCGAAAGACCCTTTTCCGATACACCTCCCTCTGACCCAGAAAACCTCACCTTTCACTTTCTCCATCTTATGAATCTCGAGAATTTGAATTTCGAACAGACTGTGTTTGGGTTGTTTGAAGAGGGGTCCCAATGGTGGGTAAGTATTTATAGGTGTGAAAGTTGGAAATTTATCCGAAGAACGGTTTGATGACCTCAAGAGAGTTGTAAAGACATGCGCTAGTTGATGTAAAAGGGTATACGATACTAGGATTTATCCTCATCCGTTAGAGATAATGGTACATTTTCATCGTTTATTCTTGTGTTGATCATCGTGGTTTTTTTTTTTTTTTTTATAGCTTGGAGGAGTGTTTGTCCTAGTCGTGGATTGGTTTGGTTGGTATTTTAACATGTGGTCTGAAAATTGGAATGTGTTTCGTGTATAACAACAATGTCACACTAGAATTTATATAAAAATTTGAATCTCAAATCAATTTTAATTATAGAATTGGTAGGACCCATAATTTTTCTTTAATTATACAAACGACTAACAATGTGTTTATCATTTATAATTAAAATTTGATAGATAATTTGATCGACAGACGATTTCTCATTTGTGTGTGTTGGTGTAAGGTTATTGGTGATGAGCTGGAAATTTGTAGAAGCGCTCGCTAAGTGTTATTAGGCCAATGATTGTATGCAGCACAAAGCAGTGCCCCCATAACTTTTTTTTTAGTTTAGGGCACATGGTCTGCAGGCCAGTTTATACATATTTTAATTAATTTTTTATTTTTTCTGATTAAATACAGATCATATACGCCAAGAATAAAATATTTATGAGGAATAAATTCTTTATTATTATTTATCACTTAAACTACCTTTAGAATTGTACCCCATAATTTTTGTAATATGTACCAAGATGACTACAATATTAATGTTAATGGTGTGTAAGTATTGATCTAACTCAAATGTTAAAAAGCATGATTAATCATAAAATACTGTAATCGATCATGGAAGTTATAATTTTTGAAAATCATATTATAATTCTAAAAAAAAAATTAATAATCTTTCAAAAAAAATCTCATAATCGATCATGAATTTTTTTTAACTAATTATAACTTTACCTTTCAAAAATATAATCTTACCATTAAAAATAATAATTTTTGATATTATATTAATTTTTATTTGAATATCTTCTAGCAAACCAAACAATTGAAAAAAGAAAACCCAGATAACTTTGCCAAGTGTCAAGAACGAAAATGGTTTCATTCATTGTAAAGCGTGTTTGATAATGTGAAAACAATTGTCATTTTCAAACGGTAGGTAAATCTTTTTTAATGTAACGAACAAGTAGTCTCTCTCATTACAAGTGACTTTGATAAATCTTAAGATAGAGAAAAATAACTACAAGGCAAAGGGTGCGCAGCTATGGTCATGATGATGACTCTTTTTTTATCATTGATTTTGTGTAAATCCTATCAAACCTTTCCAATATATTTTAGTAATTTTCTCATTGTCAGCACACTTTGAAAATGTTTGATTGTGCCAACTCATTGGTGCCATATGACATGAATATAGACGTTTCACCTTCCATCATGGAATGAACATTCATGGACATCCAGTTTAGGTCATCGGAAAAAACCCAATACAAGAAGAGTGGCAACAAAAGAGAAACAGTGATCTGTTTAGGTTGGTTGAGATCCTCTCCATTCCTTTAACTTAGTATATCGCTCGCTCTATATTCATATCAGATCCTCACTCTATATTCATATCAGATCTATTATATGTATGTGGCGGGACTCTAGGTGACTCTACAGTCCCTAGGTTGACACTTGGAATAATGAAGCCGTTGGGATGTCCAAAGGGTGTCGAAGAGGTAAGCCGAGGTATGGTGACACGGAGCAGCCGAATACCACAGTTGTCATCGTATTTAATGCGATGTGACCCTTCATTTATGACAAAATGAGTGATAGTGACAAGACAAATAAATGTGCGTCTGCAAGCACCTGCCCTCTGGGAGTTTAGGTCTACTGTTATGATGACTATTCATTAATAGCTGATAGGTCGAGATGACGCGATCGGTTCCTCCCGAGAAACTGTTCCCCCGAGTATTCAATGCTCAGTTGATATCAGATGTCGATCTAGGGGATTTGGGTACTTGGGGGAGGGGCATAAATGCTCGGCATTTGGCCGAACATTTATTCTATCTTCCTAGTATTTAATATGAGGAGACGTGAGTAGAAAACACTCATTACATGAGGAATAGTGTGTCAGATGTAAGATGTCCAGATGGGACTGGAGATCTTTGACAATCATTATTAATTCACGTATAAATACTCCTCAGAAAAAATGGACAAACGTACGCAAACTTGAACCAAAAAAAGATTGTCCATTAAGCTAAACCCTTTGACCTTAGACTGACTTAAGCTTCGGAGGGGGTAAGTCGGGTGCTCACCTAACCCCATTTTTCTGACCCTATTGTTTCAGGTTCGCCAGCTTGAAGATCGTTGTTTCAAACTATTGCAGGAATTATCCCGTGTAATTTGACGCCGTCTATAGGAAACGAGAGTATTTTTCCCGGTAGTGATTTTTCTGATGATGAACACTCGATCTCAGGGTGAAGGAGCAAGTCTGCGTGTAAGGAACGCAGAGCCTGTCCGATTTCCAATGGTGCTAGAACCGAGTCCGTTGGGCCAATCAGGTGGAGAGGAGCATTCCTCGCAACGAACGCTCCTTATGGATCAGGGGCCTTGGGAGGCATGATGTCATGGCCTGTGATATCGTAGAAATGGTGGAAAAGCAGATAGGCAAATGCATTAAGCAGCTTGAGAAGGAGAATGCCAAGGTCCAGCGACGGCTTGACGATTTTGAGCAGTCAACAAGCGCGGGCAGGTATAGTCGCGGGCTCGGGGACCAGGTCCCCAGCCAAAACCTTTCCAGGCCTCCCTGTCATAGACCCTCCAGGAAAGGCTAGCTTAGATGCTCACCTGAGGGATGTAACCGTCAAGGTGGGTTCTCGACCTCCAAGGGAAATTCAGAATCGGGCTAAAAGGCTTGTTTGTCTAGGTGGGACCTCCGCCGAGGAATACCTGAGGACATCGGAGCCGCTGAATCACAGGCGGAGTCCACACCCAAGAGGCCTCAAGAAGAAAGGCCAAGAGGGAATCCTAGGGTCCACCCTGCCGCTTATCGCAACCTTGAGCCCGAGGTCTATGCCGACGAAGTCATGTCACCGTTCATTCGAACTATCAAGGAGGCCAAAATGCCGAAGAAGTTTACTGTTCCACGGTTCAAAATCTACGGTGGGAAGACCGATCCCGAGAGTCACTTGCGGCAATGCAAACAATTGATGTCAATCTATGATACTGATCAAAGAGTGTTGTGCCGAGTTTTTCCCATGAGCCTAGAGAAATGATATGAGAACCTAGCTCCTGAGAGTGTCAAGTCTTGGAAACAATTGATAAAACTCTTCATAGCTCGATTTATCACCAACAGTAAGAAACCGAAGGACATCGACACTTTGTTGACGCTTAGGCGGAAAGGAAGAGAGACACTTCGACAATATGCCGTCTGGTATTGGGATGAGGTCAACGAGGTAGAGGCATGTCCGGAGGCATTGGCTGCGGCGTCGTTCAGGTTGGAGCTGTCCCTGGACACTGATTTGTACAAATCGCTGACTAAGAAGGCTCCGGTTGTCCTGGGACACTGATTTGTTCAATGCTCAGTTGATGTTAGATGCCCATCTGGGGGATTTGGGTACTCAGGGGAGGGGCATAAATGCTCATCATTTGGCCGAGCATTTATTTCATCTTCCTAGCATTTAATAGGAGAAGACGTGAGTAGAAAACACTCATTGCACGAGGAATAATGTGTCAGATGTAAGATGTCTAAATAAGGCTAGAGATCTTTGGTAATCATTGTTAATTTAGGTATAAATATTTTTCAGAAAAATGAATAAATATACACAAACTTGAACTAGAAAAAGATTGTCCATTTAGCTAAACTCTTCGACCTTAGATTGACTTAAACTTCGAAGGGGGTAAGTCGGGTGCTCACCTGACCCTCTTTTTCTGATCATGTTGTTTCAAGTTTGTCAATTTGGAGATCGCTGTTTCAAACTATTGTAAAAATTATTTTGTGCAGTATACGAACACTTTATTTGTGTACGATAAGATAATTATTATTGAGTAAAATTATATAAAAAAATAGTAGCTAGAATTTAGATCCTTACTTAGGTAAGAAGTGAAGTGTGGGACCTACTTAACTTGATGATTAAATTGATAGGTAGACGTTTTGGCAGCAGAGAAATGATAGGCTGGTTTAAGGGAAATGCCAGATGAGTGTCGCCTAGTGCGCACATACGCTAGTCTCTTTCTCTGTGTGGAAGGAGGTGTTACATTTGAAGTCTGTTGACGTGCACCACCAGCATCCACGCGATTTTATAATAATATTGGGAAATAAAAAATGAAGTTTGGATTGTGGTGGCACTATATCTTGAGCTTTAACTTTGTTTCCATACCCATCCGCATCTGTTTTGAAAGGTTAGGAATTAGGACAACTATGGCTATATATATTCTCAAACTTATATTTTTTGACACTTCCAAATATAAATTCGTTGGCCAACCATAGAGATGGGACACTTGAAAATGGGGGGTGGGGTGGGCAGAATTTAGGATAAGGCATGTGTTGATGAGCAGCCATTTAATCAAGTGTATGAGCAGTTTGATAATTACAATTTTTTATGGGTCTAGATGTTTAGAAGAGTGTCGAACCGAGTCGTATTGTGACTTATTCAATCATATCATTTCGAACTTGTGTTAAATATTTATTCATGACCGACTTATTTATAGCAACATTGTATTTGACCAAAAACCCAAAATTAGAATTACTATTCTATCAATTAATCTGACGCTCATAGGCCTTTACAATCTAAAAATTAACTTAGATCTAAATGGTTAAGAATTCTAAGGTTCTTGAGAAGTCAATTTTAGTCAAGGTGCGTGTAACTGGTGCGACCATCGCTGATTGTTGAACAAAAAAAAAATATTGGCTATTTTACTGGTCCCTGATTGTAATAAAACAAAATAACGGGGCTCAGAATGGATAAGTGGGAACAATGCCTTTCACCACCGGAGAGGGAAAAAGTGGTGATAGTTTTCCACATGAACCCCAAGTCAAATTGAGAGAATAAAGTAATTAGGAGTTTTTCTCTTCTTTTTATTTTTCAGTTACTGGTTGCTTTTATTGGTTGGAAAGTAGGACAAAATAATAGGTCATCGATGAGCTTCTTAAACTTCT